CTTGTAATAAGGACCGGAGAGAGTGTTAAGATTTGGGTCGAAAAATCGGTTGGGCTGCAAGTCTGCTGGGTTTAGCCCAAAATAACTCCACGTGGACCTTGACAATGAGGAATTTGAAATGTTCATCTGTTCATCTCGAGAAAAACTTTAGCTAGACATAATCTATCAATTAACCAAGTACTAGATGTTTGGCTCGGACAGATGTCTCGGCGGCCCTTCTAAATTACTATTTTATTAAAATCTAATTGAATTACTATATTTTATGATAAGACGTAACTTTTTGAGTTGATCTTCATTCAATTTGCCCGGGCGGCCCTTCTAAATTACTATTTTATTAAAATCTAATTGAATTACTATATTTTGTGATAAGACGTATCTTTTTGAGTTGATCTTCATTCAATTTTGTGATTTGGAAGATAATGTTGGAATAATTTGTTCTTTGAAAAATATTTTGATCTGCAAACTGAATACAGTCACGTTGGTATGCTTGATAGTTTGGTTTTCTGAAATTTGTTTCCTTATTGAGCTCCTTGATTTGTGGTATAGTGGCTTGTGTTAATTATTTCAATTTTGAAATCCTTGATTTGTGGTGTACCGGTTTGTGATAATTGTGCTATTTAGTAAGATGAATCTACGACGAAATTTTTTGAAACAGATCGTGACGAAGTGGATAAGGAAAATTCTATTGACTGTACAATTGGACATTTGAATTTGAATTAATATATCCATTCGTTTGAAATGTAACTGATCCTTATTTGTAGAATTCCTTTCATCAGGTTCGGGCCACATCTAAAATATGTGTTTTTTTTTTAAAAAAAAAAATTATATAACTTCTAATTAAAAGAGACTTACACGTGGCAAAAAGGCTTAAAAAATCTGAAATATGGTGCATTGGAGCCAAAACAGATTCATACGTAGTCGCCACATTATCTTCATGTCTTCTGCTTTAATAGGGCAAAGTGGATTACTATTATAAAAATTTCAAACTAAAAGGTAAAGTAAAATTAAATAAACTCATAAATTTCTATAATTCTTCTTTTTAATCTCTACCTCGCATGTTTATCTGTTACCGTTCTCTAATAAAAGTAATAGTTTTACTTATTACACATTATATCATCTCTGATAGAATCTTTGAGTTAATGCGAAATATGCAACTTCAACCTGCCGGATGTAACTCCAAATTCCCAAACATCCAACAACCTAACTCGTAATTCGACAGCTTGTCCACCACAATGTCTTTACTTAAAACGTAAAGAATTACATGTAGAACCACATTTGGTTTTGTGGATAACTTTTTTGGCTATAGAGGATTCGCATAATTTATCCACCATTATTGTGGTGGATTCATGATTGTCCAAAAATTGCAGTGTAAATGATAATTTAAATAAAAAATAATAATTTTGAGACGGGAGAAACATATAATTTATTAACATTGTGTTTTAAACATGGGTTTGGTAGTGTGCTTTGCACATACATTTAAGAAGAGACGATACATGTGTCGATGCGTTAGTTAAAGAGAGACTATATTTGAATACCATGTCATGAGATTTGATTAGAGCAAAACTCTCGAAACTTTCATTTGAGGTGTACTAACAATGCAGTTGCCTCTATTCATAGTATTTTACCTAAAGAAAGGTGAAGGAAAGAAAAAAGGTGTATGTAAAATAGTGTTATCTGTAACGAAGGTCATCAATCATCATTCTTGGACAAGAACATCTGGAAGTTGTAGCTAGTATCATGTGTGACATACGGAACCGCAAAGGCCAAGTGATGCCGTACATATGCATTTCTTCCTTTGTGCGTAGCCGGATTAAATTATTAAAGTGATTAAGCGAAATGAGTTGGGAGCTGGGAAATTAGTATTAGGAGGATAGGCCAACCAAAATTACAAACTCTTATCCTAGAAAAAGACTTATTTTGTTAAACTTAAATAATAATATAATGAAAAGATTTTTTTTTTTGGTGACAAAAAAAATATAAAATTTCGAATTTAATTATAACTTTATGAAGATCACCGAACTGGACAAAGAAAACAAAAATTCTCTCAATAATGCAGTTTGGGACGGAGGGAGTACGAATTACATATCTTTGTTGAAGACAATGAAGGATGCCCATAATCGGAATAGCAAAACAAAACAGACGACGGAGTTACCTGCAAGGTAGCCCTGGCAATGAGGATTACATATGCTTGAAAAAGTAAATCAATGGTTAAAAGTAAAAGGTGTTTGAAGGTAATAAATACCAACTGAAAATGAAATGTGACATGAGCATCGTAATTAAAAATAAAATACTAACAATCACGTTCTTACAACATCATAGTGTCGGTTGATGTCTCATAATTGATGGCATTTTATATCCCAATAATTTAGATTGAAAAAAGGTTAAAAAAAAAAAGAAGAAAAACCCATGATTGATAACTAACAACTAATTAACAAACAAAAGCAATCACAAGGTGAATAGAAGTGAAATACAAATCTATTTACCAATTCAGAACCAGCACCCGAATCATATCATATCACAAGTATTGTAGATTTATGCCTCAAAAGGGGGTAGACCAGACCCAAACGTAAGAGTCCAATACATACTGCAAAGTTCTTGATTTTCAGTGTTAGGGCGACTTTGAGACGAACTTCTTACCTTGATTTTTTTTTTTTTTTCCTTATTCTTGGAAAATGAGCGTAAGAAGCACATATATACATGATTAAGTAGGGTACTTTCAAATTGCGGGAATGGGAAATAACTAATAAATACTCCCTCCGTCTCATAATTATTGTCCAGTTTGAATTTTTATTTTTAGTTCAAATTGTACTAAACGTGAAATTTTAAATTGGACAATAATTTTGGGACAGACGGAGTAGTTAAAAACCATTTGGGAGTAAAATAAATTATTAAATTTGTGATTAATGCGACATATATAATTTTGGCTAATGCTATTATATGTAGAAGAAGATGTAGATACGTCCATAAAGTGGACACCAAAGACAAGTAGGTGGGATGGACAATTGCAGCAAACGACTGAAACAAAAAGATCAACAACAACTAGAGAGAATAGACAAAAGCCATCATCAACAACTGAAAATGGAATTTATGGAAGAAATTGATGTGCAATTGTCTTAAGATTAAAGAGATTAATGTATTTTTGGAATTTAGTTGCAAGAGCAGAGTAGTACCAAGAGGATGGAGGCAGACAATGACTATCTGGACCGGATGTTACGTCGCCAAAAAGTTAAGGACTAAATAGTCTAATTCTATATACAGTTTTGCTTGCATCAACGGGGGAACACACGTGGCTATCACTAATGGACACCGCACCATAAAGTAAGGTGGTCCTACTCTCACCCAGTTCCTCCCTCGCCACTAGCCCCCCAGTCCCACCCCTAAAAGTTGTAGTAGTAATATGCATGAAGTTGGAAAATAAAATAAATGGCTCATTGTAGCGTGAACGAACGAATGAATATGAACGCACCATTTTTTTTGTAATTTTGTTAACATGCGCACTATAGTCCGTTTATTATAGTTGGATTGGATAGAGTGGGCAAAGAATAAAGATAGATAAAATTGGAGTGGAGGGCACCCTCCCTCCCTACGCATTTGGATTTTATTATGGTCAGTCAACCTTTTTATGGGGCGTATTCTTCTTTTGCTTACTTAAAACATAGATACATCACACTAATTATTATTATTATTATTATTATTATTATTATTATTATTATTATTACCCCTAACCATCGGGAATTAATTCTCAGTGGTAAGAAATTTAGCATTTTACCTAATTATGAACTAATAATATTAGGAGATTTTTATCTCGAATCAAATGAGAATCAGTTCAGTGTGTATATAAACATACAAAATCAGCATCTCATTCGAAAACACATACAAATAGTAATAATATATTCGTGAGAGTGTATTCGAAAAGAATTCAGTTTATGATTCGACACGAATATTGTTTTACTTCTAAATGCGTAGAATTAGGAATGTTTCCATAAACGTGGTCACACAAAATGGACCTTCATATCGTAGCTATCATCCTGCAATTTACAACACCCTCGTTTACACGGAGGGTCATTTTCCAAGACTTATCTAGCAGGTAGCTAGCTTCAAGACAAGTCTTCTTTTAATTCATCTTAATTTCATGGAATCTTGAAATGGATCAGGCTTCTTCGTTATGTTCATGCATTCTTAATATCGTAAATATTGAATTGGACTTGTATGATTATATGTTAAGAAAAAAATAAGTGCATAGTACTATTTGAGTATGAAGAAACTGATAGTACCTAACTTATTATATCCAGTATATATCCACACACTAATTGATCAAAGGGTTGAAGAACGTAAAATTAACTTCGAAGTGACCACCGTCTTAAGTATACCACTCTTAACATCTTTTTTCGCGCATACGTTTTCGAAAATTGATTTGTGCTTTTTGAGTGGACTATATGTCTAGAACGCAAACTAATTAACTATGCGAAAGTTGTATTGAAAATTTAACAATATAAGTGTTCTTAAAATTAAGTAATTAAAATGGAAAAAACACAGTGGAAAAATCGTATTCCTTAATGTTGATGAGGAGATCATTTGCGTATATACAACTCTTTTTACAGTAAAAGTTTATGAACCTTAACCACAAGGACATTTATATATCTATTACTAATAAACGTATGTTGTCAGGGAAGAAATAGAGCAAAGTATAACAAGAAATACGATAATTATTTTTTAATAGAGAATGTAAGCAAAATAGTGAACAAGACATTAAAAGTCAATTGAAATTCAACACCACCCCCCATGATCATCGTCCCAATGTGGGACTTTTTCAGTGCATCCTCATTTGGTAGTATTAGTACCATCACTGTACTTATTACCCGTGACTTTGACCTAATTTCAATATACTTAGTAGTAATTAACAAAAAAGAAAAAAATAAATTTATTACTCATGAGGGTTACTGTAGTAATTTTCCAAAGTACAACCTTCTCCTCCCTCCTCCACTTTGTCTGCCTGGCAAGGCAAACTGGCAAAGCACAGAGAGAGAGAGAGAGAGAGAAAAGGACACAAAAAAAAGACCAAAAGAAGAAGAATAGCAAAAATACTATTTTGCTGATATTCACTCACAGCCAAACAAGTCCTCAGCCATTGTGAACTGTGAACAGACAAACTAAACCGCTGCTGAGGTATCTCTCTCATTAGGTAAGGATTAGTTTTTTACTCTCTTTTCTTTCTCTATCTCTTTTTCCTTCTTACCTGAGTTTCTGTGCTTGAGGGGAAAAAAACCAAAAGATCAAGAAATACCATTTGGAATTGGATTTCTCCCCCTTTCTTTCTTTTTTCTCATTTATCCCAAAGAAAGCAGCTTTCTTTTCTTCTTCTTTTTGGGATCAATGCCCTGTAAATCTGCTATTATATTCATCCCCATTTCTCAATTCATGAAAAAACAGCTCGAATTTACTCCGGTAAAAACTATGACAGACAGTTGAAATTACCCATTGTTTTACTATAATTTAGTATGTATACTGCTTGTCTCAACATCAATCATATGCATGCATTGTGAAATTGTGTCCTTTTAATTTGGTTTTTGAACTTTGCATTCTTGTTGAAAAAAAAAAAACTTGGTTGCAGGAATAGAAGCTTCGCCGGGGTGGGGTCGGCGGTGAGCTCAGCTGTTTGCACCTTGGCGGTTATCAGTAACTTTCCAGTTACGCTGATGGAAATCAATGGTGGTGTGTTATTATTTTCATCCTCGTGTATTTGTTTATTTCTTTTTGTTTATCCTTTGTTCAATCAAGAAAAGAAGAAGATTATTTATGATTGTTCAAGATATGAGTCAAAACGAAAATCTTTCTTTCCTTAATTTCCCTTTGTTTTTAATTTTCTTTTGGTTCCTTTCTCTCTTTTTTTTTTTTGTTTGTTTGTTTTTCTTCTTTTTCCAGTTTGTCTTTAGAAAAAAGTTGGAAGTGTAAAGGGATGCATTAGACTATGCCTGAGATCTCTTTGACTGGTTTCCTGAATTTTCTTTATTAATCCTCTTTAAAGAAAAAAAAAAAATTTCCTGAGTCCATTATTTGAAGATCTCTTTCTCAATTCACTGTTGAAGGGATCTGGTTAATTAGGTAGAGAGGTATTGACTTGAGCTGCAAACTTTTTCCTCTAAACTCAATACATGTATGAATTGCAAATTCTGTAGTCTACAAATAAATTTGCAGGAAGAAGAAGTTTACACTTTTCATGGGTTGCACTGTATCAAATTTTCAGGTAATGCAGTATTGAGTAGTTACAATGTGTATTAGTGGTGGATGTTTATTGTTGTCGGGAGCTTATAAAGTGGACTGAAAACCAAGATATTTTTTTATCTCGCGCGATCGGAAGAGACCGTTAAAAATGTCGACGTGGGAACATTTTGGTGAAATTGCAAATGGTGCCCAGCTAGCGGGGGTTGATGCAGTCAAGCTGATTGGGATGATTGTGCAGGCAGCTAATACTGCTCGAATGCACAAGAAAAATTGCAGGCAGTTTGCTCTGCATCTGAAGCTGATAGGAAATTTGTTGGAGCAGCTTAGAATATCTGAGCTCAAGAAGTATCCTGAAACACGAGAGCCTCTAGAACAGCTTGAGGATGCGTTAAGAAGAGCCTATATTTTGGTAAATAGTTGTCAGGACCGGAGCTACTTGTATCTATTGGCAATGGGGTGGAACATTGTGTACCAATTCAGGAAGGCTCAAACTGAGATTGACAGATATTTGAAGATCATCCCTCTCATCACCCTCGTTGATAATGCCCGAGTTAGGGTAATGCAATTCTTATTCAATTTTCTGTTAATTCACGGTGTTTTGCCGGGCTTGGAAATACTTCCCTTGAAAACTTGAATATAATCTTCCTTAATAGTTTACTCTTAGATCCATCTCTATGTCTGCTTTATACTGAGTATTTCCTTTCCTTTATTGCAGGAAAGGTTGGAATTGATTGACAGGGATCAACGCGAGTACACATTGGACGATGAGGATAAGAAAGTTCAAGACGTGATAATGAAACGAGATCCTTCTGTGAAAGACACTGTCATATTGAAGAAGACCCTTTCGTGTTCCTATCCGAATTTGCCCTTTAATGAGGCAATTAAGCAAGAAAGTGAAAAGCTTCAACTAGAACTTCAACGTTCACAAGCCAATTATGATGTCAGCCAGTGTGAAGTAATTCAGCATCTTCTTGAGGTTACTGAGGTTGTTGCTTCAAACACTACGTCAGACAAGAGTTCTCCCAAGAAAACTTCGAAGGGAGTGGACCATAGCTACTCCGACCTCAATGACGGGACTAAACATTATGGTGAAACATATACTAAGGGTGTCGACAAACAAACACCATCAAGGTTTGGTCATTACTCAACTCCAACAATTAGTTCTGTTTAGCCATACTGCATCGCACTATGAAGTTTGCACAGCTTAGAGCAATTCCCCTGTTGGACCCTCTATTATACATTGTGATATCGGAATTTAGTCTACTTTGCTATTATTTTTGTCCAATCAAAAGTCATCGTTTATTCCATTCTATATCAATGCGTAAGAATATGACCTACCACAATTGCTAAGTTTCTAGATGCTCCTAGTCAGAAAGATATTTAGACCATTTTCATCCTCATTTGCTTCTTTTTCAGGCCTACCCTAGCAGTTAACTAAGTGAATCATGTTTTCTCCATCGCAGAACTACTTCATCAGTTTCATCCAAACATGAGTTGCTTTCTTCTAAAGGATCACATCATGATGAAGAATGGCACTCAGATTTGCTTGGCTGCTGCTCAGAACCTCTTCTCTGTATGTTTTAATGTGTTGCTTGTTAACCTTTTACAGATATTGAAACAGTTTTATCTTTAATGACTGCATGCTTTTCATATTGACTAATTACTGGAGTATTTTTAGGCTTGTATGTTTTAATGGAGTATTTTTTTTAACCTTTCCAACTAGGCTTTGAGTTACACTTAGTACTAATGATGGATTGCATACTGAACTGTACTCTTAGCAGCTTATATCTTGTGCAGGCTTTAAGACCCTCTGTTTTCCTTGTGGGACATTGTCAAGAATTGCTTCTGTGGCAGCTAGCAGGCATATATGTAAGTAATCCTGAGTTCCTTTAATTTTTCAGTTTTTTTTTCACTGCTTCTAGTTTTACCAGATGAGTTTTCAAAGTTGTGACAAATTCATGTACATAAAAAGCTACCGAAGCTTGTCTGGTATAGCCGACAAATACTTTTCATCTAAATCCCAAGAACATTGCCTAAGAGCTTCAGGCAATGCAGCCTCTAGGATTGAGTAATGATACATTTGTCTCTTTCTACGGAACAAAATTCGAGCTGTTTGTCCCCAGGTTTTACTTGCTTGCTTTTCCAATTATAGTTTAATTGAGGGCCCACTAATGTTAGTCCTTACTATGGAAAGTAGTTTTAATATATCTGAGGCAATTGGACAGGATTTGAAAGTAGGCCTTATTGAACAAATTATTTTCGGATAAATCTGATATTTTAGCATTTTGTGATTGTTGTGTAAAATACAAAATGTCATTCCGTTTGGTTCTCATAAATGTGAGTTGGATGTTTTGGAATTTCAGCTTCAGCAGAGACCTGCAATGAAATAATGGCTTACTCCTTAATATTGTCCTGCTGTTGCTATACCTGTTGCATCAGAAGAAAGCTGCGGAAAACACTCAACATCGCTGTAAGTTGCTAAAAACCCTGCATCAATGTGAATGTTTCTCTGAGCATCTATGTTACATCCAGGGTTATTACTCGTGTGCATAAATCTAAGGGAAGTGCACTATGTATGTAATACTGTAGGAATAGAACAACCTTTAGCTAAGATCTACTGCTAATCTACTGTCTAAGGTAGACTGAGTCTTACTATTCATCAACTACAGGGAGGCTGCTTTGATGATTTTCTTTCACACTTAATGTGCTGTTGCTGTGCCCTTGTCCAAGAATATAGAGAAGTGGAGCTTCGTGGTCTTCATGGTAAGTTTTATTTATGATTACGTCTTTTGAAGTTTAGTTTTTATATCCAATTGAGCCCTCAGTTCTCATTTTGCAATTATATCCCTTTAAGATCGAACTACTCTTTTTATGTATGTGATGTTATTCTCATCCATCTCCTTTGACGAGATACAGTATTCGCATAAAAAAATGTGCAGGTTCTGAGAAGACCAAAACAAGCCCTCCAACATTCCAGTACATGGAATCATAGAGCTTTGGACCGGAGGATTATGATAGGTGGCTAGAGAGTTGAACATATTGAAGTTTTTATATAGGATTATAGATTCAATTTGTTGCATACATACCGACAGGAGTTTGGATTCATTTAGCCTGAGCTGCCTTTGTTGGATCTATTGACTGACTGCCTTTTCTGCTGTAATTAAATTTCGGACCTTTTCCTGTGGTTTGTACTATGTGTATATTACTAGCCATTAATTTTTACAGCACTGATTTCATTTCTACTTGATCCTTTTATCAAACACTAAAGAGCAGGAAATTCGTTGAGAAAATGTAAACTTTTGCTTGTTGCCTACAAGATCTGATTGTTCGATACAGGCCAAATATGCGACTCTGGCACATGTCAATGTCATGTACAATACTAGTAGTCCTTGCCTGCTCGGAAACTGGAAGTTTTAATGCAACCAGGCCGTAGGCGTAGAGTTTGTTGTCAAGAAACACTATTACGCCATTAAGCTTTGCAAATTCAGTGTTGGCAAATTTGATTTGAAAAACAAAAAAAAGATTGATGACAACGTAGAAATGCTATGTGGCGCTGACTTAAGAAAAAATCATTCGTAACAATTTAGACTAAAATGTTCAAATGGTCCCTTATATTTGGGCCTATTTGAATTTACGTCCCTAACATTAATATTTTAATATCGTAGTCCTAAACTTTATATTTTCGTACTTTTTTGGTCCCATTTCACTGTTTCCGGCCGTTGAAATGTCGGAATCAGGGGTATTTTTGTCTTTTAATTTAATTTGAATTTTTATTAAAATTTAAATCATTAAAAATATTTTAAAATTAAAATTTCATTATTTAATTGTTAAAATATTATTTATTAATTAAAAATAATATTATACAATTTTAAAATTTATCATTATTTTCAAAATTATTCATTCACTATTTACTTTAAGTACATAGTAAACGGTAATTATAATACACTTTTAATTTTGAGCCCACTGTAACTTACAAAATTATCAAGTTACGGTAAATAATTTAAAATTTAATTGTTTTTTTTTTAAAAGCAACTAAGTTTTTTTTACTCTGACCGCTACAGTAAACCCTAAATGGTAATTATGTTGTATTTTTAACCTTGGACCCACTGTAACTTAAAAAATTTATCGAGTTACAGTAAATAATTCAAAATTCAATTTTTTTTTAAAAAAAGGAAAAAGCAAAACCAAGATTTTTTTTTCTTTGACCGCTACAGTAAACCCTAAATGGCAATTATAATACAATTTTAACCTTAGGCTCACTGTAACTTAAAAAATTTACCGAATTACAGTAAATAATTCAAAATTTAATTTAAATTTTTTTTAAAAAAAAAGAAAAACCAAGATTTTTTTTACTCTGATCGCTATAATAAACCCTAAATGGTAATTATGTTGCACTTTTAATTTTGGACCCACTGTAACTTAAAATATTTACCGAGTCACAGTAAATAATTCAAAATTCAATTTTTTTCTAAAAGAAAAAAGAAAACTAAGATTTTTTTTACTCTGACCGCTACGTTGTTTTTTTAACCTTGGACCAACTATAAGTAATTGACCCTTACAGTAAACCCTTATGTTGTACTTTTAATCTTGGACCCAATGTAACTAAAAAAATTTGCTGTGTTACAGTAAATAATTCAAAATTCAACTTTAGTGGTCAAAGTAAAAAAAAAAAATCTTGGTTTTGCTTTTTCTTTTTTTTTTAAAAAAAAATATTTAAATTTTGAATTATTTACTGTAACTCGGTAACTTTTTTTAAGTTATAGCGGGTCTAAGGTTAAAAGTGTAACATAATTACCATTTAGGGTTTACTTTAGCGGTCAGAGTAAAAAAAAAATAGTTTTGCTTTTTCTTTTTTTTTTTAAAGAAATTGAATTTTGAACTATTTACTATAACTCAGTAAATTTTTTAAATTATAGTGAGTCCAAGGTTAAAAGTATAACATAATTACTATTTACTTTGACCTAAGATAAATGATAAATTAAAAATTAATTTTGAAAATAATGTAAATTTTAAACTTTTATAATAATATTTGTAATTAATAAATAATATTTGAACAATTAAATAATAAAAACTGAATTTTAAAATATTTTTAATGATTTAAATTTTAATAAAAATTAAAATTAAATTAAAAGACAAAAATACCCCTGATTCCAGTATGTCAACGGCCGGAAACAGTAAAATGGGACTGAAAAAGTTTGAAAACATAATGTTTGGGACTACGATATTGAAATGTTAATATTAGGGACGTAAATTTGAATAATCCCAAATATAAGGGACCATTTGGACATTTTAGTCTAACAATTTACAACTGTCAGTATCAAGTTCTGGTAATGTGATGTACGAGAACCACGGAAAGGCAATATAAATGAAGAATGCAGTTCTTCAGTACACCAATCTTTAGCTCTCATGCTACACTACAAAATTGTAAGAGGAAGAAGTGTAATCACACCTAACCACTGACCCGGATACTATCATGTGTCGTTTCCAATGAGCAGATCAAATCATTGACCATTTGGCCTCCACAGACCACAGTACTCGTCATAGCATATCTCTGTGATTACGGTAGAACATGTATTGCGGGAGTACAATTTCATGCACGCGGACTGAATTTGGTAAACCAATCACACCCTTGTCAGCCAAAACTGATCTGAAAGCTTGGCATAGTTGAAAATTGAATCTTTTGAATGCTTCCACAGACACATAGAATCTCATATTGTACTAACTATAATCACCACCATCGAGCCTTTGTACACTCTGTAAGGTAGTGTATTTGAATCACATCTCAGTCATTCTATTGAAACGGGCACTTCGAATGAATTTGTTGGTAAGAAAAAAAATTCTAACATACTCTGAAGGGAGAGCTCACTGAGCTGACTTCCTTTCTGGTGTGGAGTGCAAATTCCCATCTCAATATCCAAATAAAGCCTAGTCATATTCAGACATTAACGTAAACAGTTCACTTCTTGTCTTTAGAGGCCAACTATCCGTCTATCCCTCAGTTCTGGTACGACCATCTGGTGAACAATCTCGTTCATGTCTTTAAGACCACAACCTGGATTTCTTTTGATCCCTTTCTCCTTCATCATTTCCTTTGTTACAGAAACTTCCTCCCACTTACCAGCCACAGCATACAGATTCACCAGCAATGCGAAGCATGAGAAATTCTGAGGATCTTGCTCAATTAAATGTTTTGCTAGTTGTTCTCCCAATACCACATTTCCTTCAAAACGACATGATCCAAATAAACGAGCCAAGAATAAGATTTCTGGTGATGCATCTTCACTGAATGGCAGATTTCGTAGCAGTTCAATCGCTTCTTCCCTATGATCAGCTCTGTCTAGTATGTTAGCCATGCACCAATAATGAGCGAAATTTGGCTTCAACCCGAAAGCTTCAACCATTTGAGTGAAGTAGCTCCTGCCTTCTGTCAATCGTCCTTCACGGGCACAGGCTAACAAAACACCAATAAAAGTGATTTCATCTGGGACAATCCTGTTCTGATCGGATGACTTGAACTGTTTACTTGAACTACTACTTCTGCTTAACATTTCCCTATACAAGTTTAATCCATCTTGTGGATTCCCATGAATACAATGTCCTAAAATCATTGCATTCCAAGAAACCAAATTCTTTACTGGCATCCTTTCAAAAACAAATTGTGCAGCATCTAACCTTCCGCATTTACTGTACATGTCAATTAAGGATGTACCTACAATCACACTATGATTCTCAAAATCCTTAATAAGAGCTCTGTGAACCGATTTTCCTTCCTTTAATCTGGCAGACCTACCACAAGCTGAGAGCACATTCACCATAGATGTTTCATTAGGTTTAAATCCCGATTTCACCATTTCCCTGAATAACTTTAACCCATTGCCAGGCTTCCCTAAATCCAAAAATGCTGTCATCATTATATTCCAAGAAATAACATTCCTTTGGGGCATTGCATCAAACAACTTCTGTGCCATGTCCAATTCATCCGCTCTAATAAACCCATCCATTATGGTATTCCAAGATACCGAGTCCTTCACAGGCATATCAACAAGTATCTGACGAACAGAAGTAAGTAACCCACACGAAGCATATAAATGCAGCAATGAATTCTGCACTTCTAGAATACCATCAACGCCATTTTTCACAACCTGGCCATGGCACTTATGTCCAAGATTTAAACTACGCATTTTAGCACAAACACTTAGCAGAGGCGGGAAGCTAAAACTATTGGGAAGGAAGCCATTTTTAAGCATTTCAAAGTAAAAAAACACAGCTTTTTCCGGTGCATAGCTGCAAGCATAAGCTTTAATCACAGTGTTCACACAAAATACGCTAGGAAAATCAACACATTTAAAGATCAAGAAAGTATAATCGGGTTCACATAAATTTGAGGAAATCGCCATCAACCTGCCTGAAAACGAAGGGTGTTGAAGTAGACCTGAAGTTGTCAGTTGGGCTTGGATTTGATAAACATGGTTCAAACTCTGGCACGAGTACAGAAAGTCCAGAGTTTTTGTATAGAATGTGTAGTTCTTTGTTGAAGCCGAATTCCATTTAGAGGAACTGATCTTTGATGAAGGGTTGGACGATTGGATTACACCATTGGTGTAGTTACAACGAGACGGCAGGACAGAGGAACTGATCTTTGAAAATTTCCTCAAGGGAAGTCTTGCCATTCATCTGCCAGAAAGTTTCGATCTTTATTGAGCTCTGAATTCAAGTTTGTCTCCGCCGCCGCCATTAAAGTTCATTGCCCACTCTTTCTCAACTTCTCACGCAGAGGCGAAGAATGGCTGAATTCAGATGCAGCTGCATACTATTAACAAAAAAAATAAAATTGGAGGTTTATGTTTTCGAAAGGGTTTTATGACTCCCCTCACCTTTACTAAAACGCTGCCGTTTCATCAGGTGGAAAATTGAATCAGACTATTTCATCCCAAAAACAAATCAGAAAGCTCAATAAATCCTTCATTTCTTCTGAATTTTGCAGAGTATACGTAATCAAAAGGGAGAAGCCAGAAATGGTGAGAATTGGGAGAATGCTTTTGAAGGATGCTAGTGTTGGTATCAGCAAGACTTTGTCAGAGATACTCGTCTGCCCACTCTCAAAACAACCGTTAAGGTAGAACTATTTTCAACCGAAAGATTCAGTCTTTTTTTTTTTTGTTTTTGTTTTTGATTCAGTGTTCTGATGGTGTGTTTTCCTGTTTCAGATTATGCGAGAAAACAAATTCTTTGATCAGTGACTCCATTGGAGTGTCTTATCCTGTAAGTATTTTTCTTCTTTCTTATTAATTGAGTTTACTCCTTTTCTGCATTGGTAATTGGTATGCTTTATAAGTATTGTCTAATTATCCCCATACCAATGAATCAAGTTGGGCAAATAGAGAAATAGATTGAGTTTGGCCTTTTAAGTGTTTGATTTTCATCTTTTGGTATGATTAGATAGTTGATGGAATTCCTCGTCTTGTGCCAACCGACGGTAAAATGATCGACTTAGAAGAAGGGTCCTCAACCAATTCTACTGTTGGCTCGGATGATGGAAAGATTAACCATCAAAGAGGTAGTAGCTCTTAATATCATTGGTATAACAGTTGGAAAAGAAAGAATGTACCAGTTGCATCCTTTATTATAGAAATGGTCATTGTTCGAAGTTTGGTTAGCTTGAATCTCTCAACCATTATTGACATTTCTCTTGAGTAAATTAAATTTAAATGTTCCTTTGAGAATGAATGTGGACCTCTTTTTTTATTGTGATTTGCCCATTCTGCTTTACTCCCTATGATGCTAAAGTTTACTACTTCTCTGGACGTAGAGACTATCGTCCATGACATTTAAATCATTAAGAACCGCGGATTATTGGAAAGTGTTTAAGGTGTTAAATCACATATTGGTTGAACAGTGAATACCTAGTCTTGGAATGTTATATCTCATGGCAAATATAATTTGGAAGTTCCTGCCAATGCTTTAGCAGAATGAGATTAATATCAAAGTGGTCAAAGTTCTTAAAATCATTTGCAGAGCAGTTCCAAAAAAAAAAAAAAAAAGAAGAAGAGAGAGAATGTAGTAGTTGCATCCTTTGTTTTGGAAATGGTCGTTCAGAATTTGTTTCGCTAGAATCTCCCAATCATTATTGAGAACTTTGTTGAATAAAACTAAAACTGCATTTTGCTCTACAGTGAATCTGTTTGTTACAATTTTTTCCATTCTATTTCATCCTCAATGGTGATAAATGATACTACTTCAGATTTGACCATCATCCTACTATATATAAGTCTTCGAAGAACAGAACCGCAGAGGCTTGGAAAGTGATTTAGGTGTAAAATCACGTACTGCTTGAACTTCAATTACCTAGTCTAAACAAATTTTATTCGTTGATGCTGAGTGGGTAAATAACTCGCCATGGTTTTCTAGGAAGGGATTAGTGAAAATGAGAAGCTGCTTACTACTGTGACTGCGCTCCGCGCATGATAAGTAAGGGGGAAGTTATTGGGTGGATGCTCATATTCAGATGAATTTTACTACCAGTTATCTCATGGGCTTCCAACATGTTGTTAGTCTGGGATAAGGCCCCATGTACGGCATTTCAAAGATCACCCCTGCACATTAGATTGTCTGTGGGCTCTATGTCCACAGTATGAAATGCTTGATTGACTCACTTTAGAATCATATATCAGTTCTTTTTCCTGCCACATGAAACAAATATGCTCTGTCCTCTTAATTAGGGCCTTTACTTCAGTCACCAGATGCCATCTTCAAGCTTTGTTTAGAGTGATCCCTAGACATTACCTTTACTTCTCATTCTTACTGACTTTTTAGGAATTTCCTTGTTTACTTTAAAAGTTTCCTAGTTAAAGGTTTGGATGTCAAGATTCACTGGCTGTTTTCCAGAATACAGCTGTTACATGTTGGTCACTGTAAGCAATGTATTTAAGAAAGAAAACTTGCAAAGATGAACCATCTCAAGCAATTAAGAGTGGTAACTGCTGAGGGTGGTTTCTGCTCTTTTCCCTCAGCGGCTAACATAATAGACCTTTATTAATATTTCATTAGTCTCATGAAGTTCTCGTAACCGAAGTCTCAGAAAACTGTCTGCCGTACTTGCTTTATGATCTGTAAATGACTATGTAGTAACTTGGTGTAACTTGTGGTTGTATCATGCACCCTTTCTTGCTCTTATAAACCCTTTTCCTGTTCTAGGTTTGGCTACTTGACACGTTATATTATTGTGTGCTTCAGAATGCTCGAAATCCAGAATGTGAGGCTTTATGAGTTTATTCGATGGATAGGGTCACCTCTTCATTGTTATAAGTTCCTTCACCGCATCTTTTCCTGGGGAATACTTTTAAAGATATTTTCGCTTTTTCACTTGCATTACATGTAGTTGCTTGTCATCCTTTCCCCATTTTGTCGGGTAAGAGAAAATGTGTTGATATCGCCCAAATGGTACACTTTAGACCTAGTGATTCTTTGTCAATCGATCCTACTGACTACATTTCATGAATTTGGGCACCCATGGAATGTGAGGTTGGAATGGCTGATTGCAACTGCAGTTTGTACTACTATTAAAGATTTTGTTCTTGACCTTACTTTTGGAGAAATATCTGTTACGTTATTCGGGTAGCTGCATTTTCTTCTTTACGAGAAAGATGGTTAGAATATTCTTCTGAGATACAAAGAAGATTTACTGAGGCCTTCTGCAAAACCTCAGCCATGAACTTCTCGGTCCCCTCCCATGAAAACAAACTGTGGGTAAGATTCTCAATGATCCGCTTTGCACCATTAGGTTCCCTCCCTTGGATCAGACGCGGTAAAAGCTTTCGTATGCTCAAAGGATTGATGCAATTGACTAAATCCTCCTATATGCACTGAAGTGAAAATTAGGAAAGCTTTACAGTGGGTCTCGGATTCTTGTAATTCAGTCTCCTATGTCAGCGCATCATTGTTATATTCTTCAACCTTTTGGTGACCCATGATGGCAAGTTCCGAAGGAGGTTGTCTTCTTGGGGGAATATATTAAAAAACTTACAAATGCTGAATTCATGAAAATAGTACAAAACAAAATAGATAAAATACGATACAATGTGATTTTTGAGAGATCTGAGTCCCAAAATATATATAAATCCTGTTCAAGCTAAGAGGGAGGCAGAAATGGAGAGACATTAAAGTGAAGTACACAACAAGAGATATTTTGAGCTGTTAATTTCAGGATGTAGTATGGAATTTCCCAGTTTCATACACTGATTTGATAGATTAGAAGTAAGAAACACGTGTGACATCAATATCTCCATTTCCATATTTTTAAGCCCATTAAAAATCCACAACAAGAGCTTCTCCCCAAGGGACTTGGAACGGAGTAACTAAAATTAAGGAAGCATGCAATAACTGAAGATATTAATAAGATGACGACGACGTTCCATTTGAACTAGCAAAGACAAGTAGTTTTTGGTGCAACCAATTTATGTTCAACACTCAAAATCTTCTCACCCCATTCCAACAACCCTCCCCAAAAGCCAAGTTAAAAAAATTCTAACCCACGCTAAACAAACTCCGCAACAATAACGTGACAGTGATATTTATTTAATTCCCCACTTCTTCTTACTCATCTGTGAATAAATATCTAAATTCTATATTATATCATCTGTTCAGTTGTTTACGCTCTATAATTCAAATCATCTTAGAACTTCTTTTTTGAATCAAAAAAAAAACTTAGTAATGGTTTTTAAGAAGAAGTTAGTTTGCTACATTAGTAGCATCTTTGGTCCAATTGGAGGGTGGCAAAGAGCCAAAGCTTCTGGTGATTCAGATAATGTGATTGATAAGGCATCAAGATTGGAAGATGATGAAGAGGAATTAATGGAGGAGAAGGAGTTGTGTTGTGTTTGTTTGTCAAGGCTGAACAAAGGAGATGAGGAGAAACGATCACTACCGTGTGGCCACGAGTTTCATGGAGAATGTATAGAGTCATGGTTGAGCAACACTCGTCGGAAAACGTGTCCGGTGTGCCGGTTCTTGGTGGAAGATGGTGAAGAGGAGAGCATCCAAAGAGAGTTCTTGACGGATGAAATGATGGTATGGTTTTCTTCATTTCACGTCGCTGGCTTCTGATATGGGTTTAGGGTTTTTCAAAGAATTCCCCCAAATAATTTTTGTTTCTTTTTCTCGTTCTCAATAAAAATTTGGAGGGTGAAAATTTTACCCCAATTTGTGTATTGATCGTCCCAAAGTATAGAGTATGAATTCTAGCTTACATTTTCTGGATGACCAAATCCATAGATCAGATGTCACAAAATTTTGCAAAATGACACCATTTATATTCACTCACTTACGCGGAAATGTTGCAAGAGTTTCTTATTGGTGACGCGGCTTATTTCAACAGCTCTACGTCTCCTGAATTGTTTGCTTATTTAATCTGGAACAGAAGAACAATGAAGAACCGACACAGAATTGTTGCTCTTTTTTTAATGAGGGTTCAGATGAACAAAAGTAAAAATTGCATAACGTAGGAATTAGTCGAGTAATATTAATGTGCCCGGACAAATAGACGAAGCCCAAAAAGTTCCGTTACCGGGAATCGAACCCGGGTCTCCTGGGTGAAAGCCAGATATCCTAACCGCTGGACGATAACGGAAGTTGTTGGGAGATTTGGGTACGGATAAAAATTTAAATATCTTCACCTTCCGTCATTTGCTGGCCATTAGTTAGTAATTTTATAGTGTAAAGGCTCTAATTTCTAATTTTATAGTAATTTTATAGGTCCGATTGAAAAGGTTCTAATTTCCTAAGTCCATTAGAAAGACTTGTGATACAAACAAAGAAAACATTACGAAATACTTAGCTTTTCAGAAAAAGATTTTTCAGAGATTACCCTCTGTCTATCTTATGTAAATGATGGAATACCCCAACAAAGCATGTTTGGCAAAAATTATATTTCACGAGCAAAATAGTATCGGTTTTATTCTATACCCTTCTATAGATTGATCTCACTAATTCCATCTCGTTTCATTGACATGAATTGAAGCACTAGATGAAATGGAATTTGAACGATTGAATGGAATTTGATAGTAGGTGTCTTCTTTATTACAAGGGGAAAAAAAAAAAAAAAAGGTCCGAAAAATGCCAAAGAACCGAACAGAGAAATACCCACACTAAATCAGGAAATTGAATAGCAACACAATTAAGGCACAACTTCCCCACATGCAAAGACAAAATTAAGAAGGCCGAAAAAGGGGTCACTGTCCCTCCCAGAACTTGGAATAGTTTGAATGCCCCAAAACCCAACCCAACCACACGAGGTAGGTTAATTGCAATTTGCAAAGAGATACACGAGCCCCCACAGTGCACTGGAGTGGTATAGTAATTAAAGGTTTGACCCACATTCCAGGCCTCAAAAAGGCCCTCCCCATTAACCAAATCGGACAAAACTTGAGTCACTCATCAGTCCTTATTACAATCCAATCTGTGTCAATAAAGAAAGCATATATTGTCCCTGCGTCCACTTTTTTATTTACATTTGCGGAATCGACAAAACGAACCAAACAAGTGCCTATTCGAGAAACAAAAACCATGAAAATGGTATCAAGGACGAAAAATAGTCACGTTAGTTTTGTCATACTGTAATTGAACATTCTGAAACGTCATTACAATTTTGTTAGTGGTCACTCATAAAGAATCCAGTGACCAATAGTTAGTAGTCTTTTAAGGGAATTGTTCTATAATAAGAGAGATGCATATGTTAGCCAAAAACCTTAAAAAAGGCTGGTGGCCCTTTCATTGTCAATGTTACATTTCCATTACACGAGACCAATAAAAGCCCTAATGTTACATAGATTTTCACAATAGAAGTCGAAAGGATGGAAGAGCCAAAGAGAAGATTGCCTCTCTCATGTAGTTACTAGTACAGTACTTTGACTAATTTTTCCTTAAATAACCAGGCTACTCCATGTTACATAAAGAGGAGTTAGTAATCAGACCCACCCATCAAAAAAAAAGAGCTTACGACCCATAAATGACCTTTTCTTTTAGGCCTAATATACAAGACAAACATCAAAATTATCTGATGGATCCACTTGACCATATTTAGAGCTAGCAGAGAGTACACAGTTTGAAGCTTTTGGTCTTCAGAAAGGTGCAGTAGAGGTTCTATGCAGAGTGTGCTTTCTTCGAACTGGTTGATTGGCTGCTGCAGCTTCACATAACTGCCCGTCGAAGTCGAAACACACACAATGACATGAGTAAAATAGATAAGGCAAGAAATGAATGCCAAATTCAAAATCTACTTGGAAGATGGAAAAAAAAAAAGGAACACTGGAATTAGCTGTATAAGGAAATGGAAATGCGGGCCCTTTTCGTTCTTTTCCTCTTTCTTTTTTTTTTACCTTGTTGAAAGATCATAAGAAACTTTCCTTAAATATATAAGGAAAAAACATTCAGCTCCAAGGAATGAGGAAGTAGACTAATAATATACTACTACCTGTCTTTGTTGTTCTTTGAGCCTGGCATTTTCTTTGGTCAATAGCTCCACTTCCAGCTCCAATTCAGTCGTGTATGCCTGTTGGTGGTTTTTACATCAAATAGGGCAAAAACAGAAAAAAAAACCGTCAAAAAGAAGCCATCAGAAAAACAAACACAGATGTGTAGACACAAGAAGAAACAGGGGAATCCATGTTTAGAACATTCCCATTTCCAACCTACAAATCAGCCCACTCATAAATGCTTATCCACAGCATTGAACATTTTGAAACAACAAATCTGGTTACCCAATTATGGCATTTGGCCAAAGAAAGACTTCACACTTTTATTTGTTTGCATCAATTGATCCCACGTAGAAAATAGAGATTGGAATAAAGGAGGGACAGAAGCTTTCCTGTTTCCTGGCTCTGGAACGGGCAGCTGACTCTCTGTTCTTGATCATCCTCTTGTGTCGCCGGTCGCCGGGATTGTTGTTGGGTTCATCCTCAGCGGCGCACCTCTTGTTGGGCTTTCCATGAACCCCATTGATTCCGGCATAACAAGACCCAATCCCATCAAACTGCATGCTAAGAGCACAAGCTTGGGAAATGTTATTGTTCCGAGGCTGATAAATTGGACTGTGTCTGGAAGAAGGACAAGGGCTTAACGCTCCGAACAAGCTAAACTCCGGACCGGAATTCAGAGTCAGCATCGTCGCCGGAAGATGTTGATGATGATTATGATGAGATGAAGGCAGAGCAGCTGGCGGAGCAACAGAAACAGGGGAAATGCGTTGAGGACCAACAAAATTATTATTTTGAGGGGGATCTTGATCAATGGGTCGAGCGAGAAAGTCCTGAAACATCATCCCACGGAAACTTGTGATGGAACGATCATCCATTGGGGATGATGACAGGTTGATTTCTTTCCAAACTTCTTCCATGGTTTTGGTTCTGGGGTTCTTCGGGTATGGAGATGATGATGAAAACGGGGATGGAGAATGTGAAGACGAAGAAGTAGTAGATGAGGATGAAGATGACGAAACTCGCCGGAAGGATTTGTTGTTGTTGCTTGGCTCTTCAGCACTTGATGACCACATCGGTGGAATCAGAAAGCTGAAAGCAGAGGAAGAAGAAGAGAAAAAAATACGGGTTTCTTTTTCACATAAAACTCATCAGAAGAGGAAAGAACATTTTGGGTTTTGGGGGGGGTGGGAAGAAATGGAGGAGTGCGCCTAATTTTGTACCTTCTGAGAAACTTTTGCAGTCCACAGTAGTACTAGTTTTTTGCTATTATAACACTCGGGAAATTTATTACGTATTATTGTTATTTTTTAAAAATAAAAATAAAAAAATAAAGAAAAGAAGAAGAAAAGTGTCACATTCATTCATAAATAGTTTCACTACAAATAATTCAAAAGGTTCGTACACAAGTAATTATCAACTGGTGTTACCAAATGCTATGGTCTTTTTCTAAAGTGACATAAGGTAAGCGCAATCAAGTCCCTATGTCCGAATTTCACAGTCGATTTATTATTTCTTTTGCACCGCTTAGTTCAAGCGCTACCAGTCTTTTGTAATGTTTTATTGCGATTGAACCCCATATTTATTTATTCAGATGAAACTTGTATTCCTTTCTTTCTAACAAAACAGAAAAACCAGAAAAAAAATAAAAATAAAAAAAAGGGTTACGAATATGGAGAGAAATGACAATGACTAAAAAAAATTTCAACATAAGCTGATTGCTTTCATCTCACGTGCAAAGCTTAAGTATTGGAGAATTCTTGTCTCACTTTTGGTTCAAGGAAAGTGTTTTTGTTTTACTATAAATAATTAAAAAAAATCCTTTCTTTGCGACACTAAAGTGAATCAATTAGAACTATGATTAAGGGGAGGAAGAGAGGTACTTATCATTATCCGATGTTAGTGGCTCCCTCTGAAAACTCATATTTACTTGGTCAATCATATTTCATTTGTCTCATTCTACCAATTAGTCTTCATTCTAAGATTTCACTTTTAAGATTTATATAATCCGAAGATTAAATTAAAAACTTTTGATAAGTAAATGCGGGTAACACTTTGTCCATTAGATGGGATATAAATTTTTAGAACATATAATTTTCTACTAAGAATATATTCAGAAGTTTTTATATTTTTAAATGGGACAGATGAAGTACTTACTATATTATTACCCCAGAGTGAATTTTTTTACTATAAAAGCTAGTACTATATAAACAAATCTTGATTGGGGGCTTTTCTTAAAGTCAATCAAAGATATTAACAACTTGTGTCTCTAGTGATTAACCCCCCAGTCACTATCGCAAAACTTCGTCCAATAAATACCTTTCGTCATCAGTCCCACTGCTTAAAGGAATCTAATGGAAATGCCCAATCAGCTATTCCTTTCTCTCTTTTAGTATTTTTCTTGATCATTAATCTAAAACGAATTGTAATCCAAGCTATGATAGTAATTATCGAAACTAAGCGGGCACTTTAAGTTAAGAATTTTCGTGTTATGCGTCGTTGCATAATGCCGTAATCTTTACCGCTCGATTCATATTCTTTCCATCTAAAATGAAAATATAATTCGTAATATTACAATAGGTTAATATTCAGGATTTTAAATTTCGGACGAAATGAGTGTATTTTATGTTATCACCCACTCCTCTGGTCTCGGAGAAATTATTGAGTACAACTGTTGTAGTACGTAAAATTGCGCAATAAATAGGATAAAGTAGTAATTTGGGGAGAAGAAAGAAAAGATAATTTGTACGACTTTCAACACTAAAAATCAGGATACATCAACTGTACCCAATAATTTTTTCTGGTCTCGTTTGCCCGTCTCGAACTATACAAAACACCGAAAAAGAATACAGGTACTAATGTATACACATCCGGAGTTGGTATACCATATTCTGTAATTAATGTTTATGATGTTTTTATGTGGTTAACTATGATACTTCCGTACGTTAGGGTTTTGTGATGATAATAAGTAAATATAACTATTTGCCGAAAAGCAACTGTTGCTCTGATCATCCATAGCCGCATATTATATTCTCAGTTCAAAGACATGACTCCGGAAAACGAGATGCTTAAAACTTAAATGCAATAATAATAATAACTAAAAAAAAGCCTAGAAAATTCGAAGGTCATAAAACAAAAATCTTCCACGGCTTAACTTTGTTTTTCACCAAATAAAGTTTCGTACAACGACGCCCAAGTTAATGTTGAGATTAATTAAATGTAAAATCAGTAAAAATATGTAGGATTAAGGAGTGCACTTTGGGAAGTTGGGAAATTGGGATATGATTATCGTTTGAATTATGGACAAATTGCATTATTGGCCAAGATGTTTGAGCTTTGAAGACGGAATGCATATGTGAGTATTTTGATACTATTATTATGCAGAATTCGCTACTATCTATCTTTACCTCCAAAAAGAAGTAATTAAATCCTTCGAATCAGCTGAAAGCTACGGTTCCTTGCTGATAGAAACAAAATCCTAATAACTTTATATTCGTTTACACAAAAGAACACTAACAAAGCGGCTGCCTTTTCATCTGGTTACACACTCATACAGAACCAAATGAAGATACTCCCTCCGTCCCATAATTATTGTCCAGTTTGGGTTTTTATTTTTAGTTTGTTATTCTAAGAGTGAAATCTTAAACTGGACAATAATTTTGGACAAAGAGAATAATATTTAGTGCGCTTGGAAATAATGTAGTAGTCTTTTCGTCACGAAATAAGATGTTAGACCAAAAAAAAAATTATACTAATTTAGATGTTAAACGCATTAAAGTAACTTCATCTTTAAAGTTGAATGTCATTTGTTCCTCTTCTTCTCATCATCTCAAAATCCCACAATTTTCTTGATTTCCAAGAACAAGTTTTTACTTTTTTTTTTCCCCAAAGATCTTCAGCTATTTTGGAGACTGTCAGATCGAAGTAACTTCTCAGTTCTGCTAGCTAGCTACTTAATTAGCTCTTCGTTGGATGGAGGAGGGGTCCAAATTATGTACACGTCGCTTGATAGTTAAGGGAACTCATGTTGAATTAATACCATGCATGCATAATAAGGGCTGTAGATTACGATAAGAAGTAGAAAAACAAAAAAACTATAGTAGGTTACTAGGTTCTCATGTTTATTTGACCTGAACGGCTGAACCCAAAAAAAAAAAAAAAGAAAGAAAAAAAGGGGAAAAATGTCAATCATTTGCATTGAGAACAAAGGTGGGTTTGTTATCAACAACCAACGAGAACAGTGAAAGAAAACAATAACTAGTTGAATAGAAGAAATAGAACTAGAGGAAGAAAGTCTCTGGGCCAGACAGCAAACTAGGTAACATAGCCAAAGCAGAAAGAGCCAAATAAAACTAACTTTAAAAGAGAAAAGAGATTGGTGATGAAAAGAGAGGGAAATATAAGGAGTGTGAACTCAGATGATCAGAAGGTTTTCAGTTCACAGGGACTAGTCTATGGTGACAACTGTCAGCTCTGCATCAAACCCAATTCCCCCCACCTTTTCTCTTTTCTTCTGTTTTTTCTGCTTAAAACATCCATCACAACAAAAAAGCTCCGTATCCGAGATATGGTAAATTGCCAATCTTTTTTCTTTTTTATTTATTTATTTATTTCACTGTGTACAAATTTGTCATACTCTATCACTGTTCTTCTTCTACTGTATACTAGTAGTATTACATCAAAGCAGATTGTACGTTAGTACGAAACCACCCCACTTTCCTTATTCAAGGAAAACCATGTCCCCCTCCAATACAATCCCCCAGTTCATCAAAAAATGGTTCCCTTTGTGCTAGCTATGAGATTATAGATTTCCAAAAGAAAGCAAACGGCAGTGATTTTTGCCTTTCTAGTCACTTAAAACAATTTGGGTGTGTGTGTGTGTGTGTGAAGTAGTAATGTTTGTGGCTTTTGTAACACCTACAAAAAAATGAGCCTCATTTATGTCCTTATAGGATTGGTAGTAGACAGTAGGAGTAGCTAGGGGGAAAAGTTCTTATACAAATCCTTGAATGAATGGGATGTGTGAATGACTGACCCATATAGATAGATTTGGGTTCCCGAAGGAGGAAGGAGAGGTTGACACCACTTTTCTGTCACATATTCTGATTCTAATATTAGTAAGTGTGATGTGTTGTCAGGGTCCAGGCTTTGGTCCGTTGGTTTATATGTTCCTCCGACCTTTGGACATTAATTCCTCTGAAATGGTTCCTTTTTGAAGAAAACAAACTTTTTTCAGTGTCCCAAGAATAGTTCATTTACTAACCATTCATTTCACCGAGATTCTTAGGTTTTAAATTTTTAATAAACCTCGTGATATCATGAAATTAATTGTGTAATAATTATTATTTCTCCTCAAATCTAGATTGTATTTTAGATCTAATTAGTATTAAACATAAGGATTCAAATACCATTACTCCCTCCATTCCAAAATAAGTATCATCCTACATTTTGCACATAGTTTAAGAAACTATTAAATAGGATAATAAAATTACTTGAATATCCTCAACCAACCCCATTATAAAATTGTCCAACAATAGCATCAACTCTTTTGAGAATAGTTTTAAAAATTTTTGACAAAAAATACATTGACATATAAAAACGACACTTGAAATTTCTCTATTTTACTAAAACGACACTTATTTTGAAATGGAGGGAGTATTATATTTAGCGACATGGAGTATAACTTAATACACTTTCAGTGGCTTTCTTCATTTGGAAATGATATAATATTGGGGCAGAATCACCTCATCACCCATACACACAACTTTAATTGCAATTATAAGCAGAGGGAGGAAGAAAAGAAATAAAGACAAAAAACAACTATTTCATATAGCCAGCCTCATATTTTCGCCCGGCAGAGGGCAATTTGTGCAACAAATAATGTCATCAGCTCTCGAGTCCAACAGAGAAACCCACTGCAATCTCATCTCCATTCCCCACGTAGGAGTCATGAAGCCCCAAGCAAGGCCAAGAAAACAAAAAAATACCCCAGGGCTTGCATTGGGGAGGTTGAACCAAAATTCCAGCACAAATATAACAAATAAACGAAGGACAAAACAAAAGGTAAAATGCCAGTATAATATCCCCAACACAAGAACAAATCATTTGTCCCAAAAAGGAAAAAAAAGAAAATAAGAAAATAAGAAGAAAATCCAAGTACTAACTTATATAAGTCATTCATAATGTCTTACCCTTTGTTTGACTTTTTCCTTTTTATTTTAATAAATTGTATCCTTTTTTTTGTTTCATTTCCCTCTTTTCGTCTTCTCTATATGCCTGACGATAATATCGGTTTCTTATCGCATGACAGCAAGACAGGCTTCCAAGGAACCACCATCAACATTCACAAGTGCCTGAAGCTCCTCCTCCGCCCATGTCCTGCTAACTTCACGAGTAACTTCATTCATTTACTTGAATTGGGGGCCGAAGACTGAAGACCAGCTAGAACTCCAACTTGGCCTGTCTTCTCACCAGTAGATTGCTGGGAGAGGCTACTCCACTCCCCAGAAGAAGATGAGCTAAGGTATGTCTCAGCATAACCATGCTTGGCTGTCTTGTCCTCTAACCCAATACTTTGAAGAGTAGCAGCAAGCATATCCTGACTTGAACTTTGAAGTGATTGGGGACTAGATACCGGAGGATGTTGGGCAGAATTTGGTATTATCCATCGAGACCAGTCATTTCGCCTCCGAACTTTCTCACCCTAAAAATGTGAGGGGTGAAAACATGTGAGGAGAATGGAAAGAAAACAAAGCACATGAATAACAGATTCGATCACTGAGGAGATTTCAGAGTCACAGTCTATATCACGTGAACAAGTGAAGTGCAGATAAACCGTCAATAACATTAATTTCTGAACCACCAGCCTCAGCCTCTAGTTATCCTATCTACCACGTGAAGCTGTGTGTGTGCATGCGCAAACCTGTGTTTGTTTGTTGGGGGTGGGGGGGGGGGGAGAGAGAGAGACAGTCTTCTTAAACACACATACCTCCACTTCGACAACACTTGAACTTCTGACTGTATCCAGTATGAGTTGAACATTCTCTGTCAGTTGTGAAACCTACCAACATGCAAAAGTCAGTCTGATAACAAGGACGCCAAAACTAGATCCTGGTCCCCAAAAAACAAGCAGAACTTTCCATGTTCATGGCATAGGCCACAATCAGATGATATCAATGTTGAACAGATTGATATCCTCCCATTATAAATAAATCCCAAATCTACTTCCTCATTAATCACAATTGCAACTTAGGATTGCCCCGGGGGAGGGGAATCAACAATCACGATATCTTTATGATGCCTTAAACAACAATTTGATCACACCCTATCACATTACTAGAAACTAAAAACAACTAATACAAGCACACAAGGATGCAGAAATTATTCATGGGAGCAAAAAAGTAAAAAGAAGCACAAAATCTTCAACAAGAGAAACAGCATCATGTGACCTCTCCACCACAGGAAACATAAGAATTAAAAAACAAATATTGAGCAATCCATAACAATGACTTAAAATTACAACATTATCTAAGGTTAACGCACGAAAAGCTCAGCAGTGACATTAGTTTTTGCAAGACAAGTTATAAAGGTTCCAAACATGTAAAACTGAAAAAGACAAGCTTCAATATAGTTTATTTATGAGTCCAGCAACAAGTGCAATACAAAACAAGAAGCACACTCACAAATCAACAGTAGTCAGTACTGAATATGTTCATGAGGTCAGTACAGGTCCAGCATAAATAATTTTCAGCTTTAAAACAGTTGAGAACAGTCACTGAATAGCATGAAACGTAACAACTGGATGAACAGTGCCATTTACCAACAAATAGCCACGGGGTAACAATTAATGACTATTTTTATATTCATATATCTGCAGCAACAAGAAAGACATCTAACCTTACAGTAAAGTTTTGAAACTATCTGCCCCATAAGCCACAATAACATGACCTAGCTAATTAATCCAAACAGTATATGCAGAGTGTCTAATGAGTATGCCAACTGTCTTTTAAGAAAAAGTTGCACCAAAATAATAAACTCTGACATAAAAAACCATAGGTTCCAAAACATCATCATAGGTTGAGAAATGAGTCATGCAATACTAATGACATGAAAGATGCATGCTTGCCACAGCTGTTCATTCAATTGGAAATATCAACACACAAAGGTCAGAATAAAAATCAATCTTCTTTGACATGGAAACAAGCCATACACAAACTTTAAACTGTAACATTATATGACTCTAGTAAATCACAGAGGATACAGCAATGCAGATTGACTCATGAAAACAAGCTAGACGCAAACTTTAAATGGTAACATTAAACGACTATACTAAATCACAGAAAGAGGCATCGGCAATGCAGATCACAAAGTCTCACGTGATAATTTGATAAGAGAAACAAGAAGAATGAAAAGGAAAAAGCATATTACAATGATAAAATGATTCCGCAAGAATCTACAAGTTAAATATACTAGTGGTAGATGATAAGGTCATGGATAAGGACACCATCTTTTATGGATGATGAGGGTAAATGTCTCCAGACAGGCACATACAAATAATCACAAAGGAAAAAGGTCTGCAGTTCACACGGAACTAGACCTCAAGGTTCAATTACCTAAAACTTATAAAAGTTATTATTATCTTGAAGGCCCCCGGTCATTACTTGGGAAACAAAGAAATATATAGATATAACAAAATACAATCAGTGACACTCACTTTTTTGAAGCTTGCTATTAATTTGATAGGAACCCATCCCTGGTCATCCATATTGTTCCGTAAGAATGTGTCTTTAATTAGATTCTCATTACTGCAACAAAAGCCAGTCGAGAGAAGGGATTAGAGTTTCAAATCTTTAAATTAGCAGTTTAGCTGTGCAGATGGAAGCCGAGTGAGATCAATAAAAAGTAACCTGAAATAGTAATCGATCTGATTCAGTATCTTAGCATGAAGCTGGGGATCCGGAGAAGGGAGTAACATTTGTGGCATCTGAGGAACCATAGAAACAGCTCTAAAAGAATCTGGATAAGGCCCTGGAACATAATAAAAAGGCATCTCTGCAAGCAAAACCATAATTCAGCAATAAATAATAAACAACAAATTTAATCATAATACTACTACCACAATCACAAGGAATATAAACAGGAGAGCAAACAACAAATTTAACCATACTACTACAACAATCACCTTGAAAATAAATAGGATTGCCAACAGGGCGCACAGGTAACGGTGCGGGAGGAAAGAAAGGTTGAGGCTGGTTAGGAGGTGGGCCCCTGATAAAGGGCCTGGGAGCAACTCTCTGCTGCTGCACCTGGGGATCTCTACCGCCAAAACTTCTATTAGAATTCCAATCTTGGTTTCCCCTGTCTTGATCACCTCGCCTGTTTCCATAACCATGATGGTTAGGCCCATCACTGCGAGGGTGTGAGCCTCTTCTGTACGAATTTCTTTGTTGTTGGTGCTCATTTCCGCTATGTGACTGAGATTTTTGACCACCTTCCCGATGAGTATTCTCCTTCGACGAAGAATCTGCAGTAGAGTTAGCATGTTTTCCAGAATTGCCATGGGTTGTTTCTGCTCCTGAGTACCTTGGGGATGGCAGCTGTGATATGCCTCCATTCGAGGATGAATTGTTGCTTGAGTTTCCACCAGTACGCTTCATGGACCTCTGGCGGCTCGGAGCATGATTATGTGAAGAATTAGAATTCACAGTAGTTGTCGGGCCTTGTTTATTTGCAGAAGGCGATGTCGGTCCAGTCCCCTTCAAAGAAAGCATCAAAAGAATAAAAGGAGGATAGTGTCAGCATGTACAAAACGCAACAAAAGAAAAGGGAAAGAACAAAACTTCTGAGCCCGAAAAGTACAAATTTCAGAAGCACCAATGTACAATTGAAAATAAACGCCCGAAAGTAACCAAAATCCAACCTAGTACCATCATTCTATAACACAAGTTACAGCAATATATTAAAATACTTGAGCAAAACGTAGCCTAGAATATCTCGTTGATTTGAATGAAAATGAAAATTGAAAACTAAATGGTGGCCACTAAAACAGAGATATATAACAAAGACGAACAGAAGGAACCTGTGAGACGGGAAGTGAAACATCGGAGTGAGTCCTCGGTAAGTCAGAAGATGTTTTTGGAGAAGGCCGAGTGGCGGACAGAGCAGGCCAAGATTCAGCCCACATGACTGAACTAATCTCAGTACCACCATTAGAGGGCCTATTCCAAGCTGGTTTCTTTGCTGCATTGCTGCCTCCGCCGCTTCCATTGTCAGACTTCTCGGAGACCTCTGGCTGAGCATCACCGGCAGCATCTTCGGGTGAAAAGGAAGTCGATGCTCCTCCGGCGGCAGCAGCCTTGGAAGGAGATCGATCAGAATGGAAATTGTTGATGATTTGCTCCTCTGCGCCACCGGACAAAGGAGGAGAAAGAAGAGGGGGAGGAGCGGCAGAAACGGCGGCAACAGAGGTAGAGTTGGGGGCAACGGCGGGGGTCGGTGAAGATGAAGAAGATAATGTCACTTCCAAATCAGGACCTCGAACGATTTGGGTCCACGGCGATGACACGCCGCCGCCGCCGCCGCTGCCGCTGCCTCGCCGACGATATTGAGCACTATGGACAGTAGCCGCACCGGCAGCGGTAACAGAAGCATCCAAGGCCGATGAGCCTCCTCTCGGGGAGTGAAGAGCATCAGATGTCATAGCAGCCATTAATCAAAAAATAAAATTAGGGTTTATATTTTTTCCTCCGAAATTAAGAAAAAAATAAAAATAAAAAATAAATTCCTTCCCTCCCTAAATTCTTTATACAGCAAAACTGGAAGGGATTTTTCTCAACCGTGCCTCCGGTTATCCACTGATTAACTAACTACCAGAAACCCAAAATTAACATTAACCAAAAAAAAAAAGAGTAAAGATCAGAATGATCAAAAATTGATGATTTTCTTCGGAAGGAGAAGAAATTCAAAAGACAATTGAAACAAAAAAAAATTTCCCCAAAATTTATTTTATATTTTCTGTTTCCTTGTCCGAAAATCCAAATTCCGATGGATCGGCGCAACGATCCAATCTGTACCGAGAGAAGCCAGAGCAAGTAGTACAGAAGAGACGAGTTTCCTTTCCTTCTCCTCCTCCTCCTCCTCCCTTTCTCTCTCTTCTTTCTCTCTCCTACTATATTAAATTCTTTTCTTTCCTTGTTAGTTTTAGCTCTTTAGACTAGTCTAGGGATTTACCCGCCGTTCTCATTTGGGTTGGGCTTCTTCCCTTTCGGCGGGCCTCCCCTCTTTGGGTTCTCTTCTTTTCTATTCCTACTCTAGTTTGGTCCTGGTAATTTATTCTCTTTTTTTGCTATACAAGGGAAAGAAATCAAGTTATCATCATCAAGTATTTATATAGATTGATGATTTTAGAGTTATTACCATAACAAATCAAGTTGTAAGTATGTTCTGGCTCTCATAATAAAAACTAGATGCTTGGCCCGGCAGATGCCTGGGTGCCCTTCTACTTTAATTTTGTGTTAATAAATAAATAAATTCTTGATTTGGAAAAAATAAAATAACTACACATTTAGTTTTTTTTTCTTTTTTTAGCCAAAAATAAAAATAAAAATAAAAAAAATCATCTCCCAAAGGAGAAAGAATATTAAAAAGTACAACCATGCAGAAATCATATAAAAGAATGTGGAGTAATAAAGGGGATAAGTTTATGGGCAAATTTTTTAAATACTATTTTAATTTGATTGATAAATGAAAAATGTTAGGAGTTAAAATTGTGTAGCTATTTTTGTAAAATAACTTTTGTTTCTCCAGATAAGAATTTATTTTTTTTAAAAAAAATGATGGCACGTGGCAGAATAGTTAATGCAATATGGTGCATTTGGAGTCAAAAAATTTTAATGAGAAGTTGCCACATCAACATCATGTATTCTGCTTTAATAAGGTAAAAGGGATTTTATAACATAGTATTACTTGGCAATTTATGAGATGTTGAATAAGAAGTTACTTAATCTCGATATTCATAGTATTATTATATATTAATTGAATCTATCTTACCTTATATGGTATGGCGTACAGAATCATTTTTCTCCCCAACCTAATAAGCTATACAAGCTGCACGAGAAAGTCAATAACAAGATTCTTCGATTCCTCTAAAAGCCGTAACACCATTGCAAAAAAGGGTAACTTGACAACCCTCATCCGTACGATTAGTATGTGATTCTTTCTGTTTTTCTTCGGTGCACCACTCCCTCTATTGATCAATTCTGGTTCACCAAAAATGGTTTTTGTCCCTACGTTTGATTCTTTGAATGTTCATAAATCTAACAGAGAAACTAGTTTAGGACATCTAGTTTTGAGAGTTCGCAAAGCAATGGTTAATTTCAAAATTCAAAGTACACCTTTCAATTTTGGAGAAATGAACCATTCTGTAACAGAGCCTTATCCTTCCTAAGCTAAGCAAAGATTGTAAATCTGTGATTCCAATGAAGATTAACATCTTTGATGCAAGGATGTTTGGGGAAGATGTAGGTGAAACAGAGTCTATTCAAACACACCATCAGCTTGCATGTTAAAGCAATGAACACAGGCTCCACTCAATAGCTGCAGTTTGAAAACCAATCTCCTCATTTTTTCAAAGTGGCAAAAGAAGCACGGGGCATGGAATGAACTCAGCTAGTAGGTTCGCATCCACATGCTTGGAATGGACGGCTTCCATGCTCATGACCACCAAATCAAGGTTTAAATCGTCAGCAACCTCACCAATTATGGCTGTTGGCTTTTTCCCTTCACCAAGCCGTTCTAACAGCTTGAATTCTTGGAACCCACCTGGAAACAAAATGGTCGACAAATGAACCATAAGTTAATGCAGAAAACTCATAAACCATAAAGAATCTGTAATAAATGAGACTACACTGAAAAAACACTTCCAGCAGGTTACTGTAGGTCCTTTAAACTGACATGGGCGAAAATAAGCTCACATTTCACAAAGAAAACAAGCGTATCACTTGCTACCAAAGGTGATGTCTGCATGATACTTCTGGAGGGCTATAGATTTCTTAACTGGAACATGAATTGTAAATTGAATATGGTGGACATACCTTCAGATAAATGCCATCGGATACTAGATAGTTGTCTCTCGTGCTCTGGATATGTTTCTTTATCCTTTTCATCAATAACTGCAGGAAGGGAGGGATAATCATCATCGCAATTAAACCAAAAGGCCTCTTGACCACAATTTATTCCCAATGCTTTTTGTACATAAATAACAGTTGATTTGTACGAAAAGGCCTGAGGGCAGCAACCATACCTACAACTGTTATTTCAGCACCATACTTCTTCGCCAAAGAGGCAGTGGTTGCTGCAGCCTGTTATGTGAGTAAAGCCGGATTACATAGGGAAACAATAGCAGCATTTAACAAAGCAGTCATGAGTCATGGACTCATTGTAAGTTTATAATTAGATTTTGACAATGGACCACATAGCATAGACAACCATCAGCGGAGTGGCCAAGACTGACATCAGATGACGTGCATCATACGGTTAGTCCTGTGAGTTCTCCACAATAAGACGAATAAAAACGCAGATTGAAGTTCAAGTTAAAATCATACATCGAAACACCCCATAATGAATGGATCAGTCCCTTCTTCACTACCAAGATGAAAACGATCTTAAAGGTTCCGCATTTGCAATACCTTCAGCTAAGGTACTATATCACTAAAAAATATAAAAATGGGGGAAAATGAAGTATACCTGTCTTGTCCCCTCGGATAAATAAGGGTTACGGTCTGTAATTGGAAGAAGCAGATGCTTAAACTGACCAAAGGAGTCAACAACTGGGGCTTCTGCCTCTTCAGGCACAGCCTTCACTGAAAAATTTAGAGCATACTTCAAGAAATCATTGATGCAAAATAAGTTGTCAAAGTATTTAATACTGCATCAGCAACTACGAGATTTGATTCATTTTAAGCCCCAAATGAAAGCATGAAATTTCTCTTTTCCTTTTATATACCTATTGTCAATAATATTGAAAGATCAATGTTTGTACATCAGAAATAGAAAGACAACAAATATAACTGACCAAAAGAAAGTACTCCCTCCGGTCCTTATTATAATGCATTTTGATTTCGTCTTAGATTTCACCTAAGATTTCTTTTTAATCTAAATAAAAACCTTAAAAACATTTCATAATAAATAGAAGAACGCGAAGAATATGAAAATATATTTTTAAGATTTTTTTTTCTAATTAAAAAAGCATCCTAGGTGATTCACTAGGACGAAATCAAAATGCCTTATTATCGGAGGGAGTACAAAGTACAAACTTCAACAATTTAAGTCATCCACGCTAATGGCCCAGCTCAAGGCTGAGCAGAATCAGCACAAAAGATATGAAATGAAATTACAAGAACAAGAAAAGTTGGAGACCCGGGATCGAGTAAACCAGATTATTACATTACCAGAGCAAAGAAGAGTTCGATATTAAAGGACCATGCATGACAGAAGTGTGTTTCCAGATAAAGGGCTACAAACGATGACCAGTTTGATAGGAAGAAATCTCCCCCATCAAACTCTTCCATTTCAAATGCAGACAATAACAAAGAGACAAAGCGGAATAAAGGATTAAAAGCGGAGTTAATGCAGTCAATAACTAGACTCCAGCTTACACTCTTCAAATCATGTACCGGAAATCATTCACGAATAAGAACAAACAGGTAATGGGAGTTAACAAATTAGCACCACAGAGTTAACAAAAACAAAGACATAATTAACACAACTGAACTAGCTACAAAATGAGATTACAAAGAGTGATAGAGCTCCAAATTCAAATAAAAATCGCACCTTTAAGTCCGAATTGGCGGAGTTTGGAGAAGAAAGAGAGCTTTGAAGTCCTAATACTGGGCTCAAAAGAAGAGCGGGTGTAAGACAGAAAAGAATTTGAAATCGAGGGAAACTGAGGAGTTATAATTGATTTCCTCAACAGGGCATTTGAAGTTTCAAATGGTGCGGCAGCTATTAAGTAGTGAGCAATGGCCATGGAAATAAATTTGATCTAAGAACTATCAAAATCAAAGTCTTTTCTTTTCCTTCCTGTTTGTTCCTTTTTTCAGTAAGTACTGTAGTACACGATTCTAGGAAGAGCAAATGATCATCAATTAAGAATGGGTTCGAGAAGATCCCAGATACAGAGAGAAAGTGATGCAGCAAACCAAAAAATGGTACCACAAAGGGTACACGTATTTTTGTGCATTGGATATACTGGGTTCATCACCATCATCCATAATCCAACGATTCACATTGAATAAGGCTTTCATTGTTATTGCTGGAAATATCAAAAAGCCCCCCAGATTTGGCCAAATATGTAAAAATCCTCAATATAAAAGAATAAATATCAAACACCCCCCTGTGATGAGAGTATAATAGACAACAAGATCCTAAAAATTAAAACATGTTATAAAAACTAAGGTCCAAAAAATAATGATCCAAGCAAAGGTACTAATTATTTGATTAAGTATGATATATTTTACTTATTTACTAGAGACTTTAATATAATAACTTTCTATTAATTTAAATATTAAGAGATAACCTATAAGACTTATAAACTAAAGAAGAAATATATGTTGTAGACTAAGAAACATGAATAAGTAGGAAGGAGAATGAAGGTAAGTTTCGATGTCAGATTTTCATCGCACGAGCACCCATATTTATAGGAAATTTTTGATAGACAACATGCCTCAATTTTTCTTATTCACTATTCTAGTAGGTGAAAGTTTTTTACTCTTTTGTCATTCAATTATTTACAACAAAACATCTATTGTGATATACGTAATCATAAATTTAAAGCGTGGGATGATAAAATCTTAAAATCTGAACACTATGTAATCAAATTATAAAAATTACAGATCTCATATGATACAACATTTTAAAATTCTAATACAATTGAAAAAAAAATGATAAGATAACATTATAAAGATGAATGTTTGACTTCCTGGTCAAAGAAAATATTGGTTATTTCGCAAAGATTGTAAAGGGTTTTTGCTATTTAAATGAACCTCTGGTAAATTTGTTATTTACCTTTTGACTAAAATATCCAAATGGTCTCTTATCTTTGTGCCTACTTGAATTTACGTCCCTAACATTAACATTTCAATATCGTGGTCCCAAACATTATGTTTTCGCACTTTTTTGGTCCCATTTCACTGTTTCCGCCCGTTGACATGCCGGATTCAGGGGTATTTTTGTCTTTTAATTTAATTTGAATTTTTATTAAAATTTAAATCATTAAAAATATTTTAAAATTAAAATTTCATTATCTAATTGTTAAAATATTATTTCTTAATTAAAAATATTATTATACAATTTTAAAATTTATCATTATTTTCAAAATTACTTTTTTCATTTACTATTTACTTTAAGTACACAGTAAATGGTAATTATGTTGCACTTTTAACTTTGAGCTCACTGTAACTTACAAAATTTATCAAGTTACAGTAAATAATTCAAAATTCAATTATTTTTTTTTTAAAAAAGCAAAACTAAGTTTTTTTTACTCTAACCGTTACAGTAAACCCTGAATGGTAATTATATTACACTTTTAACCTGGGGCCAACTGTAACTTAAAAAATTTACCGAGTTACAGTAAATAATTCAAAATTCAATTTTTTTTAAAAAAAAAGAAAAAGCAAAACCAAGATTTTTTTTTACTCTGAGCGTTACAGTAAACCCTAAATAGTAATTATAATACACTTTTAACCTTGGAGTCACTGTAACTTAAAAAATTTACCGAATTACAGTAAATAATTCAAAATTTAATTTATTTTTAAAAAAAAAAAGAAAAAGAAAAACCAAGATTTTTTTTACTCTGACCGGTAGAGTAAACCCTAAATAGTAATTATGTTGCACTTTTAACCTTAGACCTACTATAACTTAAAAAATTTACCAAGTCACAGTAAATAATTCAAAATTCATTTTTTTTTTCTAAAAGAATAAGGAATACCAAGATTTTTTTTTACACTGACCGCTACGTTGTTTTTTTAACCTTGGACCCACTATAAGTAATTGACCGTTACAGTAAACCCTTATGTTGCACTTTTAACCTTGGACTTAATGTAACTTAAAAAAATTTCCGTGTTAAAGTAAATAATTCAAAATTCAACTGTAGCGGTCAAAGTAAAAAAAAATCTTGGTTTTGCTTTTTTTTTTTAAAAAAAATTGAATTTTGAATTATTTACTGTAACTCGGTAAATTTTTTAAGTTATAGTGGGTTTAAGGTTAAAATTGCACAATAATTACCATTTAGGGTTTACTTTAGCGGTCAGAGTAAAAAAATGGTTTTGCTTTTTCTTTCTTTTTTTAAAGAAATTAAAATTTTAAATTATTTACTGTAACTCAGTAAATTTTTTAAATTACAGTGGGTCCAAAGTTAAAAGTACAACATAATTACTATTTACTTTGACCCAATATAAATGATAAATGAAAAAATTAATTTTGAAAATAATGTAAATTTTAAAATTTTATAATAATATTTTTAATTAATAAATAATATTTGAACAATTAAATAATAAAATCTGAATTTTAAAATATTTTTAATTATTTAAATTTTAATAAAAATTAAAATTAAATTAAAAGACGAAAATACCCTTGATTCCGATATGTCAACGGTTGGAAATAGTGAAATGGGACAAAAAAAGTTTAAAAACATAATGTTTGAGACTACGATATTGAAATGTTAATGTTAGGGACTTAAATTCAGCTAGGCCCAAATGTAAAGGACCATTTGGACATTTTAGTCTTACCCTTTTATTTCAGCTTGGGTCTATTACAGTTTTCGATTCGTGAATTGCATCGGAGTTGTCTCCGGCAATGGAAAATAACCAAGAACATAGCGACGCACACGGTCGCGCGGAGTCAGCCAACCTGCCATTGATGATTACAAAGTCTGTACACCAATTTGGCGAACGAGAAAATGCCTTCTCCGTGACGGTTATTGAGGCAAGACTAGTTCTCCCCTTGCTCCAAGTCGAAAAATAGTACCCTGGAAAAGATTGGATTTTTATTTTATTTTTGTACCCTGGAGTTTCAGAATATGAAAGAAGAGTACGGATTATTTGTCTGGCCGTGTAGCATTGTTCTAGCTGAGTATGTCTGGCAGCAAAGATCGCGCTTTTGTGGAGCTAATGTAGTCGAGGTAATGAATTATCAAAGAAAGTTTCCATTTTGCCTGAATATGTTAATTTCAAATGTGAATTTATGTTTCCCATCCCCGTTTCTCAATAATCACCGGTTCCAACTGATAATAAACAGCTGGGGGCTGGAACTTCACTGCCTGGGCTAGTTGCTGCCAAAGTGGGAGCTGAAGTCACCCTAACTGATGATGTTAACCGAAAGGAGGTATGAGGTATTCCTAGATGTTGGAATGTGTTTTAGCACATGTTCTTGAATAATTGGCAATTTCCTGTGTGTTTTATCATTGTGGAAAAAGGTATTATTGGGTTTTGCCTCTTAAATTGCAGTAGGGATGAAAGAATTGTTTTGTTGGAACATTGGGATGTTACTTAGTCGGCTTTTAGTATAGCTGATAGCAGTCTTGTTCTTGTATCTTATAGGTGCTGGCTAATATGAGGAAAGTGTGTGACCTGAATAATATCAAGTGTCAGGTATTCCATACGCTTAACTGTCTTACTCTGTCAAACGATTGATCCGTCTGACTTTGTTTTGATTCTTAAAGTTACTACGCTAACTCTATTGAATGTTAGCTAAATATGATTGTTCATTGAAAGTTAAATATCTGTAATAGCCTATCTTAAGTCGAGTTGTTTTTGTTTCTGATGATAAGGTGCTGGGACTTACATGGGGATTGTGGGATGCTCCTATATTCACCCTGTGCCCCAATATCATCCTTGGAGCCGATGTGTTGTACGAAACAACTGGTAGGATTGTCTTTCTTGCTTCTATATTCTGTCATCGTATTTTACTTGGTCGAATTCCTATTACTGAGAGATTCTATCTGTATGCATCATGAAGCATTCGATGATCTCTTTGCCAGTGTGGCGTTTCTGCTCCAAAAGTGTCCATCATCCGTTTTTATAACAACTTACGACAGCAGAAGGTATTTTTTCAAAGTTCACATGCTGCTTTTTCTCAGCTCAAGATTGTGTAACCACTTAAGTTCTGCCTGTGACAATGTACAATCTCTTTGTTTTGTGTGGATATAAATATGTTATTCTTTCAATTTTCAACGTAAACAGTGGGCATCATCTCATTGAGTTCTTGATGGTTAAGTGGGGATTAAAGTGCGTGAAGCTTCTAGATGGGTTTTCATTCTTACCGGCAGACAAGGCATCTGGATTGAGTGGAAACATACAATTGGTGGAGATAACTTTGGAAAGGCGGGCTGATTAACTAACTGATAGCACTTACAATGGAGGGGGAAATGGTGAGAAGAATTCTGATCCTCCTTTGATTCCTGTAAATTGTCAATTGCCTCTAAAATCTTATGATTTTGTTACTCTGAATTCTGAAACACATGAAATGTTGATTAATTTGGTTCCAACATTAGCCTCCAATATCGACTCTGACATATCATCAAATATTTGATGTTTTCTGGTTCTTCATATCATACTTTTAAGCTCACTAGCGGTACTCTAAAATTTGGATCATCAGGAAGAAGACACACTGCTTGGATTTGCTGTCATTAGCTGGACTAAACATTTATTGGATCACACAAGTTCTTTCGTTATCTTCATTTAATCTTACAACAGCAAAACTTAGGAATCCTCTATCATTAAATTAGAAAGCTTCAATGCATCATAAAGAAGCAGGGTTTAGTTAACCACCCTGCAGTCTTTTCTAACTTCCTGACCGCCGGTCAGGCTGCTGAGCTTGGTCATTGAACTTGAAAAAGCTTTATAGAAACTGTGTTTGGAGCTTGCGAATTTATAAACCAAGCTTTTGGTGTTTGGAGAAGCAAGTAAAGCCTGATCTGAAGAGAAGAGGCTTCGCTTTTGCAAGATCAATTTATAGTATGTATTGTCAAAAGTTGTTGGAGATGGATCCATAGATGTGCCTGCGTTCTTGGCCTTGTTATCCTTGGGACAAATGTTTTTCAAACTCTCTGCAAAAGATGGGTGCAATGTAGGATCTACATCGTTGGTAGTATTGAAGTTGTAGATTCTATTCTCAAATGACGAGCAATGGGAAAAACCTATAGTGTGGGCACCTGCAAAGTGGTTAAAATGGTTTGTTTCAGTTTGTGAACTTTAAAAGAAAGTAATGTAATTAGATTTGGCATCTGGTTCTTTGACCTAAGAGAGCGGCAACATCTTCCATTGACAGACCCATTGGAGAGAAACTTTGTTGTAGCTGAGATATGTTGAAAGTTGGAGATGGCATTTGACTGGTTTCACTGGCCTTTGATATCCTTCCATCTTTTCTTCCATGGGGAACAGTCCAATATGGTCCACCAGACTATTACCAAAACCAATCAGCCGTAAAAACTGATGATACTGGCTAGAAATTGGAATGACTTAAGCAAAGCATGCCTGAATTATGAGCTTGTCGAAATGGTTCTTTTTTCTAAACCCCTTATCTCTTTTCAGGTATCTTGATATTCTAAGGCTAACTTATGATCTATCATTATGTTTCTGTACCTTCCCTGTCCGATGCATCTATATGTTTTTACAAGAATGAGAATAACTATTGATTTTGGTTTTATTCAAAAGTGCACTGTGAATATCGTTATTATTATTATTATTATTTTTTTTTTGTCATCTTCTTGATCATATTATCTTTCAGTTTTGATCTACTTACCAGAACAACTGCATCTCTTGCAGCTATAGCCAAGATATCAGCACAGGAGACAATGCCAGGACAAAGAGCTTCCACTGCTTCCTTAGCATCGTCGATGACAAAAAATGCATGCAATGATTGATTAGGGGCACCGTCCTTCTCAGCAGTGTTCTTCCCTTGTGAGTTCAGCAGCACTGAGGCATCACAACCCTTGCAAATCAAACAGCCAAATGAGTTGATTATAACCTATTCCACAAAGGAAGAAATGGAGTACACTGGAGCTCTCACGTAAGAACATATAATTCGAAAGTTACATGTATGACAGATCTTACCCTTATCAAACAATCATGGAAGTGCATTCTCAGTAGTGCCGCAGGGATTGTTTTGTCCCTCGTTGCCGCATCCTGTACTACCTTTCTGATGGCTGTTTCAACGCCAGGGCATGTTTTTGCATAGTAATTCCAACTTAGTGCATATCCTTGAGAACAGACCAAAGATATGAAAGCTGAAACTAACAATGACGCTGCAATATCCATATTTAACTATGTAGAGTGTTAGACTGATAGTTATGTCAATCCGTGCCTGATACGTGCATCATTTATAAAGGGAAAGCGAGAAAGAAATCGACATCATGATTGCGGGATTTGCATGGTGGTTTATTACATTGATTATGGGAGCATGAATATTTGGTGACTTAAAGAGTGTTTTTTAAGCATCATCTTTATCACAGATTAGTATGCATGTTTTGTGGCCTACATCCTCTACTCTCAGATGTCATACTTAGTTGAAAAAAGCAACTTAAATGATGAATCATGATAGCATGTACATAATCGCTCCTTTACTGTGTGTTCTTGGCTCTATTAGCAAAGAGCAATAATGAATAAAGAAGAAAAAATAAGCAAGATTTTGTGCTTTTTACCCTTATACAGCTAAGAAGTGGACTAGAAAAAACTTGTGACTAATTACTTTCAATTTACCTCATGATTAACACATTTCAGACAAAGAGATTACTTTTCTTGTTGGATAATGTCTGTGGTTGACATTGGTCTATCAAATTATGATTTTGTTAGGGTACCTTGATTCACTTGCCACTAATTAACGTTCTGGTCCTCAACATCTTATTTCTTTATTATTATTGTTATTATTGTTATTATTATTTTTATATACTGGGAAAGCTGAAGTTTAGATACAAAAGCAACTCATAGGAGTAGAGTTGAACTAGAGGAGTCTAATTCTAGTTTCTTTAGGATTGTTGCCGGCGATGTTGACAAAATGTGCAACCCAGGTGCAAAAGTGTAGCCTAACTTAGCTAGGGAATCGGCCCGTTCATTGCCGGGTCTCTTTATACATGAGACTTCTACTTCTACTTCTACTTCCCATTAGTCCATTTTGACAAAATGTTTTCTCATTTTGCCTTCTAAAAATTCCAGACGAAAGCAAATTAGTCCATTGGGCTAGAAGCCCAATCCGAAACACCGATACGGATCACTCGACCCAGACCCGAAACTGGATCCACTTCCAGTTTCACTATTCTGCTAGCCTAATAAAACACTTTCGCTAGGGTTCAAGGTTCCATGGAAGGAAGAACCGCAGAAAAGAAAACCGCCGAATCAAAAACGGAGCTGAACTAGTTGCGGTGTCTCTCAACTGAGGTTTTCCGGCGATAAAATAAGATGGGAGGCAAGGACAAGAACAAGAAGAGGAAACCTAAGTCTGACAATGGCGGGAAAGACGGAAAACTCATCACGGATCCTCGTTTCGCTTCAGTACACTCGGACCCTAGGTTTCGGGAACCTCCCAAGCACAAATCGAAGGTTACAATTGATTCTCGGTTTAGCAGTGTGTTTACTGATAAGAAATTCGCCACTTCCAAGGCTCCGACGGATAAGAGAGGCAAACCGAAGAAGAAGGGCGACGCCGCCGCTTCGAATCCTCTGAAGCGTTACTACCGTCTTGAAGACGAAAAAAAGGGGAAATTGGATGAGAAATTGTTGAGTGATGATGAAGAAAGTGACAGTGAGGATTTGAAAGTGAAGCGGAAAGATGAATCAAAGGAATCATCAACATCGGAAGAAGAGGAGGAGGAGGAGGTTGAGAGCGATGGTTCTTCCTCGACGTCAGCTTCTAGTACAGATTCAGATGAAGAAGATGATGTGGTGTCTGACGACGAGGAGGAAGAAGAAGAAGAAGAGAAGATACCAGAAATTGATAAAGAGACGCATAGACTTGCAGTGATGAATATGGATTGGAGTGAAGTTAGGGCGGTGGATTTGTATGTATTGCTAAGCTCCTTCCTTCCAAAAGGTGGCCATCTCAAGTCTGTAGCTGTCTATCCTTCCGAATTTGGGCTTAAGCGCATGGAAGAGGAGGCAATTCATGGTCCATTGGGGCTGTTTGAGAGTGAAGAAAACAAAAATGGTGGGGATGACAGTGATCAAGATGATGATGATGATGATGAGATTGATGATAAAAAATTGCGTGCCTATGAAAAAAGTAAGCTGAGGTACTACTATGCCGTGGCGGAATTTGATTCAGTGGCTACTGCAGATTATCTCTATAAAAACTATGATGGGATGGAGTTCGAGAGGTCATCCACCAAGCTGGATTTGAGATTTATTCCAGATTCTTTGGAGTTCAAGCATCCGCCACGTGATGTTGCGAAAAATGTAAGTCCCCCTTCAGCTAATAATGAAATGATGATCTTTGAGGTGACAATAGTATCTTAACCAGTGAATTAAAATTGCTTCTGTGTTGTGTTTTTAGGCACCAGCAGACTACGAAGGTTTGGACTTTCACACCCGAGCACTGCAGCATAGTAAAATTCATCTGACATGGGATGAGGATGAGCCACAACGCGTAAGAACTTTGAAGAGAAAATTTAATGCTGATCAGGTACATATTTTGTTATCGCGGGAATATTTTTTTGTGGGTTTATCTATGTGATGATGGGCTCTTGACTGGTTTCAGACGTGATGTTTGATTCTTTTTACAAGTTTTTCATAGCGCTTGCATGTTCCCGTTTTCGTTAAGTGAGATCTCTTGTTCTGTGAACTTGGTGTTTGCAAGTAGTTAAACAAATGAAGAAGAATTTAATTCTACTATAAAGGGCAATTCTAGTGCCAGGAACTGAAGCAAAATATTGGTCTTTTTCAGCTTGCTGAGTTGGAGTTGCAGGAGTTCCTAGCTTCTGATGTAAGTGAAAGTAGTGCAAGCGAGGAAGATGATGAGATGCAAGATGGATCTGCTAAGAAGCAAAAGAAGCGGGATATGTACCGAGCTTTAATCCAATCAGGAGATGGCTCAGATGCAAGTGATGAGGAGGAGAACCAGGACATGGAGGTTACTTTCAATACTGGTCTAGAAGATTTAAGCAAACGTATCTTGGAAAAGAAAGACAGAGAATCAGAGACAGTTTGGGAGGCTCATCTCAGAAAGAAACGTGAAAAAAAGAAGGCCAGAAAAAACAGAGCTAAAGACTCATCAGAAGATGAGAGCAGTGATACTGATCAGGAACCTGGGGAAGAACCTGATGATTTTTTTGTTGAAGAACCTTCTGCAAGAAGAAGTAAGCACACCGAGGATGGAAAGGGCAGAAATACAAAACAAAATGAAGAAGATGCATCTACAGCCGAAGCAAGCAGGGCAGAACTTGAGTTGCTGCTTGCTCCTGATAATAACGGAGCATCAAACTCTGATGTGAAAGGCTATAACTTGAAACGTAAAAAGTTGAAGGGGAAAAAAGGTAAAGAAATTCTTAATGATGACAAGTTACCAACAGCCGACTATGATGATCCTAGGTTTTCAGCTCTGTTCACATCACCAGATTTCGCCTTGGATCCGACTGATCCTCAGTTCAAAAGGTATTTCTGCTTGTCATATTTCCTTCTCCATCTTTTTTCTTACAATATGGTTGAATTATTTGATAGCTTTTGTTTTCCTTTATCAACATTGTCCTGTTCTTTCTTGATTTCACTTTTTTTTTTTAACTAAAATGTTTGTATACAACAGAAGCGCAGCTTATGCACGGCAAATGGCACTAAAGCAGCGAAGCCGAACTGAGAATAAGGGCGCAAAGCCGCAGCCAACTTTACCTAGTGAAGGATCCCTGCCTAATAAATCAGAGGACAATGAGAACAAAACAAAGAAAGACAAGCACGAGTTGTCTTCGTTAGTTAAGTCGGTCAAGATGAAATCAAAACAGAACCCTGTTCTGGGAAACATGCTGGAACAGAAGATGAGCACAAAGAAGAGCAAGTTGGCAAAAGAATAGTTCCTTGGCAAAAAGGGGGAATGCTATTAATTATTTCATTGTAGTGTAGTCTGTTAAATAGAAATTTTTGTTTAGTCTTTAATTTACGGCCATCTATCAGATTTTTTTCTTTACTGAACAAGTAATATTTTGGGAATGTATCCTCTGCATTACTTTTGCTCTTTTGAAGAATTGTTTTGATAATGCAAGATTGGTTGAAGCTCTGTTGTGTTTTATTTTGGGGAAAGAAAAGGAGGAAAATATAAGCAGTGACTGACAATGGTAATTGGAACTGGTAGCCAGTTAATCTATAATTTTATTACTCTATAGCATGATCAATGATGTAAGCAATACAAAAAAGATGTGTAATCCAATAGGAAAACTAGATATCTACAAATAATTCAGAGCAACATGAAATTGCCTTATAAACTCAAAAATAGCACATCACCGTGTAAAACTCAACCCAATCGTGGCAACCTACTGCTACTGTATAACGTAGTTCAATTTTTTGTAAACAAAATTGTCTAAGCGACTACTAAAGAATGAACAAATAATAGCTGCCGAGTGAAAGCAGGAAGATCAGGAGCTTCCGAGCAAAGGAACTTGAATCTGGAGCAAAGCTCCCCTCACGAGATTGTGGTGGGACTGAAGATGATCCCCCAGAACCACTTGTCCTTCCTGATGTGGCTTCTGGGACTACAGCAGAAGGTGAAGGAGCTCCAGATGAATTCTGTTGGTTTATTGGGAATGGACTTGATGCGGGATTGAGTTGCACAGCATCATTGCCTGAAAATAATTCCATTACTGTTAAGGAATACAAGAGCACAATTGCACAAACAGATAAACTAACGGAGTCATTGCACCAATAAGAAAGCATAAAAGAGAAGCGGGACTTACAGTCAGATGGTTTCCATCCCAAAACCATTCTCTCTCGGTTGAAAACAATGCGATAACCAGACATAAAGTTTTCTGCACAAAAATCAGGACAAGGGATTCAAATAGCAATTCTTGGTAGTGCGCAAAAGAGCACAAGTTAAGTGAATGACTCGGGTGTCGTAGAACTGGCAAATTGGGAAGCTTGTCTTTTAAGATGATAACATTAAACAAGAAGGAAAAAAAAATTAGATATCTCATAGAAAAAAGTTTTGTTTAATAAACTCTGCTATTTAAGCCCACCAAAATATGCACGGCAAAATTAAGTAGGAAAGACTATCAATCAACTCATCAATTTTCTGCACATAGAACTAGGAGGCTAACAAGACATCCATTCAATAGTAATTTGCAGCGAAAATAAATAATTTTGAGCTGTGGTACTTACGACCAATAATGTTGACATCACCACTTTTGATAATTGCAAGACAGTATATAGATCCTCCTCCCTGTTTATTGGGACTGTGTTAACGGCCCTTTGACAATAAAGGAAAATTAAAAATTTTTTTAAAAAAACTATTGACCATAAGAAATGTTCTTACCTTTAGAGCCAATCTTTCAATTGGATTGGTAACCAAAATCTTATCCCCGCCTTTCATAGTCAAATTAAGCAATGGTGAACCTGTTTCAGTTGGACTACATGCAGAGAAAAAGCAAGTCCATTAATAACCAAAATGACGGTAATGCTGAGAAAGTGAAATAGATGAAACCTTCTGAGCTCAAAGCACCTTTGTGTATAGCAATACTCGAATGGAAGTTGGGAATCAGATTGATAACGCGGTAGTTGCACTCGAGAATTGAACTGCAAAACCAGACCACAATAATGGTATACATTGAAGAAAACCTAGGTCAAATTCAATCACATGAACAACCAACTTACATTTTGAGTTATGATTGTGTAAGCTGGGTCATTCACATAAGTAAATGATGTACCAGAATCAAAAATAGCATCAAAATCAACATTTGTGATATTCTCAGCCACGGTAATCTGTGTTATGCTGACGTTGTAAGTTGGGCTGATACAAAGAGAGAAAGAAGAAAAGAGGGTTAGCGCAAGCTCAAAAGCTATTATACCGAAAACAGCAAAATGATTTGTATCCCACAGCAAAACTTGGGATTAGCATAAAAGTGAATAAAGACAGCTTACTGTGGTTCATAGAGATTAATAGGTGTTTCTCCTTGATCTGAACTTCCTTGGTCTCCGAAAACAATTCTGCCAATCCCATCCTGACCAAAACACATTGAAAAAGAATTCGCCGCGAGCCCTTTTGTAGCTAACGTAGTGGGAACTGATATTTTATCCAAACCCAGCCCCAATAAACCATTAGGAGCAGCACCATCCAAAAATCCACCAGTTTGTATTATCCCACAGCTGCAACGGAAGAAACATCACAAATGAAGACATTAACTACAAGCATTAGCATAAACCAAATAATCACAATATCAGCCACAGAAGTTTCAAAGAGCAGAATGAGGATATAATTGAAAAAGGTGATCATAAACAGATAAATAAGCGGCACATAAGCTCATCTTAAAGAAACTATAAAAAGGAGAATATAAAACCGTTTCGAATCAGCAGCCACACGTTACAGACAAGAAACCCAAAAGTTGACAAAAGGATGTAACCTTACAAATTAAAGCATTCCACTGAAAGAAAAGCCATTTCATGCATAAAGCCCCTTTGGCATTTTGAAACCTGAATGCATTTAACTTAACCAGAGCACCAAGACATTTAATACATTTTTATCAATCAATAATAGCGGCCAAAACTACAAAGAAAACCTACCCGAACGTAATAGGTGCTTCAACAACTTTTCCTGGGCCATCATCAGCAGCCATGTGTAAAACATCCTCCACTAACACCCCAGTGGATGAAGTTCCATTTGAAAGGTATTGAATTTGATACTCACAAGCATTGCGTCCAACTGAACATGCCCTTGCTCGGCGTGCATTGCAGATGGTATTGTTGCAGGGAACAACCATGCTAGTCGAGGATGTGTTAGGGCTGTACATATTGAGATCTATTTGCTGCTTGCACAGAAGAAAAAGAAAAGAAACCAAAAAAAAAAAAAAAAAAGGAACCATAAGGCTGGTTGTCAGCACATAATTTAAGAGAGACAAAATAGTAAACAAACAACATACACAACATACCCGCCCTGAACTTGTAATCAAGCCTCGCACACAACTGCGACAATCACAAGGCAGCCAAAACAAGTCACTTCCAGTGTCCAGGGCCACCAAAAACCACAAGTCTGGCGTCCCAACAGAGACATTTGCATAATACAAGCTGCAAATTCAACCCCCAAAAGAATTAGACAATTGGTCTAAAAGGAACATTTAATTTCCTTTTTTTTGTTTTTTTTTTTTTTTTGGGGGAAGGTGGGGGATTGCAGTTCTGTTCTTTATCCATGGGGAAAATTTTAACTATTGTTCCTTGTCTACCATTAATCTAATCTGGATGAATCCACTACTAGGCTATCCAGTAACCACCTTTTTCAGGTTAAAACTCAGTTCACACTTTAATTGGTTAATGCATCTTCCTTAGTGAGGTTGATTACAAAGAAGATCAATCTAGGTTCAACAGTTTCATGATGGCATGCTAAAGACGTGAGTGGATCAGTTATCCCAGATTCGGAATTGTTGCACAAAAATCATGGACTCTTTAGGAATAAGGGATCAAAAGCATAAGCAATAGAAAGTGAGCAACCAAAAGCCATGGTGCTTAAATATAAAGACAGAATACGGTCAAAACTCAAAAGTACAATGTCTTCTACTCATATTCCTTGTAGCTGTGAAATGGAAGAAATCAAAGTTACACTAAAAACTGAAATTCGAGAAACAAGATCAAAAAAGGGCAATTCAAATTTACTTCTCCATCTTCGAACCATCCCGAAGAGTTCCCAGAAACCCGACCAAAATCCTTTCTCTACTGAATGATCAGTTTTGAGAAGGTTTCATCATCCGAATAGCCCTACTTCCTAAAACTGATAATCCTTTAATCACAACTATACCATGAATGCAATTCAACAAGTAAGAGTTTCACAAAGAAAGCAAATGATTAAAAACATACAGCACATAAACAAACTAACTAACTATATTATTCGACAAGTAATCCAAGGTTTCAAGTTTGGCCAGTTTGAGCCAATGAAAACATAATACCAGTAGATAAAAGCAGCAAGAACACATACAATCCAAGAGAATTAATCCGGAGGGTGTCATTTCCGTCAGCAAAAATGATAGGGGCGGTGGTGTCAGCAAGATGGCGGCCCCGAATGAGGTGATCACGGCGTGCCATGGTGGCAAAGTAGTCGACGGACCCTTTTTCCGGCAAGTCGTCATTAAGGTCCAGAAAACCTCTGACGGAATCAGAATATCTGTGATGGATATCAAACCCGAAGGTCCCAAAAGCTTCACAACTCTGCATATCCGAAACCCAACCCAACATTAGTACCATTAAACCCATCAAAATTGCAGCTTGACAATCCATAATTCTACTAGCTAACATCCACCCCGGTTCCAAAATTCAAACTTTGTAACTTCGGCAGCTTCGGAGAGAAACTTAAAAAAAAAAGACAAAATCCTCCGAAACTGCAGACGAGGGAAGGACTACAAATATTCAGTTCCCGTTGTATATATTCTGGCTAATTTATACAAACCAAACAAAAGCATACGTGTATGGTCCTATATCTAGTGTGTGACTGCGTGTATCACTCAAACTTCCTTTTATAAAATATACTGGAAAGCCATAAAAGTGAAAAAGGGAGCAGTTGGGGGAAAAGGGATTTTATCATTTTTACGAATGATGAGAGAGAAATTTAAGGAGAAAAATAGAGGATTTGAAGAAAGTGCGAACCTGGGAAGAAAAGGGACGAGCTGAATTCCTGAATCCATAACGTGGACATGGAAATTTTTAGTATTTTTTTTTTTCTTTTACCAAATTAAAAAGAAAAAATGAAATGTTTCTTTGTGAAAGGGGATTGGGGGGGTGAAAATGAAGTTGGAGGAGAAAAAGGTCGACGGACGTGTGAAGACGAAAGCCGTCGTGGTGGCTGATGTCGGCGTGGAACTTTGGAGAGTATTTACCGGTGCTCCTAGTCGTTCTTGGGCCCACACTTTTGGAAGACCTTTCGACTTTTACCTTCCCAAGCAAAGGAAATTAACAGTACATTTTTACTGTAGTTAACTTTATTCACTTTTTTAATTTTTAAGGATAGGATAGCACTATACTTTAAAAACAAAATTTAAATACTATAATAATTATACTATTTTGAGAAAGAAAAAATCAAATTACTAATGCATAAAATCTTCTCATTCTTAATTTGTTTTGAGTTTGACACACGTAGTTCCTAAGCCTAACCATTCAAATGTGATACAAATTTTTGCTCTATGTAAACTTTTTGACAAGTTTAAGTTGACTTATTCAGATATGGAGTACACCAATTGAAACTCCTTCCTGCCTTAATCCCCCACAGCCACAACAATAAAGCAATTCTTAATTTTAATCTTATGGTCTTTTTTTTGGAACAAATATTGTTTTTTTTCCGTTTTTAATTTTAGAATAGCAATTACAAAAGCCATACAGAAAAACTCGAATACCTAGGCTAATACTCTCTCTGGTCCTTATTATAAGGCATTTTGACTTTGTCCTAAATTTCACCTAATGTATATTTTTAATTAAAAAAAATTAAAATATATATTTTCACATTCGTTGTGTTCTCTTAATTGTTGTGAAATAATTTTAAGGTTTTTTCATCGACTAAAAATAAATACTAGGTAAAATATAAGACAAATCAAAATGTTTTATATTAATTACAGGAGGGAGTGGTTGTTAATAGTTGTTTTCATTGCATTTTCGTCTTATGTTGTTAATAGTTATATAATGTGATTAGTTAGTGTGTGTGACGTTATGGATCGAGCTGATTGGTGCCTCCACTCTCCATTTTACCGTTTGATGGGTGACAAATTTCAGCTGAAAGGTCGTCATATATATAAGTCTCTGATTGATACATAGTTTACTTTTGGAAGTAAACTCCATCGTCGTCGAGTCGACAAAGGTCCTCCAAAAGCTTGCTCGTTTGATTAATTCAACGAAGCTTCTGGCTAAGACTCGTGTCGGATAAACCCAGGTGGAATTTTATCGAACTCTGAATTAATAATCCCTCCATTAAATTAATTGCCGTATAGTTTGCATCTGTTTTATATATTTTACAAAGTCAAAACTCAAAACTATATATGTGATTCATGATTTGTTCGTTTCGTTCGCCTACGACAACCCTTACGTTAGTAGTTAGTTATCCTAACTGTCCTAACCAAAGATAGAGTTTCAGAAAATGAAAAAAACTCTGTGTGTTTTCTTTTTTCACTAGTTTTTTAGAATAATATAATAATAACCGTTTCATATTTTTTTTACGTTTTCAATATGTATTTTTACATTTCCAATATCAAAAACACACACTAATAAAACAAAACAAACATAAATATAATTCACAAATTACAATGAAAATGAATTTTTTTCCCGAAATAACATAAACCTGGTTGGTTAGTATACCTAAAAATTGAGATGGTCAAAACTCAAAGCAGGAAAACTTTGTAAAGGACGCGCAATTAACTTATACTAGTTTACAGCGACTTGACGCGTCAAATATGACTAGCGTTTTTCTTTTCCGTCCATTGTGGTGCAAATTTTAGTCATTTCCAAATCCTTAGTCAAAATATTTTTGTGTTTATAAAAGTGGACCAGAAAAAGAAAGGAATTCAGAATTCTTTTCCTTTATTCCCCGCTAAACGTTACACTCCTTTCTAATTAACTCGTTGATGAGTAATATTTACGTCCATATACTTACCTTTTATTATTTCCTCACGAAAGAAATTTGCATAGTTGACATGGAACTTCTCTTGACTACTAACGAAGATGGTATTTTCAAAAAAAAAAAAAAACTAATGAAGATGGTATTTCCTCGACAGAATTAACTTCAAAATAAAAAATAAAAATGAGAGAGGATTTTTCCGAATTGGCTTGGTACAGTGTACATTGGTGACCAAGAGGAGATATTAAGTCCGTTGACCCTCCGGAAGTCACGTAGATATTATTATCCAAACTGTCAATCCTATGTATACTATACTAAGAAAAAAACCAGAAAGAGAAAACTAAAGGCGTAGAGCACATGCCACATAGGATTTCTTAGACTTAAAAATGCACAAAATAAAATAATAAAACAAAAAAAAAACAACTAAAATAATTTAAAAAAATAAAATAATAAAAACCGAACCCTTATTTTCATGAACAAAATCCTAACATAGAGATTGATTGGAGAGAGTACCAAATCCTAACAAATTTTAGAGAGATCTGCATAAACTTTGTCACCAGTGAATTTAAAATGTCATTTAAAAAAACAAATTCCTGTAAATCCAGAGGTAATCATGTTTAAAACTGAAATCATTACATATTTTATAAAAATACAAAATTTATATAAAAATGTCTACATGTGTATGCCTTCCCCGTCCATCAGACGGGTATAACACCTAGTTCTAACAATGGTGTGTATCCTACGAATTTGTCGCCCATATGGATAGATAGAATCATGGAGAGAATTTGAGATACGATTTTATGGTGAGGGATTAGATTTTATTATGATTTTAAATTTGCGATACAAAATTAATTGGGAGAATCATGGAGAAAATTGGTAAGTGAATTTCAAATATCTGTGATTAAAATTTTTAAAAATAAATAAAAATTATTATTTTTTATATGCATGTATTACAACTCTTAAAATAAATTCACGATATAAATTCTATATCCTCCATGTAATATATGAAATCCTATATGTATACCAAAAAAAAAAAAAAAAAGATTTGATAATGCAAACTTGGGAAGCACTACTATAAGAAAAATCTCTATAAGAATATTGCCAATTTACCTTGCAAAATCACTACTTATTTATCTTTTTGGTTAACACATTTGTTTATTTATTATTTCATTATTATTACTCTCTCCGTCTTAACAAATAATAGTACCATATTATTTTGGGATTCATGAAATAGTTTTATTTGACAAACTTTTTTGGTAACCTGATATCAATCGCACGAGTACAACATTAAATACATGGAAACTGGAATCAAACAACTCCGAGTAGGGATTGTCTTTGTTCTGTCTGGCTGTTTACCTAAACTTTTTTCTTTCCACTAGAAAAAGAAATGTACAGAATAGGCCCAAAACTGAGGCATCATTTTGAATCTCTAGCAGCCCAAGATGTTAGCATGGTACCTTTCTGTTTGTAATGTAGGCCTCATTAACGGGTTGTTTTCCACTCAACCAAGATAGTAGCCCAAAGAAAATAATCGTAATGAACACAATACTATATAGATTTTTGTTATCAAAATATGATGTCGTGAGTATTACTAGTAACTACCATATGTGCTGAATGCCTTCAAAAGGGTAAATAATAACTCACTAACAAATTTTATATTGACTGAAATGAAATGGATTGTGGAAATCCAATTAGTTTTTAAATACTCCCTCCGTCCCATAATTATTGTCCAGTTTTACTAAAATGAAAGATTTTATTTTTGGTCAAACCTAACTATATTTTATCTTAAACAACCGAATATACCCCTACATAAGTAATTGTTTAACCACTAAGATTTTATAGATAATGTTTTTTACTAAGGACAAATGTGTAACTTGATCCATAAAAAGTCAAATTGGACAATAATTTTGGGACAAAATTTTTTAGGCAAAGTGGACAATAATTATGGGACGGAGGGAGTATATATGTAATTAGTATTTAAGGCGGGTTTTTTATTTTTTCGTTCTCAACACATGAAATGATGAAAATGATGTATTAATGCAATAAGGACGAAATGGAAGAAAATTAGAATGTAAGGGACTACAATGAAGAATAGGATCAACATAAGTTCCCGAGAAATAAATATATATCCCTGAGCCATGTTTCCCACTTTCCCATGAATATATAAGTTCTTAAATTCTGAGAAACCACTTAACCGACAAAAAAACCTCTCTCGTTTCTCTCTCTCCCGTCACCTGGAGAGCAAAGAAACGGACTTGCTCTAAGGATTACTTCTTGTATTTCTCGGTGAGGATCTTTCTCTATTTAATCAGGTAAATTTGTTTGATCTCGAAACGATTCACGGCTTTGAATGCGCAGAAATTGCTGTTTTGTTTTTGTTATAGCTGATTCTTTTCGGTTGTGTGATTTGGGGAATCAAAACTCGTGAAATGGGTTTAACGTTTGATTTTGAATTATGGGTTGCGTGAATTTTATCTGCATGCCATGGATTTGGTCATTTTTCTGCACAATTGATTGAAAATTTTGGGTTTTGTTCATGTGGCGCCTAAATTTGATTATTTCTATGTTTGGGATTATGCGAAGTTTGTTTTTTTTTTTTTTTATATTTATTTTCCTTTTCTATTTTATATGTAGAGTCATTGGGCAAGTAGGATTTTTCAGTCAAGTCAAATTTTGTGTTTGTTTTGGGTTTGGCTATTGGGGGTTTCTGGTTTTTGCCGTTTGACTTCGGAATTGGATGTTTTTGTATTTTTTTACAAAATGTAATTCATGTTAGATAACTGGGTTTTGCAATTGGGAAATGCTACATGTGATATCTAGTCTTAGAAGAGGATGGAGTGCGAGGAATCATAAGGAAATGCCAGAAAGAGATAAACTTCATGGAAATTAGTCTCACATAGGAAAATTTTTGACTTGCAAGAGACTTCTCGAGAGATCAATTCTGTTGGTGAGTTATTAAGAATGACTAATCAATATCTTGATGAAGAATTACCAATTACAAATTGATGATTCGATTTTGAAATTTTATGATATAAACATTTATTTATGCGTGTGTTGATAAAAAAGTCTTCTTTTTTCAGTTTCTTGGTCGGTTGCGTTGCAACTTTGTAATTTCAGGCTTCATTTGCAGCGGTTATCAAAAGTTGGCTCAATGTTGGTGTAAATTATCTGGTTATTTGTTATGATAAAGGACTAGATTTCACTGCAACTAAGATAGGCTAATAATTTGGCTTCAACACTTGGCAGGTGCCTTTCACATTCTTGATCTGTCATGATATAGAATTATGAGTCTACTCAAAGAAGCTTCTGATGATACTTCTCTGACTCTGGGAAGGGGATCTTCAAGGCGCAAGGGTGATGCGTCGAAACATGTGGCAGAAACTCTAGCAAAGTGGAAAGACTACTTTGATAAACTTGAGTCCACACGTGGCAATGGTGAGTTAGTTCGGAAGGCTCCTGGAAGAGGATCAAAGAAGGGATGTATGAAGGGGAAAGGAGGTCCGGAGAATGCCCGTCACAATTACAGAGGTGTCAGGCAGAGGACCTGGGGGAAATGGGTTGCTGAAATTCGGGAACCCAAAAAGGGTAGTAGACTATGGTTAGGTACATTTGGTACTGCAATTGAAGCTGCCCTTGCATATGATAGAGCTGCAAGAGTAATGTATGGTCCTTCTGCTCATCTCAACCTCCCGAACTGTAACGCGTATAGAGATACGGCTGATGAGCCTTCTTTGGAGCTCACAATGTGGGGACGTGAATCAACAGTTGTGACCTCCCCTGCTGATCATGCTGCTGAGGGTTCAAAAGCTTCATCTGAAACAAGTGATCAGAGTGCAGATGAGCCCAGTTTTACTGGGAAAGAGCCAATGGTAATAGTCACAGTTTCTTGTGATGCCACATGGATTTCTTTATTAGGAAATGAATGGATTTAAAATTTACTTAGTATCTGACTATATCTATTGAATAAAATATATGTTTGTATGGTGTGCTTAAATGCGTAGATTACAATTTCCTCAGTTAAAATTATTTAATTTTTTTCTCACTTGTTCGCAACATGAAAGAGAGAACTAAAGCTTCTCCATACAAACTATGCTAGTAGAGTCAATATATGTACTTTTTCTTCATTTGTATTGTTTTTATGGTAGCTTTTGTTGTCTTTTTCTTTTTCTATCCCTTGTGTGTCTGTTTGGGGGGGGAGAGTGGGTGGTTGAGCGTAGAGGAAGGAGTAAAAGGTACATTGCACATGCTTTGGGTTCCATTTTTTCGCACACAGATGGAAGTTGATTCACATCATAAATGTGAACAGCTGGAAAAGCTCTGGTAGGTTGTGACCATATCCTGTCTACTAATCTGTGTGTTCGGAATTATATATCAAAAATGTTTACAATGTGAACAGGATATTCGAGGCTGATGTTAAAAGCATTCAAAAAAAAATCTATTACTTGTTGGTAGTAGTTACCGGAGCTGTGCCTTCTTTCTATTGAAGAAACCAAATATTGTGAATACAGATGTTAAATTTCAGCCTGTTGCAATAATATAGTGCTCTGTTCTTACAGGTGCCTGGCTTACAGGAGTCCACTTCCTTGCTTTACCATGTTGAAAGTGAGGTTGTGCAGGGGTAAGCTGTGACAACTTTCAGCTGGTTTTTTTCTCTTGGTAGTAAATGAATTTTTTTTCCCTCAGAGAAAAGGTATGAACAAGCTGAAAATGGTTGCTTGGGATTAGGATGATTGTTGATGCTCTGCTTACTTAATATTTTTAAGTTCTGCAGCTGAATTTGCGTGTTTGAAGGGTGTCACACAAATATGTGAAATTGGTTCAGAATTCTTGCCAAAATCTTTCATACAGATAAAGCGGTAATAATAAGTGAAGTGTGTACCCTGAGAAACAATAAAATTATGATTGTTTATGGTCCTGGGGTAATTTGCTACTTTTTGCAGCCTAATGCTTTTTGAATGCTGTGTATGAGAAAAATTCGGGGGGTGCGACTTGTTTAGTTTGCTTAGTTTTAAGTTCATTGATTAATTTAGTGGCTTAGTTTGTTTGGGGTGTGACTTCTTCAAAACCAAAGATCTAGATTAGGTCAGACAAGACTATCTGGTCAAGTGTTTGTTCATAAACTTTCGTCTTCAAACTCAAGAGGTTCTTAAATTTCTCTCCAAAGCTAGCTGCACATGCAAATACTATCTTCTGGCGGGGTTCTAATGTTCCTTTTTTGTGGAATGTTAGAGACTCAAAAGGGCATGTGACTTGGCATGGCTTGGAAGACTTCAATTTATGTTTGTATTTTTGTTTATAGTTCATGTGCTAATATCACATTATTTATTGTGTGAACCGCTTCTAGTCTAAGGAAAGTGCAAAAGAATTAGGGTAGGATTGGTGGTACAGACCAAAAAGTAATTAATAAAGAAGTGTCATAGTATAAGTTCTTGGCCGTGCTTTCTTTTTACTAAGCATGGTAAAGATGAATGCATGAACAATTCATAACCTCACAAGATAACCTTCACTCCATTTTGCTACATGTGGTAAGGAGGCATTAAATGCGTGCAAGCGTTGTAAATTCACGCCTCTGATCATTTATTGTTTAATTATGTTTTTGCAGGAATAGTCAGTCAGGTTCAGAGAATGATGCACCTAAGATTGTGTTGGATGTTCCAGTAAAAGAAGAAGCAGACATTGAGCTGATAGATGAAGCACGCAAGTTGGTCTACAAGCATAGCGCTGAAAAATCATCAAGTGAAAGCATGATGGCCAAGGAACTGGAGGAATCAGACAGTAATTCTGAAGGTGGTGAGGAGCAGATGTCATTGGCCAAATGGGTTGCAGAAATTCGGAATCGGAATCTGAGAGAAAGACTCCAAATTGGAGCAAATGGCAATGCTAGATCAACCAATGCTGCTGCTTCTGCATGGCTGAAGCTCTCAAATTCCTATTCCCTTTGAAATTGTAGTCTTTTTAACTCCTCTTTAGTCTATCCCAAAATTAGCTCCGAAGACTTGGGAGTTATCCTTTTTCTTGTAACTGTGACTATGCGACCTTTAATTTTGAATCTGTTAGGGAGACTTGGGATTCAGCGTTATTTAAGATTGGGTGTTGTAAATTTAGATTGAAATGTAGATTTGTGTTGATTTCAGAACCCATATTCGCCGAAGTTCCCAGGCCAGGCCATTTAAGCAGGATATTCGCTGAAGACAATTAAGCAGAATACTTCTCAATCATAGTTGGAGCACAATTGATTTCTGCATAACATCTTTTCGTATCACGGTATTGCTGGAATCTAGCAGATAGCAGAAGTATGTCGACGCAGACCCAACAAACTGTGTATTTCATGTTTCGATAGCCATCAGGAATGTTGTACAACACTTGCGTCTCATGAAAGAATTGCTAAAACTAGTAGCTCATTAGTTGCCATAACGATAATACAATAATGCCATACTTACACTACATATTAACATTCTATTCAATCTACAGCTAGATGGCAAAATTTCTCACAGGGTCTTGGCTAATGAATGTTGTTCTATGCCTAGAGACGATGGCACTAGGGAAAGGTGAGCTCTGGTGCACAATGAAAATGATGACCAAGGAGCATCTACAGGAATACTACCGCCAAGAAGATGATAGATTGAAGGTACAAGCAGATGAGATTAAAAGAAGATGATGCGATGGATTTTTCAGACGTATTATTTCCCAAGGACGAGTTACTGCCTATGCCTACTGCTACAGCAGGTGGGACGCTGGTGGAGTTTTGTGCTTTTGCAGCAGTTGATTCTTCAATGTCATAACCTGCAAGAGGGTTACAAACTCATATCATTCCACATAAGCCCGAAGAAAGGTTATTTATCCACCAATGTAAAGGTAAAACTGAATATAAATGATAAGGTGTAGCTTACAGTTGAACTTTTTCCATCCAAGCACTAGTTTCTCTCGGTCGAAGACAATGCGGTAGCCAGTCATAAAGTTTTCTGTTTACAGAAAATCAGTCATGGCTCTTTGATTAGTGTTATCTCCTTTAAAGACAAGCAGTATTGATATGAAAAAGTCATCCGGCATGTTAGAGAAGAACAATATATATCAAGGGTTACTCAAGGCTACTTACGTCCAATTATGCTGTAGTCTTCACTCTTGACAACAGCTAGACAATATATAAGTTGGTGCTGCAAATCACATAAGAAACAAAAGTTGATGCCTGCGAATAACAAAGTGCATTAAAAGTATTTCAAGATGGAATTGACTTGATACTGTACCTGAGTGGAGATGACTATTATGGGATCATATACAGTAAACCGACTCCCTCCTTTCATAGTTAGGCTCAAACTGGGAATCAAACTTGTGTTTGAATCAGGGCTGTTCATCAGAGAGCAAACCAAAAACAAACACAGTCATTTGCTGAATCCCGAAAACAGCCCAAGGAGCAGAAATTAAACAGTAGATATATTTGGACTTTTGTATCTTATGTATAGATATAAGAAAACAGACTTGAAGTATGACCTCATATCGTAACAATATTCAAAAGGGATCCGCGCGTCAGTTTGATGACGTTTATCTCGTGCTTGTGAATGGAACTGAGGAACAAAAGAAAACTTATTAGTCTGTAATCTTGGAATGGCTATCCTACGTTAATAATGTAAACAACTTTCAGTTCTTACGCTTTCCAAAATCCTTGAATATGTAGGCTCAACAAGGTACGTGAAAGAGGTTCCAGAATCAAAGAGAGCAGTAAATTCTGAATTGATGAGAGCAGTTCCCACTCGTATCTGAGTTACACTGATATTGTAAGTTGGGCTGGAAAGATTTCAGCTAACATCAGTAAGGTTGAGCATTGAAGGAAAAAAGCAAAACTAATAGTCGAACTTATGCTAATCATTACTTACTGTAGAGAATCAACATTAAATGGGGTCTCTTCCTGGTCAAGGCTTCCCTCATCTCCAAAGTTGATTCTTCCTCTGCCATCGTGGCCAAAACACATGGAAAAAGAATTAGCTGTATAACCTTTCTGAGACAAAATGCTAGGAACCGATATTTTCTCAAAGCCAAGTCCAAATAGACCATTCGGAGCTGCAACATCCAGAAAAGACCCTGTCTGAACCTGCCCACAACTGCAGAAGATGTGCACAGTTATGCTTTAAAATCAAGGTAAACAGAAGGTGGTAATGCTCAGATGCAATCACAGGATAAGCAATAAGGAAATGCACAATCCTTTAATTTGATAATTGTTGCAGCATCTAAACCCAAAATCAGATATCAGAATGTTCAAAAGTCTGTTTTCTTATCTATATACTCTGTACATTTTCCAAACTTACCCAAAGGTAATGAATGCCTCGAGAGATCCTTCGTGGTCATGTTCACTTTTTAGGTGTAAAACGTCTTCCACTAGAATCCCAGAAGTTGAAGTTTCAGAAGAGACATAGGATATTGAGTAAGGGCATTGAGTAAATGTATCCAGACAAGTGGCATGATGTGTGCATAAGTTGTTGCTGCAAGTAACTTCCTTGCTAGTCAATGATGCATTTGGGCTGTATATGCTAAGTTCAAAATCCTGCATCCAGAAAATAGTTAAGGAAAATCAAATAGGATACCATGGCAAACACAGTTATTAGAAAAAGTGAAGATGTGAGCTACGATAATGAATCAAAAATGGGTCTTTCACAATGAATTGGATCAAAATAAGATAGGTGAGGTATGAAGCAAATCTGAATCACCATCCTCTGCCTGGTAAGTTGTGTCATATTTTTAGTTCCACTATACAGTCACAAATTTCAACTTATTGCGATGTCTATTTTTCACGAAATGAAATGCAAAAACAGTTTGTTAACATAGTTAACTTCAATAGCAAATCAAGACATATCCAGTTCAGCTAATGCAAACTCTCTCTGAAGCAGGTAGATTCCTGATGCTGTTATAAACCCTGAACTAGTACTATCATCTGAAGCAGGTCAGCCAACCAACCCCCCATCCCCCCTTCTCCCCACGCCTACCTTTTTCTAGGTTTGTTCCAAAAATCAAACAAGAATTCCCACAAAGCAGCAAAGCAAATATGATGGAGGACATCCACAGTTGCAGAACAGATAAAATACCAGATCCCGAGTTCATCCACATGATTTATCTCACTTGCCTACACCTAGATAATCTCTAGACACCTATTTGAGCACCCAATTCAGGCAAAAACTTCATCTTAACTTGCATTCAACAAGTATAGTCAATATATTATGTTTAATTCCACTCTTAAAAACCAAGTCTCATGGATCGCTTGGGATTTCATATCCCTCTTTTTCCTGTGATCTTCACTTGGTTTGCAAAAGCAGTAGAAACACTTGAGGCCTAGTTAAGTAAAGAATTTACAGAACAATATAAAGACTAAACATTTTCCAAGAAAAGAGAAGAACCCACCTGGTTATGAAATGAATCGTCAATAGATGCACATCTCCCACATTCACAAGGAACCCAAAATAAATCACTTCCAGTATCCAAGGCCACCATGAACTTCACCCCAGGCGTTCCCAATGCCACAGTTGTGTAATGCAAGCTGTTTAAAATTAATTTGAACAAAAAAAAAAAAAAATCAAGAAAGGAAACAAAAAGAAATGACATTCCAAATCAAGGCTGAAGCAAGTATATTAAATTAAAACTTCGGGGCCTTACAATCCTAAAGAGCTGATACGAAATGTTGAATTCCCATCCGAAAAGGTGAGCGGCCCTTCATACTCGGAAAGATGCCGGCCCTTCAATAGACGGTCATGTTTGGCCAGCTCTTCATAGTACTCCAAACTGCCCTCAACTGGCCACTTTTGAACCCCATTGCCACTTCCACGCGACCACATCTTGACGGGTTCAGAGAAACGGTGGTGCATTTCAAGTGTGTAAATCCGGGCATCTGAGAGTTGGAAAATTTGCCCCAAAGGGAGCAATACAAGCAAGAAAATCAACAAAGATGACATTTTCTTGACGGGTTTTTCACAAGGGAATCGGCAAAGGTGACATTTTTCTTGAAAGGGATTTCAAGAAACAGAAAGATTAGGAGGTTGAATGATTGATTAATTGGGAGGAGAACTTAGGATGAATGTCAGGTGACAGAAAAGGGTAAGTTGGAGGGCTACAGAGTACAGAGACAGAGAGAAGAGAAACGGTGGAAGTGTATTAAATGCCAAGATTAGTTTGGTTTTGTGGGGTTCAATGAGAGGACTTTTGAGCTTTTACTGTTTTTCACAGTCGAGGAAGAAGTTCGGTGATGGATTGGAGGGAAATGACTTCAAGTACAAGTCTTTTTAATGAGTGAAATGAAAAATCCCAATCTCCTCCAACTAACCATTATTATCACTCTCTTCTTCGGTTTGGTGATTGGTCCCCCCATTTGTACTGGCTGGGATTTTTCATTGTTTCCTTCTGCAGTTTTAGGATTGACTTCAAGGTTGAAAAATGGCTTCTAATTTATGCTCCCTTTCCTTTTTAGGCCTTCTCTGGTGAACTAAGTAAAGTTGCAATTCAACGAGTCTCATGACAATAGTTTCAAGGTGAAAGGTACAGTAAATTAGCAAATGCCAATTTCTGGGGTGAAAATTGCACGGATCAAATTCAGAGTTCTGTTGCATAAATGCATTCTAGTTCTAGATATGCAACAGCAACACTAAGAACAGTTCTAAATACAGAATTCTTTAATTGCTAGTTGTAAAAAAACCCCTATTGTAAATTATTGGAATGCTTTCTATTTTACTACCAAATTCAGATGGCATGTGATATTGAGTGTAGCCGTCCATAAATATAATGAGAAAAATACATGTTACAGACACATTAGAAATGAATAACTTATTGCAAAGGTCTAGCTAGGGTACTCTGTCGTACAGAGGAGATCTCAATTTGTAGCAATGTGCCACATTATCGAGTATGATAATATACTTACTCTCCAGTAATACGACTAGTCCGCACATTTTCCTCTTTGCCCAGCTGAACAACACAAATTCTCACACAGTATTTACATCGAAAATCCTCTAAATTTTGTAAGTTCGTACACACATCTAACAAAAATCCTACTACAGAAAGAGGCCTCAGATGGATTGTCTCTGTCAAAACTAATCTCGTTGTTCTGCTTCTCATACTTTAAATGATTCAGTTTTTCAGGTTGTCATGCTGGAGAGGCCGAGGCGAAGGCGAATTTCCCGTGCAGTTTCTTTCTGGCAAATGGAGAATATTGCTCCATCTGATGAACAAACTGTACATCGTGAATCAAAGGGTTGCTCGTCCTGCCTGGAGGCGAACCTGAATAACACGACTGAGAGCATCCAGTGCTGCACGGAGTTCTTGCTTCATCCAATGTCTGTAAAATGAAAAGACCCATGATTGATTTTATCATGCAATAAGTATTTCTACCAGATGTACATGCAGAGAGATATGAAAGGGCTGGCAGACAAAACCATACATTTCCTGATGTAATCATGTTCAGAATTCCACTTCCATTAGAATGCATTTGACTGACACTGCAAATGCACAGCAAAAAAAGCAACAAAAGAAGAAGATTAATCAAATGGCGGACGCTATATAGAAACGACTTAAACAATCATATGATCAAATCCAACAACACAGATTTGAAAAATGCATACCCAATGCATTGCAGACTAACCTGTTATGATCATCATATCCTAAGGTCTTAATAAATTCAGGGACAGCAGAACCAAGCCTGCGAGGCTTTGGACAAATTGGAGGATTATTACAAACTGTAGTGTCTGGCCCTGTGACAACAAGATTGCTTTTAACAGCTAAGTGATGCATCTGATCTGCCCCTCATACAAAATAAGACAGCCACAACAAGTGAAGAATCAGAAATCTTAGGACTGCTTCTGTAACTGCTCATATTTATATATTTATATCCACCGGAGCAGTGACAATCAGAATGAAGAAAAAGGATTATATACGAGTTAAAGATTAGCCATATGTTTCTCGCGGTGAGAGAACATGCAATTAGGGATTATTGATTAAGCGCAGCCACATTGTTATAGCAGATGTTATTTCTGTCAAGAAAGGAGGAAACTTTTTTGCTTGGCCGAGAATGTATGTAGGGTTATATTCTCCGTATTCCTATTTTTTCTCTATTTCATATCGTGCCTAAAATTCATATTGTCCACGTGATAATTGTTTCCCTCCAGTGCCCTCTGTTTGAATTTTTCTAACCATTTTGAGAAGAGGGGTCATTTTCTCGTGTCAAAGATCATAGTTTCCTTATATTGTTTTTCTTCCTTAAACTCCCACGTTTCTTTCACTTTCACATGGTGATGCCATCGTGAATGGAAAACATACTTAAGTTACATTTTTGGTTTCAAACCAGCGGTAATCTAAGCGTAAAAAGAGATCAAACCAAGACGAGTTTGGTCCTTCAGCAAAAAACAAGGAGAAAAAACAAAAGAAAGCCTCTGCACATCAACCTTCATCTCTTAACTAACAAACAAATGAGGATACAAATACCGGGTACACCTCATGCTGAAGCAGCCAAAATTTACCGAGTTCATTAATCATTTCACCCTAGAGAGATTAACAGGCAACAAGATAGCATTAATCTCATATCAATAGCCTACAGATCATAAGGTCCAGGTTATATTGAGCAACTTTACTGATCATTCTCCTATATGTAACGAACAAATGAACTTATGTACAGTTAAATCACCAGATTCCAGCTCAATAACGAGGACGGACATAGACAATAATCTATGAGTCCTACGTATCCCATTCAAACGTAGGCTGTGATAGAACCTCATAATCTATTGGACCACTAACAACATTGTCCACAGTCTGAATGCCTTGCAACAGGGCTGGCTGTGAACTACTGCTGTCAGAAGGCAAGAGTTTGTACACAACCAACAACCCAAGGGTAAATATCGCCTGAAGCTTTGTAGAGTCTCCTTGAACTGAGAAGAAGAATAGCATCAAGAGAAGAAACAAGTCCACACAGAACCTCATTATGAACAAGACAGTGTCCATCAACCTCCCATCATTACCAGCAGGAAAACCTCGCACCCTGTACACAAACAGGAAATTGTACTTGTCCACCACATACCTATATCCAAAATAAGCTGCTCCAACAGGAACCACCAGAGGAGCAAATGACGAATATATGAGTGTCAAGGCAAATATTGTAAGATTGAATGCATAATACTGCGCAAAATCAAATGTTTGCTTTGGTACGGGAGAAGTTCTGCTGACTGGAGGATATTCTGACAAATCTTGACCAGGTAAATCAAGACCATTTAATGGAGAATCTGGCGTGTATCCGTAATTGCCATTACCAACTTCAGGGACACCTTCAGAAATCAGAGGGCGCTGCAAACTTTCTATATCGTGATTTTCCAAAGCATAGTCGTCACTTTGCTCGGGAACCAGCTGGATCATATCATTTTTCCGGAACTTCTGAAGCATCTTCTTAATTGATGGTATTGGAGCGAGTAAATCAAAGGATATACCCAAGAAAGTGCTCGTAATAAGAAATGCAAGTGATGAAAGACAAGATCTTGATAAAAATGATGCACTCATATAATCCACAATCTTTTTGCAATCTTCTCCATCCAGGTAACAACGGCCCATCTTTAGAAGCGCATTCTCCAGTGATGTTTCAACCAAAGCTCTTAAGAGAATAAGGTTCACCAGAAAGAAGCAAACCATTTTTAAGAGTGCAGCTCTTTGCTCACCAGAGACAGTCAGATGCCTTTCGAATTTGGAGAGATAAGAAAGAACAGATGGAATTACAACATACATGCTCACAAAAATAAGAACATTGGGAAGAAACTGGAAGATTAAGGATGCAAGCCAGCCTGAACTCTGAACCCACGCCAGCCATGTCTCAGCATGATCCACGGCTTCAGCATTTATAATACGTGCTGCACTACTAACGGCACTAAAAATAGCAAGTGGAGAACTGCAGAACAGGAGTAACAATAGCAGGCATGTGTTCACAAACACCCTCCGCAATCTCAGTGACAATTTTGATGATCCTAAATTGTTCCAGTAGATATCACTCGCCAATGGGGCTCTCTCCACCTTCCACTGGTTCCTCTGGAGTTGCAACTCTGTAATGGAAAAGAATCTCCCAAATCGCCTCCTCTTTTCCTTTCTCAAATCCTGAACTGCTTTATTAGCAGCATAGACATCCTTAAACACCACAAAGGCAACACCAGCGCCCCTCGCCCGCCCCTCTTTATAAGCAGCCATTTCCATCTCCAAGTCAGCCCTCAACTCTTGCAACTTCCTCAGCTTCTCCTCATCAGAGAAACCCAACAAATCCACAAACCGATACCATAAATCCACCACTCTTCTCCATAAATGGCGAATCTTCTCCCAGAACCCCATCACATCTTTTGAATCCTCATTATCCTCTAGTTCATCAAGAAATCCTCTTGACTCAATCCTTGCAACAAGTCTAGCAATGTCATCCCTAATTTTAACTAAGTCTGAAGCTAAATCATCCAGTGCACACAAATCCATAGGCACAATCACTTTATACACCTTCCCAGGATACTTGTGCTGAAAGTAGTCCACTAAAGGAGTCTTATCAAACCCTAAAGTTTTCGGCAACCCATGAATCATAATTGTAAATATCGCACTTGTATTAGCACCAGGATCACTAGGATTGCCATACCCGTCTCTCAATCTAGTGATTTTCAACCTCTTATGAATCTCTTTTGTACCGTAATGCACCAAAAGAACAACAATCACAACAAATATAAAATGAACCCACAGCAACGGTGAACCTTTTTCAATGTGATTAATAGTAGTCTTCGAAAATTGGTCTCCTAAAGGGGCCTTACCGGCATATATATTTACGGGCAGCATGACGGAGATTGCAAGAACGCCCAGGGAAAGAAGCAGGCTGCAGCTGCCGCCTTCAATAAGCAGAAATTGAGCAGCATCAGCTCCGCAGTGACGAGCGATCTCTCGACCGGTGGCATGCCAGGCAGCGAGGAGCTTAGAGGCGATCGCCGCAGGCCCCGGCATACGGCGGTGATCGCTTCGAAGCTTAATCAAGATGAAGATCAGAAGACACGTTAGGGCTCCGATGGCGGAGATGTTAAGTAAATACTGGATGTTACCGTACCATGCCTCATCGTAATTAAAGTCCGCGTCGCCGGAAGAGGACGGCGGAGGCGATGGGACGGTGTAATTGCTCATCGTAGTGATCGGGGCAGCAATCAACGGAGAGTTTTCTGGTACGGATCGGGGGTTGACAATGACAAAAAATGTGGGTTTCTTCGGTCTTTCAAGAATTTAATAGTCCGAATTGTGGGAATTCGGATCCATTCAAGATTAGGGTTTAGGTTTAAGCATAATTCGATGTCCGAGAGGTTCCAGAATATAGAGGGATTTAAAATTGGAGGAGGACAGGGAAGGGTTTGTCAGACTGGATTGGGGGAGAGCTCAATTTTATTTTATTTTTATTTGGAAAATTCATAAGTCCATTAATTATTCATTTATTAGTGACAACTACTTATATTTTTATTTTAATATCAAATTTTTTATTTTTAATTAGAGATAAAAATAATGAATTATAATTAAAACTTAAAGTTTCAATCATTGTTTTTCAATCAATACTTTTGTATATTCTAGTGCCACATATTTATAAAAAATTTGAAGGAGTACATTCATAAACATCTTTTTGGTAATTGTAAATTCGTTATGGGTTATAAAACTAATTAATGATTGAACGAACTTGCAACATTTCCTTCTTCTTCTCCTTTTGTGTTTTCTTTTTCAGCGAAAAGGGGCCTTATTGGATAGAGTTATTTTTTCCCCCCTTTGTTTGGAAAAGAATATTTGAAGCGATTATCAATTTCGAATTGACTATAAATTAGGAAACATGTAGTTTCTTTCCGAAAAGTTAGCTCCTTACCTGGAAATGAAATACCCAAAAGTTTCCAATAATAGAAACATTTTCCTAACTATTGCATGTTAGAGCATATTCGATAATGTGACTTAATGTTTAAAATTATTTGATTAAATACTTTTTTATTTTAACTTGTTTGATAAACAAAAAAATAAACCTTTGAACAAAGTCAGTAAATGATTCGTGAAAAACGTCAAGTGAAAGCGCTGGTTTTGTATTCAAAATGCAAATTGAGTGTAAATCTTGAAGGTCCATATAAGCCCACGTGTGGTTCTACCTCAAAACCAATTGGCAATGAGGGGAGTAGCACCTGGGGTATATATGTTGAGTTCAAGAGTCTTCATTCATCCATGTGGGACAATGGAACACGAGGTCATTTCTTTCTTTCATTCATTTAACACGCCCCTCTCAAGTCCAATGGGCTTGAACGGGTAATTTTATTTTTTTTTTTTTTTGATTTTTTTTTCAGTCCTGCGATCGGTTATTTTTCCGGATAAACTGTCGCCTGCCTGCCGGGCCAGTCAAAGTTCAAAGTCAAATACCGGATTTCTTCTGTGGGTTGACCAAAGTTTCAAGACCCAATCTGGTATCAGCCCACCTCGCCCCACATGTCTCACAGGTCCGCGGATTAAAACCCGCTTTGATACCATCTTGAAGGTCCATATAAGCCCACATGTGGTTCCACCTCAGAACCTATTGAAGGTCCATATAAGCCCACATGTTGAGTTCAAGAGTCTTCATTCATCCATGTGGGACAATGGAACATGAGGTCATTTCTTTCTTTCATTCATTTAACAGTAAACATACTCTATAACGCGGTTTATTGTTTGTTGTAGGGCCACGATGATCTAGTACATCAATTTGAGTCGATGTTGAGACAAGACAACGACACGAAAACCTGAGTTATGATCGACCAGTTTGTGCGCGGATTTTGGCTGAAAATTATTACTCGAGGAAACATTATGAATTGGTGGTGGCAATGTTGACGGAAGATCTATGTACATATATCATATATGTAGAGTTGATGGAAGAGGGTCATCTCCAATGCACGGAGGAACTAGTCATTTTGATGATTACAAGAATTAGTGGCAGAACTAAAAAAATAGGGAAAATGACAAAAATCTATGAATTATGTTCAAAGGATAAATTGCCCCCGATATTTTGTATAAGGACAATAATCCCCCTACCGTCAAGTCAAATGACAATTTGTTCCCTGCATCAACAAATCTTAGTTCAAAAGACAAAAATACCCTTAAACTAATAAATAATATTTTTTAAGACTAAACCTTCCCTCTAATCAATTCGTTTATTTTATTTTTTGGACATTCTTAAACAGTTTAGCTCCGATTAAATCCGGCGCGTACTCCGTTTTGATGCATTATTTCTCTCTATCACTGCCGCCTCAATATAATGATGTATGATAGATTAGGGTTTTTGTTTGTTGATTGTTTGGATGTTTTAGGTGTTGATTTTGAGGTTAAAGATGAGAAATCATAGATGTTGAGATATGGAAGTTGATTTATAAGTATTTTAGGATTTTATAGGTCTTTTGAATTATGAATGGAGTATGTATGGTGTATTTGTTGATTTTGTTATTAAGAAATGATTAGACATTGATTTTTTTTTTTTTTTTAAAAAACAGTTATCAATGGCATGTAATGTATCATATATGCTTAATTTGTTTCATACAAGCAAGTATGTGATAGAGAATGGTAGCATCAACACTTTTTCAAATATGCCGGATCATGACTTGAATTATTCTTGAATTTGAGGAATATTTATCTTAAATTATTCTGGAATTTGAGGAATATTTATCTTAAATTATTATAGAATCGTTATCTCATTCCATTTTAATCTTTTAGGTACAAAAACCTTTGAATGTTCTACATCTATTGTAATAATAACGTTTCATCTTTAACAAATGTAGGCGTATTAAATTTAGGATTTAAATGAGATATCATTAATTTAAAATAAATTCTATGCATAACAATGAATTGTTCAGCTAATTTTCAAATTCATCTTCTTGAATATGGATATCTAAAATTAATGAATCTAGTATTAATGGATCTGTTAAGGAAACAGAGAAATTAAGCATGTAATTGAAATATACGGAACTATTACATATATTAGTTTGAATCATAGCAAGTATGGAAGTTTTATATCTTGTTAATCATTTATCTCTTAATACTATAAATATTAGAGTATCTACACTAATATGAACTAAAGGTTTAACTGCAACCTAAATTAATCATAATGAATATATCGAAAACTTTTTTTCTAAATACCTATGTAAAGATATTTGTCATTAATAATATTAGGCCAAAAGTTGTGTTCGCCGAATTGTTTTTGTTACTGCTTGAATAAAAGAATAAAAGAATTAGTCCGGCATGATTGGCCGAAGAATCAATTAGTTTGGGATAAGGAAATATAACACTGAAGTCGTTTTTTTTTTCTTCTTCCAAAATGGTTAGACTTGTTACTAGTCTTGGTTGAGTTTGTTGTTCCACTTTGATTTCAATCTTGGATGTGCATGTACAAACCTATTACAAAGGAAACAATTATTTAGAGCAGCTAGAGTTGTAGAATTTGTTCGGTTAAACTAGTTTCACATTTGCATATTGTATCATTTGATCAGTCTTTGAGAAGCAATTATGAACTTGATGATCATAATTCATGCCGTCTAATTTTGACAGATGGAAAAACAATTATTCCAATAACCCCAAAAATCTCTGTCTGACCTGAAAATGGACTCGACTCCGTCTTGTCGTTGACTACATTAACAAATGTATCATCTTTTTTTTTTTTTTTCTTTTTTGTCCCAACAAATGTATCATCACGTTGCATGCATTTTGACGTAAAATTGGGCTCTATCGTGATAGGGCCCATATACATTGCGTGGGCTTTATAATGGGCCATATATAATACATAGAGGTTACTCAGATTTCTTCTTCCTGAGATTAGTGGGTGCAAGTGTGGTGTATATAAATCTCTCAACCATCCGAAAAATACTGATGATAACAATAATAATTAAACTTGCCTCTTATGAATTCAATACTCATCTCAAATTTTCAACCATAGGTATTAGGATCGAAGGCTTTTCCGTTGAATTCGGAGTTATTTTTTAATTCGATCGTTTATCACGTTCAGCTTTCCTTTCTCTATCTGAAGAAATTAAGGGTCCAAAACAAATTTAAAAATTGGGATGTGCCGGTTGACCTTAGACTTCAGTTTACCATTTCTGATTGATAGGTTATCTTTTTGACCGGGAAAATGACATCCATCCAACCGCCAAACCTTCACGAGTTACGTACTTCTCTACATAAAAGCAGCTGCGGTTTTAGCTCTTATCTATGTTTTTCTCCAATGTACTTATTTTTTTATTAAAAAAAAAAAAAACTAATCAAACCACAAGACTTTCCCATCCTTTTTCTAGGAAGAATATCAAAGATTGGAATCAATTATGCTTAATTTGAAGTTTGACTAGCGAGTTGATTCGTTGTTAACTACGTTTAAGAACCGTTATTCTGTGGATCGAATCCCCTCTAAAATAGAGTAGGTTCTTTACTACTACAATAAAATAAAAAAAACTAATTTTTCCTTTCTAAATTACTCCTTATTTAATTAAGTCGTAGCTTTTTTTTTTTTTTTTGGGGTTACCTGTGTGTAGAACATATCGATAAAATTAGAGCTCATTTTTGTTTTCGACATTGAGGTCGCTAGCCAATTAAGATTACCTTTAAGTTTAAAAAAATATGAGGACGAATGTAGTGATGTAACAAGTAAATGCGAATAATTTAATTAAAAAGAGGAGCTCGATGAGTTATCGAAAAGCCATCAATTGCGACTGATTACATTTGCACTAATTAGTGCTTAATGAGGTATATAGTTTAGATGTGTAAAAAATGATTATGAAGTGGATCAATCGGGGAAGTACCCATCTGTTTGTGTAGGGGAGATTTTAACTGTGTTTTCGTGTTTAGACTTTAGACCAATAACACAGCATGCAGGCAAGCATTTAATTTTTTTTTTTTTTCTCAATTTATGGGACCAATTTATCGATCAACATCTGATTCTTTTCCCATATGGTTTACTTTTATGCTCATCTAGAAACTAATTAAAACTTGTGGTGGAATATGTACGACTAATTAATTATGTTGGTGACACCTCCATATTTCTTTTGTTCCAAAATAATAGGTTCATTGTAATATTAAAAAACATAATTATTTTAGGCAGTGACGGAACTAGCTCTTCGGATTTGAGAGGGCTGACTACATGTTTATAGTCGGAAAAAATGGTCAAGTACTCCTAAGAAGTTTTTCAAGTCGATCGGGGGCTCCATATCCCCCGGACCTCTAAGCAGTTCCGTCATTGATTCTAGGACAAAAAAAGTTATTGGCTAATCATAATATGTAGATTAACTAAAAAAAGTAGAGAGATAGCACTGAAATTAATAGTCATGCGCTACGTAATCTGTAATGGGTTTTGCGGTGAGAATAAATGTACGTATATCAAAATCAAAGACGCCTACAGTAAAGATAGAATCAGTATGAATTGTCAAAATCAATATTCAACCGAAAAAAAAAATGGTATGTTTCATCCTACTTTTAGACAAAAGCAAAATATGCATCTGAACTGGAAATTTCGTGTGGTTGAAAACGCAAGTCGTGGGTGAATCAACAAAATAAGAGTAAGTCATGACGACGACATGGTGATGATAAATATATAATTATAAAATTAAACAGCTAGCTTGATTTTTCCCAAAGTGTACAGGCAGCTAAATAAAGCTTAGAGTTTAGGTTTGGTTAAGTTACGCACAAAGTCCATTAAAAAAATTACCTAATTTTCGTGATGGACAGAATGATTACTACCATTGGAAAATAAAAGTATAAAACACTGCGGTGTGGGAAAAAGTTCAGCGGAGATATATTGGCGGGTTTCGTAATTGTCGTTATATTATACCCCGAATTAATCGGTTCATTTTCATGCAAGTGATCCACGATTCTCCGCAAGTCTCCACTCTCCGTGGTCCTTTTGCTCCTCTACTATCTTCCGTTGAATAAAAATTTGTTCAATTTATCTACAATATTAAATAAAAATAAGCACATGACGACTCTATGTGTTACGTGCAACATGATATTTATGCTTAGAAAGCTCTCAGTTGCTGAATTATGCAAATATATTTACAAGTGTCATACGAATATATACATATTGCTATTTCATATTTGATTGCATCCAAATACTAGTTCGTAGAGAACGTAAGAAAAAAACTAAGTAAAAATAATCAGTTACGAAAACATATTCTCACGTCAAAACAAAAAAAATAAAAATCTAAAGGTTCAAGTGCGCACCATTGAGATAAACAATGAAATTGAAGTCGTACATTGATATGTTTAATTACACGCCTATTATAACTAATATTAATCTAAAGTATTAACTGTGGTGAATTACTCGAGGATCATCTCCCATCTTCGTAGGAATTTGGTACTTGCAAAACTAATTCAATAAAAAAAAAAGAAGTAAAATACAGCATAAAACTAAAAAATTACGGAGAGTATATGGGATTTTCGGCTTTGTCAACGCATTGGGAATTGCGCAGGGCAACGCATATATTAGCTGGAATCCAGCGTAATTTTCACCAAATTATTTACCGCAACTACATTTTTGGCGTTACTTGTAACTCTGGGATATGTGGGCTGGGCTCACAAGGTGGTGGGTCTACTCTACTCCTATAAAGCTTTATATGAGCTGTGGCTATGTCCAAATCTATTGATGAACGCAGCCCGATTCAGTGGAGCCACCTTCACTTTCCATTTTGGGAAACTCCGTCCTCCATCCTACTACGTCACTCCGTTAGGTTCCATCTGAAAACCTTCTTCTTTTTTCTTTTCTTTTATTTTATTTTTAACTGAAAACAAAATATATATAATGGTTTATACTCCTTTATTTTAAATGACAATGTTCCAAAAATATTGTAGTCCATCCTTAGTTTTTTTTAAAAAAAATCAATATGGTGGTCTGTGTTTTTTTTTTTTTTTTTAAAAAATTCTCATTTCCCACCATTGGAAGAAGAATGAAAATAAACAAAAAATAAAGTTGTCACAATGGTAGATGATTCCAAGGAAAATTAGAAGATGAACTTGTGCAAGCCATTTAAATGTACACTATTCCTCTTCTTTTTTTTTTTCCCAATTATCAAGTAGGCTAAATGAATTGAGTTATTGAGCTATGCAATTTCCAAATTAATGAACACCAATTTAACCATTGACTTATCACGTGGATAACATGCATTTGCCTGCATATGTTAGTAATCAATGGCTATAACTACGTGTAAACTCATAATGCTACGCTAGCCTGCTTCCCCACCGTTTTTTTTTTTCTTTTTCTTTTTGTCTCCAAGGAATGACTAATGAGGCAAATATTACTGTTCTTTTTATATCTTTTATACTAATAATAAATAAAATATGAAATTATTGGAGCTAACTTTCGATACCAAGACAAGGGGGAAAAAAGGGAAATGCATGTTTTATTCGGTCTTAATCATTTGGATTAAACTATAAAATTCATAAATATTAAACTAAATAAATTACTATTACAAAAAATACTAGAGGAGACGGATAGATTAATTGGCTTTTCATGTTTATATGATGTTATATGTGTAAAAGTTTATTTGGATTACTTCAATTCAAACTACTCGACCGGCTGTTCTGTTTCTGGATGTACTGTGATGAGCTTAAAAAGTATAAATTTTTTCTTTTCTAAAAAAAGAAAGTTAGTGAAAAAACTAAATAAAAATGGCGGTATTATAGTGATTATTATTAAAATAGATTAACTATTGACGTCCGCAGTGACCAATAAAAAAGGCATAATTAACAAAGTTACAGGATCTGTCATAATCAAGCTCGGTCATGGATACCTTAGAAAACAATTAGTTTTATTTTGGTGAAAGCTGACAAAATTGAAATAATTAATCATTCCACTACAGTTAATAACAAAAAGGAATAAACAACCTTCAAGAAATATAGTCCTCAATAATAAAAAGTGTAAACTGTAAAGTGGTATGGCTGTTTTGAAGTATTCTTTTAGGGATTCTTTTATACCTTCGGTAATTCCAAAAGAATATTACTGATGTTATTTTGTGATCATCATGATATAATTAAATAATTATTAAGTGGTAAAATCATTCGTTATTGATTTTGCCTTTTCACTTTTAATGATGGACTTAATTCTGAATTTTTGAATTGAAATTTCTGAAAATATTTATTTTTGTGGGTGTGGTTCAGTTATCTTGACCGATATTATTATATAAAAAGAATTATGATAAATGTAAGAAAAATTTTACAATTAAATTTAAATTCATTTAGTGTTAACTTTTCCCTACATGTATTAATACTCTATATTTAAAAATGGAATTTAAAAAAAGAAGATCTATAATTTAATAAAATAACAATCGGCACAATTTATTTATTTATTTATTTTTTTGGGAATTACCGATGGTATAAAAGAATCAACACATTTAAGGATAAGAACATTTGTGTGTTAGATTTTGCGTAATTCAGATGAATAGTTTCGTGAAACATCTTGCGTAATATTTCGTCTATTTCATTTTAATGACCCATAAAAAAAAAAAAAGTGACCCTTTCTTTGTCCATTATTGTACCCAAATACAGGAAATTAGTGAGCTGCCTATGAGCCATGCCCAAAACTGTGCCCCCATAATCCACAAAACTACAGCTAGTATTTGGAATAGGGACAGTTTTTCCTTGTTTGGTTCATGGTGCGGACCCCATTTGCTACACCAAAATTGGGATTTCATTATTTTGTGTTCTTTTCAATTTTCTATAGTTATTGGCATGATATTGGGGTCGACCCTCTATTCTGCTGACCAACAGTTTTTCAATTTTTTATTTTTATTTTTCCGGCTATCATCATAAAATTAGTAAATTACCGTACATTTTCTTCAACATAGACATTTGATCCAAAGGAATTCACCATTATAGACCAATTTTGTTGACATGTAAGTCTTTCTACTCCCTCCGTCCCATAATTATTGTCCAATTTGAAATTTTTTTTTTAGTTCAAATTGTACTAAAAATGAAATATAAAATTGGACAATAATTTTAGTACAGAAGGAGTATTTTTTTTTTTTTTTTGATACGACGATATACTCTTTTCATCACAAACAAATATTTCACATAAGACAGTAAATAAGAATGGATCATTTATTTTTAGGACGGATGGAATAACAAATGAAACGACAAATATGAATTTGTTTGTTCTCAGTGAGATTGAAATATCACATTATTCGGAAATATTTTTCTTCTTTAATATAAATTTTTATAGTATCCTTTTAAATAAACTTTCCTCTAATGTATGAGCGGCAGAGTAAAAGGGGAACCGTGTACATTGACTAATAATAGTAATCATTTTCAGTTCAACTGCAATTTATGAGTACATAATCATAATTTTTCTTTGTATTTTGTCTTATGTAAGAAGTCCAATAAGCCGTACAAAGTTAATGAGGAAAAAGTAATTGTATTTTAAAAAATTTCAACATTAGTAAACTAGATTCTATCACTGCTAAAGATTATTTGACTATTACACAATCTACCGTAATGAATATTTTCAAATTTTGTAGCCTACAAGGGAAAAATCCAATATGTCATTTTCTTAGTTTGATTTTATTGTACAAAATTTACATCAAGATATGAACAAAGAGTTTTTCATATTTGGCAACATGGAGAAAGTTAAAGGTTCTCATTTGAAAATTTTTAATTGTGCTACTGGGGAAAATGAAATTTGTATTTAACCCCCCAAATTTTTAAATATGTCAATAACAAGAACTATTCGGGCTGTTCAAATAATATTCAATCAGTGATTAAGAAAAAAAAAGATTAATTAAAAAATAAAAACACGCACACACACACACGCTCTCTCTGATCAAGAAAGAGAGAAAACTCCTTTATCTACTTCCATCTTCATCTCCTCTCTCTTTCCTTCATCGTTCTTCATCAAACTGAAACCCACAACCCAATTTGAAGTGGGAAGAGAGAGAATACACTACAACATTTGAACCCCTTTTGCCCAGAAGCAAATAAGAAGCCAACTTTTTTTTTTTTGTTTATATTTAGTTGTACAGTCATTATTTTTTGGATATGAGATGATTCGATGGATCTATAGATCTAAACCTTCGAGAAGGAGTTGAATTGCTCTACATCATTCAGATCTCAGCCCCTTTGATTACAGTAGCTGAGCAGAAAAATAGGTTTAATTACGTTGTAAGTGTTAAATTAAGTGTTGGTTGGAAGTTGGAATGGGAAATATCTTTTCTGTGTTATTGGTGTTATTTTTTTTTTTTAATTACTTATATTTCCTGATGCTGTTTTGTTCACTGAACCATTTTGCTCTTCGGTGATTTTTGCCGTCAGCAAGGTAAAGTTGTGCGGCACAACTTGTCTAGTTCTAGTGTGCTCTGATTTGGTCAGATTTGACCCCTACTTAGCTTGAATTGCTCTTTGCATTTCTAAGTCTTTTTCTATATATTTGAAGATGCTAGGACAAGGGTCTACTTTAGTTTCATTCTTTTGTTAATCGGAGTAAGATGTGTGTATTTTTTGGGTCCTTGTGTTATTTTTGCGATGCTTTTGTCGGTACTATTTTGTGTGTTTTCGCCCAATTTAAACATGAAGTTTGATCTTTGTTGATTGCGTGGTTCTCTTGAATCAATTGCTTCCTAATACTGTTATGGTTATCCTTTGGTCTCATCGTTATAGTTTGATAATCAAATTCAAATTTGCAGGGAGTACAAGGTTTCCATTGGCAGGGTCCGCTAGGAGTTATATTGAGTTTGAGTGCTCTTCGCATCCATTTCGGATGTTGCAGAATTTGAGTTAAGCCAGGGTGAAATGAGGGATGTTATCAAAATTAATACAATTTCTAAAGGCCTGTTGGTGGCCATCTACAGACCGACAAGCACGCTCAGGTTCGGACGCTGCAGGCCGGCAGGATGGCCTACTTTGGTACAAAGACTCTGGACTGCACTTGATTGGTGAATTCTCAATGGCTGTTGTTCAGGCCAACAATTTGCTTGAGGATCAAAGCCAGATTGAATCAGGTTCATTAAGTCTCGTTGATTCTGGTCCCTATGGAACATTTGTTGGAGTATATGATGGCCATGGAGGGCCAGAGACATCGCGATTTATCAATGATCACCTGTTTCAGCATCTGAAGAGTAAGAGAGTTCAGTGATGCACTTGTTTGTTTTGTCAGCTGCATATGATTTGTGAATCAGTTCCATCATTCATGCAATTTTCATGCTCATCAGTTGTTGAGGATACTTATCATGTGATTGTATTTCTGAAATCTGCTTCACTGAGTTACTGTAAGATTGACTCAGGTCATTTTCATTATTTAGGGTTTGCAGCGGAGCAGAACTCAATGTCAGTAGATGTAATACGGAAGGCATTTCAAGCAACAGAAGAAGGGTTTCTATCTGTTGTTTCAAAACAGTGGCCGCTAAAACCACAGATCGCGGCTGTAGGTTCCTGTTGCCTGGTCGGTGTTATATCTGGTGGGACCCTCTATGTCGCCAACCTTGGTGATTCAAGAGCTGTATTGGGCAGGGTTATGAAGGCAACTGGTGAGGTTCTCGCTATTCAGCTGTCAACTGAACATAATGCAAGCATAGAGTCTATAAGGCAGGAATTGCATTCAATGCATCCAGACGACTCGCAGATAGTAGTTCTTAAGCATAACGTATGGCGTGTAAAGGGTTTAATACAGGTAAGCTTTGTCTATGAGCGACTCTGACCATGTTTTTTCTAATCTCAATATTGTTTGTTGGAATTGTCTTTTAAGCTTGTTCATATTTGATGTTGTTTCTACTAGGGAGCTTAGTTGTACTTGCCCCGTTTGCGGAAATATTTATTGTCAGTAAACCTTCTTTTAATGGATTTATAGAATCAGTAGCTTATCATATCTGATTCATTTATACTTTCTAAGCAATTTTCTGATTTGTTGGTTTTTGGGTATCTTTAATTGGCTTCATTAATTAAGCTGCAATTTTTGTGTTGCTGATTCACCTGTGTTTATTTATGTTTGGACTGAACTACTCTCTCATACTTTTAAATTAAAGAACTTTGGGGGTGTTCGTTGTCGTTTATTGCACGTAGCTCTGCTTTGTAATCAACTTTTAACCTACTGCTGTCGTATAGAATATACTCAATGCTCATTCATTTGAAGAAGAGACAGTTATGACACAAATCTGCAAATCGTTTTTGATTCATAAAATTTTAAGTCCCTATTAAAAGGGGGGCCATGGCGCAGCACTTAGCTGTTGTCATGGAATATGAGGTCACATGTTTGAATCACGGAAACAGCATTTTATCAGAAAGAGAAGGCAACAAAATTGATCCAAGTGGAAAATGTCAAGATATATTGAATTTAATTATGGTTTCTCTTTCTCAGTGATTTGTACATCAGCAAGTTAGAAATACACTCGATTGTTAAATTCTGTACACGTTGGGTAGGAACATTATACGTGGCTGTTTATAATTGTCTTGGGTGCGGTTTGGTATTGTTCTTCATGCATTATGCTCTCTCACTAAATGCCAAGCTCATCTATTGCAGGTTTCTAGATCCATCGGTGATGTATATCTTAAAAAGGCTGAATTCAATAGAGAACCTTTATATGCAAAGTTCCGCCTCCGAGAAACTTTCAAAAGGCCCATCTTAAGCTCTGATCCATCAATATCTGTACATGAACTCCAACCACATGATCAGTTTCTCATATTTGCTTCAGATGGTCTCTGGGAACACCTGAGCAACCAGGAAGCTGTGGATATTGTACAAAATAATCCACGCAATGTAAGATCTTGTTTTACCTGTTTCTGATGTTGCTTTTCTGTGTATGACTCTGCTTATCTGAAGTATCCACACCAGACCATGAGAAAATAAGTTTTGTTCCAACATAGGTGTTTTTCCTTATTATGCGTGATTATTGTGGCAATAATACTTTGTTCTCCTGGCTATGAACATTTTACCTAAGGCAAGGCACTTGGATGGTCAACTTATTTTTACTAGGATGATAGTGTATGGTTAAGAAAGTTTGTTAGCTTTAATCTTGAAAAGATTTAGGAGGCAAATTGTGAGAAGAGTAGAAGTTTAAAAATTATTTATGACGTATGAGCTGAAGCCATGTTATTCTCCTGCCTGAGAACTGTCAATCATCCTTTTTCGTTAATGTGTGATTCTGTATGTGTTCATACCTGAACAAAATGATGATGAACGGAGGCAACAAGAAACAGACTCTTGATTCTCATTACTTGCAGGGAAGTGCTAGGAGGCTTGTTAAAACTGCATTACAAGAAGCAGCTAAAAAGAGAGAGATGAGGTACTCTGACCTGAAGAAGATTGATCGTGGTGTTCGGCGGCATTTCCATGATGACATTACTGTCATAGTTGTCTTTCTAGATTCGAACCTTGTGAGTAGAGCCAGCTCTTTGAGAGGCCCTACTCTGTCTATGAAAGGTGGAGGCATCAGCCTGCCAGCAAAGACCTTGGCTCCCTCCGAACTTGGTACTACATGAGTTCTTACCCTTGTTGTATACTCTGCTGTGGCTTTCTGGAACAACTTGTGACTGTCTCTTGGTTGGCTATAAAAAGATTCGAGGAAGGTGCGGTGCTAATCTTAATTTTTTTCCCCAGTGTACAATGTAACGTTGACTTCAAACTTTCTATTTTGTTTAGTCATATGAGCAGGAAAAGAAAAAAAGTGAAAGGATCAGTAAGGGGAGCTTTGAATATACTGTAGAGAGATTCTTTCTTGAGGATTATCGTTTCTACCTGTATAATTTTTCTTGTTTTGCTTCCCTTACCCTGTTTTGAAGTTCTTATTATCATGTAAATGATGTAAAATTGGATCCCCTGAAATCTCGTAAGTTGGTTTTGTTACTGCACCCGGTTACTCATCATTATGTTACTGTACGCCCGAAGGGCAGTTAGTTATAGAACTCATAGCTCGGTTAACATTTTTGTGTAAATACGGATCTTGGTTAGAAAGAAACTTTGGGCGCTCTGTGATCTTGCTTTCCTTCCCCGAAGAACATTCCTTCTTAAAGATGTTAAACGAGTTTGAATTTCCGAGTTAATTGGAGTAACCGCGCTATTCTGTAAGCTAAGAATCTTGGCAGTTGCTGGGTTTAACGATCAGATTTTCTCCCTGCACGCGTAACTAAAGCTAGCAAAGCTAAGGTCCGTTTCATGATCTTTACGCTGAAAAGCGCATAATCTACAATCTGATAATTATGCCTTAGATTTTGATTCGGAAGGAACAATGCGAAATATTGATGGCTTCGTTATTTCAGAAGGATAGGGTTTCATATTGTTCATTGTCGTGGGACTTGATTTATACATCAAACTAAGTAGTCAGAAATTTGTGGGCAAGTGTCATTTCATGACCGTTTCATAATCTTTCACACAACAGACTGAAGAAACTTACATAGGTCTCGCATTTCATGTGCATCTTTGGTAGTGAGCAGGAGCATGTATGCTTAGCTTATATTGTACTTGAAATGCCTGGAGCTTGGACTCTGGTGAGATGAGGGTATCATGCAATCAACAGTACGAACGTTAGACCGTCCCGTCCTAGATGAATCCAATGGCGGAAAGCAGTTGAAGAACAATGATTCCAAAGCCATATACTACACCAGTGAATGGATAGATATAGCTCGCTCAAGACCTGATGTTCCCTTCACCAGACAGCTTACATGCATGGGATTCATCCCCATTGGGACCAAAATCAGAGACTTTGGCTTCTATATATCGGTTACTGTTGTATGAAAAATAAAAATTCAAATGGACAAGTATTTTCGGACGGAAATTGTGTTTGATTTTATATGCCGATGAAAATTATGTTGGGAAAATTTTCATTAAGGCCATTGGAAAGATTAAAATTATTATGAAAGGCATGAGATTTATTTATCATTTATTAAATATATTTAATTACTTTTGATATATTCCCCTCTTTTAAATAACTTCTTTACCCCTTCCATTGTTCTTTTTAATCGTTGGACATGTCCCTGAAATAAACGTTCAAAGTTCTTAATCCCATTCCCCATCTCCCTACATTATTCATCATGAAATCATCATCAAGCTGTTTTCATGGCAAAGATTTGAACTGGAAATGATTAGATACAAGGCCACAAAACAAGTTCCCAACTTAAGATGATCAATCAATGGTGGGCCCAAACTAAATGGAAACATCCATGAAATAAGAATAAGAACTAACATGGCCATTCAAATTCGTAGGAGCTCGATGATTTTATTTCAGTGCCAAATCACAAGGCAAGTAATTACTAAAAACATTAATAAAATCAGTCTCTACATAGAGGCGAGCAACGTAATCGCAAGCTCTCAACTTTATTTAGATGAGATTATGAAACTTTGGTTAGCAGCAATCTTTAAATTAACTGAATTAATGAAAAATTAATCATTGAATTATTTATCCTCTATCAAGTAGTCACTTTCGAGATGAGAACCTCAAAGAAATGGGTGGAAGAAGAAAATTTCAGGGTCTCTTCTTTTTTGCGTTGATATGCTCTGAAATTAGATTGGTGAGTAGGGCAGAGGAAATTTGGTGATAAAGTAGCAAATCGGTCAATTCTGAATAAATTTATGAAGAAGAAAGTAAAAACATGGCTAAAGGGGTGGCAGAAATGACGAAAATTTTGTTGTGGCTCCATCTTTAGTTCAACCAATAAAGATAAATTTATCACTCACAGAGAAAAGATTGGGTGCATAGATTGAAGGATAAGAAAGTCTTTTGATAAGTTTAAGATTTTTAGAAAGTGTTTAAATATTCATAATAAATCTTTAAATAAAATCCATGCCCTTAATAATAATTTGCAATCTTCTTATGCCCTTAATGAAAATTTTCCCAATTATGTTTGGCTCCAAACCAAATGCCGCTTATTAAAATATTCATTTCCCCTGCTTATATCTTACTTAAAAGCCAGTTTAGGTATCGATCTTGTATTTTGAATTTTTTTTGTTTTTGTATTTTGAATTTTATATAGGAGATAAATTGCTAAATTTTGTAAGGAGAATAGTAAGAATACTGAAAATACCAACCCATTATTTTGTAGTCACTTTTCCCTGTAATTTTTTTTTTCACTCAAAAATTTACATTTAGTGCTTATTTATGATATCTACATCAGTCACCATAACTAGTTCTACCTGTTAGAAGCACTTTTGATTAACAATATTTGATAGATTCTCCTATAAGAAGTACCTTGAGTAATTTTATTGCCAATTATATGGCATCGCTGGCGGAAATGAATCCATCTGGTCTAACGAGATTGGATTTACCTTCACCAGGAATATTTTAGTAGTTGAACCACGAAATTTTAGGAGTAACATACACTCGAATGGTTGTAATGTAGCTTTAACTATGATATAAAAGCCATCCGCCCCCAAAAAAAAAGAACTTTACAATTGTGAATTATTATAGTCCATTCTATGTGCCGCCAGTACAAACTGATTGATGTAGAAACCAATCATGATGGTGTTCAAATGGATGGACAAACTTCCCAACAAGTCAATCAATATCCTTTCTCTAATATTGAAGGTCCTGTGACTCGATCCTTTGCGAAGAAAAGAGATGAAATACTCAAACCTCTAATCCTAGATGTTCATTCTCATGAAGAAGTTCAAATGATTGATTGCATTCCTTGGGTAACTTGCCTAACATTGAAGAGTATTAGCCATTTCAAACTTGGGTCCAAAGACTTCATCAAGTGGATTGGAAGCACCTGTCGTCGATATATTTGTTAGTCGACGAGCAAGTCGACGTGGTGATGTCGACCATTCTGTCAGTCGACGAGAAAGCCGAAGCGCACTGATGAACTAGGGTTCCAAATATCCTAGTTTTAAGTTTGTGCGGGTTTTTTCTATTTAATTTGTTTTCCTTGGATGTTATTGAATTAAATTAGCTTTAATGTACTTCTAAATAATTTGCAATATGTGCAAATATTTAGAAAATTTATGTTTTTTTTTATTTTATAATTTATGTGCAAATAATTCCTTGGGTCAAATCCACAAATAACTTAAATATTGGATTTTGACCTAGTTTGCCGTTCTTTTCACGTTAAAAAAAGGGGAGGCCGCCACTTTTTATGTTCAGACTATTATGGAAATTTCTTTCTATGAAATCTGTTGTAGCAACAAGCTTGTTGGCCAAAAGTTGGAGTCTTCGATGGAAAGGAGTTGGTAGCATTGACATTGAAAGTCGGTGGTGGACTTATTCCGGGGATTTTGTGGATTTTGTTAATAACATGTTTGAGGTTTTAAAAAGGTATACCATCCACAAGTTTCGTCTCAAATGGGAGAATGTGGTATTTGGATCCCCTTGGCTTATCGAATGGCTTGCCCTCGCTGTTTGCCGAAAAGTTCGTGTTGTTGATGTTGGTGTTTTTAGTGAAGATGGAAAAGAGCGGCATTTTGTTGAATTTGGAGTTAAGTTACCAGGTAAACTTTTTAGTTGCAAGACCCTAGAAATTCTAAAACTAAGAGGGCCGTTTATCATTAATCTTCCGCCCCGGGTTGCTGTTTGTCTTCCCAAACTTGTTCATTTGGAACTGAGTTTGGTTCACTTTAAGGACGAACAGAAGTCTCTTCCTAAGCTTGTGCAAGGTTGCCCAGTACTCCAATCTTTCAGATTTGACAGAAAATTCTGGTATAATTCTTGTTCCGTGATAAATTGGTCGATTTCCTCCCCTTCATTGAAACATCTTGATATATCTCTCGGTGATGATGGTGGTGGTCACCTCTTTGAGATTGGCAATGGAAGGAACTGCAAGCTGGAAATTGATGCTCCTGCACTTGAAAAGCTTGTTTTAACCGATGGATTGTTGGGGGAAATTTTGATACGTGGAGGGTCTATAAATGAAGTGGATCTTGATTTTATCTCTTTTGGTCGCGCAACGGATACATACTATCAGAGTTTGATTGTTCGGTTGATCCAGGGTTTGAACCATGTGAAGCTTCTTAAATTATCAGAGAGGACCATGGAAGTTCTTGGCAGAGCCGCGAGCGAATTGTCAACAACGAGTTTGTGGTCAACAAGGAGTTTGTGGCCAACAACAAGTTTTGAAAGATTGACCAAACTGGTTGTCAAGTTACATTAGACACTGAATGGAAGTGCCTGTTCGACTTAATCAATTGCTGCACCGCATTAGAATTCCTCGAGATTACCCGTTTGCCGTGTGATTCTTTGCATGATAATCGAATTTCTATAAGACGTTTGATGGATCAAATTCATATCAGGCGCTTGAAGGATCGGAATCCTACTGATATCGTTTTTAGATCCTCTTTATCCAGTCTCAAACGAGTTTTATATAAGGGATTCACTGACCTTGATGATGAGAAGTCAGTGTTATTGTTTATTCTAAATCCTGCTATACTACTGGCCGAAAGAGTTGATGTTGATCTGCGCACTAACTTCAGTGATCACTCTTTTGAACTCACACTTTCTTTTGTTTGAGAATTTAGATGATGGGTTTAAGAAGATTGATATATACCTTCATTTAAGATTTGCAACCATTTGGGACAACTAAGTGAGCTCTTGGCGTGAGAGAAGGCCATATGTGTATTGATCTTTTTGAGGTTACCAGAGAGCCCGTAGATTGTCTTTTAAGCAGTACCTGTTCCTGAATTGTACTCGTAACTTATAGTTTAGAGTTAAATTAAATTTATCTTACCAGTTTCTTTGTGTTAAAGTTGAATATTTCTATCCAACTGTAAAGCACTTGTAACATTGGACGTTCCGATCTTCGTTTTTAACGTTTGAGGAATTCAGTCATTGGAGCTTTGAATTGTGCTAGCTTCAAAACCGAACGCCCATATTTTCTGAAAGCTCTCTTTAAAGTGAAATTCAGTTTTCTTGGTATAGGTTTTGTAAACTTGAAATCTGCACTTCCCAGTAAATATATAATAAACAAACTCAAAATCTCCTGATCTGTAAACTAAAAATCGCATAATCTACAGTCTGATCCGATTCTCAAGGAACAATGCGATTGCATCTTGTGGAAAGTCTGACACAGCTGCGTGGAATAGAATTTCATCTTCTGGGACTTGATTCGTGCACCAAACTAAATCAGAAATATTTAGGGGAAGGCGTCATTTCTTAAGCTTAGTAGTGTATGTACAGCATTTCATGTGCCATCTTGTGTTTTATAACGCTAGCAGAGAGTTTGATATCATCAGCTATGCGGTTCAATCAGGCAGCTGGATGATCCCTCGTCCATGCTTTGGCTTGTCACCTCGCCTTTTAGGTAGTTTGCAGCAGCATCTATGCTTATACTGTACTCAAAACACCTTAAGCTCGGACTCTGGAAAGACGGGGGATCCTCGTCTACCTCATCGACCTGAAATCTTTCAACTCTAGTATCATCTATGCTTGAGGAGTTTTGGGAATATGGTTCATCAATTACTGCAGGGAATTTGTCGAGGACGACTACTGATGCCGTAAGCGAATTTTCAAGTTTCTGGGGTGTTGATAATGGTTGTTTAAGCACAACAGATTGAAGTGCTGTTTCTAATTCTTGCCACACTTGAGTCATTGTAGGCCTCTCTTTAGGAGTATCCACCACACATCTTAGGCCCAGTTGTCCCATCTGTAACATCATTTCCATGTTACATTCTTCAATTAGAAGATTTGCATCTATGATTTCTTCGATTCTCCCTTCCTCCAAATTAGGCCTTGCCTGCATATATACTGTATATGGTCACACCACTTATTCTCAGTAATGCACAAATTCAAATGTAAAATGACTAGAGATTCAGACCCATGTACTCACCCAGTCAACAATATGAACATTAGACTGTCCTCTAGATGCATCGATGGCGCGCCTACCCGAAACAAGTTGAAGAAGAATGATTCCGAAGCCATATACATCAGTAAATGGGGTCAAGTGATAGCTCGCACAATAGGCAGGATCAAGGTACCCTGGTGTTCCCTTCACCAGGCTGCTGACATGGGATTCATCCCCATCAGGACCAGCTCTCACGAGGCCGAAATCAGAGACTTTGGCCTCATATTTATCGGTCACTAAGATGTTACTTGGTTTTATATCTCGATGAATTATGCTCGGCTTCACACCATCATGGAGATGTGCTATCCCTGCAAAAACCAGCACCCAAATGAATTTGTTAGGACCAGTTTTCCATTTGCTCAATCTTCTGTTGTCAATGAGGTTTTTACAGCATGAGATTATTGAAAACTTACCCTTGGCTGCTCCAATGGCTATATTTACTCTTTGCTTCCAGGTTAAGATCCTCCCTCCCCTGCCTAGAAGCACCATTTGATCATTCAGTTTAACATTTTTTTTGATAGAATATAGTAGTACTACAAAAAAAGTTGCCTAGTTTAGAAATTACCCCTAAGGTAATCAAGCAGTGAACCATTGCTGACATACTCATAGACCATTACGTTTTCTCCTTGATTTCCTGTTTAGACAAAAAAAAGATGAACAATGTAGCTTCAGAATATAGTAACATTTGCCTTCTACAAAGTATGAAATGTTCAGTTAGACAGCATATTCAGCTGCGCTGACAATCGGATATCATGCGATTATTGGATTAATGGATTTCACCATCTGTTACGAAACAGTTAGCACTTAGCAGCCATCATATATACCCGATTCCTCGCAGAACCCTACCAGGCGAACGAGATTTTCATGCTTGACTTTTGATATCAACCTCACTTCTGTACCAAAGAAAATGCATTTCTTGTTATCAGCTTAATGAAATGGCGTTTATGATCAAATGGGAGTCAAAAACTAGAAAATGAGTGAGGAAGACTTGCCATTTCTGAATTCCTCAAGGGAAGTACGAGAATAAGGATGAAGCTTTTTGATTGCCAATGATCCCTGGACCTTAAACCATCCAACATAAACATCCCCGAACGCACCAGAACCGACTTTGCACTCTTCGCCGAAATTGTTGGTTGCCTTTTGTAATTCCTCAAGCTGGAATCTTTTCAAAGACAACTTCTCAGCATCAAGTTCATCTGATCATTTCCAGAAACTTGGTTTCATTACCCACATTGAAGATTAAGAAATGAAAACTACTATCAGTAACAAAAATATCTTACCCTTCCTGTTTTGCCATAACTTGCAGTATTTAGAAAGCTTCCTCTTGAACAAAAAACACAAGTAGCCAATTACAACTAATGAAGCAATGATAGCTACAATCCCTATCCACAATACAGCACGGCCGAAAACCGGTCTGCGACTGAAGGATTCCGCAGGCGGCAGAGCTGGCACTACTTGTTCTGCCATTCCACATCAGAAACTAGAAGAATATGGTATGTACTGCTACTTTTTAACTCATCACATCAATCATACAAACCATAATTAATTTTCGCATATTTTACTTTGATCAGCAATGGAGCAAAAGAAAACAGAATACCACAGTGGCAGAGCCAGTTATATTGGGGGCAATCTGGCATTGGTTTACTTGGTATACTTAGCCGGCTATCTGTTGTGATTCTGGACTCAGTCTCTGGACATCTTCTGTCCAGACGGCATAAGTGCTGAAACGGCCAAGCAGCATATAACCAAAAATGTACTATATACACATTTTAAAAAAAAGATCAGCAGAATTTAGGCCAGTAAATGAAAACGAAACCATGCATATTCCAATCAGAGCACACCAACATACAACAAAACAATCTGGCTGTTTTGCCACCCGGGCAATAAACAATCTGTCAAGACTTTGGTTTCTTTTACCATCAATTTCCACTAGGAAAATAATCAAGAGGTCACCAGATAGATAAATACAGTTGCAGGAAGTAGGATCATCCCATATCAGGAGCTTAAAGCTTTTTTTTTTTTTTTTAATCCTTGTATTAAAAATGTGGAAGTGTTTGTCAAAGTGCCTAAGGTAGATAGTTTGAATAAATATGCTTTAGATCCACTCGAAAACACTACTTCCCACCAGCTAGATCGAGCCATGGGCAGGCTAGTTACTGTGGTAAAATCCCTTGAATGAATGGAAATTGTTTGTTCAGATTAAGTGAGGATTAATATGTACCCGATTAGGACATCTCATAGTTCAAAACACTTGGGGGGAACCAAAAACTTTATTGCCTAGTCAAATGATTGATATTGATATTATTTACGTAGCTCTGAGTAATTAGTTATCAGATTTTTTTTTTCTTTTTGTCTTTTGGGTGATCAGGGATTCTTACTGAACACTGACTTGAATGATAATGTTGAAGTTGAACACATAATCCAAAGCTTAATTCATTGTTTGACATCAGTACCGGACTTGTTTTATATACATAAATCCATTACCAAATACATTGAAATGGAGCCTAATAATAGATAGTAATAAACAATTTGAAAAAAAGAAAAAAACCCAACTAAAATCATGTTGAAATTGACTGAGAGAGATTGATGGAGGAACATTACCAAAACAAAATATAAAAATGGTAAAGGGAAAAACATTATGGGTGATATAGTTGAGCTATATAAGCGAGGATCGATAGTGATAGCTGAATACATTAATTTCAACATAATAAATTTTTTTTTCCTAATTAGCCTTTCACAACTCAAACGCGCTACTCATTCATTCTGAAGACTTCAGTTAAAGACTTTAGTTACTTAGTATGTGATAAAAAAAAATGATCAACATTGAGTTTTTAAATAAAGAGAAATAATATTAAATAAACTACTTAACTTGTCCCAAAAATATTGTCCGAACTTGAAATTTCACTTTTAGCACAATTTTAAAATAAAAATAAAAATCTAAACTGGACAATAATTTCGAGAATAAAAAATTATTATCAAAGGCTCTGATTGAAAAATTTACTCGTCATTTAAGAATTTATTAATTCTACTAACACCTTTGAGTTAGGATATAACTTTTGAACATTGTGTCCGACTTGCCATAGTCAGTTACTTCCCAAAAAAAAAAAAAAGAAAGTCATGATAGCAGAGTAAAAGAATTTCTCAATCTAAACTGGCAGCATATTGGATAAGAATTCCACATCTGCAAGATGCGATTGGGGTCTCAGTTTCCCAAACTATATTAACTTAATTCTCTAATTATGTGTTTTTTATTATATATATATTTTTTAAAAAAATAAAAAAATAAAAAATCATAAGATATTTCAAGTTGAAGGTTTAGTTAACATAAAACATATCAGTCTAGAGAAACGGGGAACTTTACGCTCAATCTCAAATGTTTTTTCTCATTTTAAGAATTCTCTCACTCTGCCTCCCAACCTTCCGGTGATTTATCTATCATTTTACAAGAAGAGGAAGGGAAAAAAAAAAAAAACGGAAATGAAGAATGATGGAGGGATTCAGAATCTAAGGTTTTCTTTCTACATATGGTTTGTTGATCCGTTTATGAATCGTGAAAAAGACATGACGAGCAAATCCTTGAAAAGACAAAAGATCATTTGGAGTGCCAAGTCGAAGATGGCATCTATGAATATATACTAATCAAATTATACTGTAGTCGTTGGATTTAAGCTAATCCTTACAAGACAAGAATCTCAAAAAATTTTGGTCACTTTCTGGAGACCTGACCTAAGCAAGGGGTCCTGATTAGGTCAAAACAAAAGAAGCTACTTTTCTTCCCTAATGCCAATCGGACAACCAAGGATGATGCACATTTTCGGTATTCACCGACACCGATTCGGACAGCTATAATTTTAATTTGTCAAGTTTCGTACGTAAATTGTCAATGGTTACAAATTTCTACTGTTCTTACACCTTCATTTTTTTGAATCTGACCCTTTTTTGTGCTGATGATAGTTTCTTCGGGTGTTAAAAGATTTGAATTATTTGGACATTTTTGGCGGTCCCCTTGTAGATTTGTAGTACGATGCAGCAGCATCAGCATCAGCAGCTGCTTTTCTTTGAAAGAATTATGTGAATTGAGAAGGGTTCTTCAAATTATCAAAAGTTCTATTGGATCCTCCTCATTCAAAATCGAAACTTCTCAGGTGTGAATTCAAACACTAATTCTCAGACCTCACAGCCTCAAAGGGACGGCTACGAGAGAGGAAAAAGTCATCATCTTGCAACTAACAAAAATGTCTGTTCTGAATTTTTCAGCACAGTAAATATATATAAAACTTATGTCCCCAGACCCAGCTCCAAATTTATTGTAAACTACCAACAACAAATGCAGATGAGGGTAGTGTGAAATAAAGGTCCCACCAGACCCAGAGAAATTCATAATTGTTATGGACTGAGGGGACTCTCTGTATTGATGGCTTCTCCTAATCAATGAAATGGCAGAGTGATCAAGTTATGGAGGGCTGTACGAAAAAAAAATACCAGTTTGTCATCAATCAATGATATGAATTCTGAATGGCATCATGATCAGGATTCAGACTCTTCAGAGATATTTTCTCTATTGTAATGCAGAATGAAACCAAAACAGCCAATGTAAAGCACAAAACTTTATCCCAGAATAGAGTGGGAATGGTTTCATCACTAGTAAGATGTAAAGATCACAAAGTTGTACTATTTTTACCAAGAAGAGGCAGTATTGTGAGGTTTCAATTCATCTTTCTTCAACACACAAAGAATCATCTCCTCAATTAGTATACAACAGTACCATTTCACCAAGAACAGTCATAAAATGGACCTACAAACTTAAATGCCTGTTTCTCAAAATGTATTTGTTAGGTCTTAGGACCACCACCATTCTAAAGATCCTCTATGAATCATATTCTTAATAATCATGTTCGGCATAAACCAACATTGACAACAAAGCAATAGTTAAAAGTTCGAGTTCGAGCCCAAATCAGAATACTAAACCATACTTCATTATCAAAATTGTATACAGGGAAGATAATGAGTAAAGGTCCTGGTCTAAACATGACAAACTCGTGCTTAATTACATGCGGCTGTTCCGAAAAATGGTGTAACCGAGGGACCAAAGAACTATAAACCCTACACATTCATATGTAATTTACAAGAAGGGGAAAAGAAAAAGGAAAAGTTTAGAGATCTCTCCTACACAGTGGACAGGATCCATGCCTCACCAACCATGTATCTATGCAGGGCAAGTGAAACATGTGGTGACACAGAGGCAAACTTCTAACAGTCTCTCCAATCTGAAAGTCCTGCATATTAGATCAAAATACTTCAGTATGATCAGACATAAAGGTTACAAAGAAATTATCACAAAAGGAACACGTTTTTTCATTCAAATGGACTTGGGGTTTGCTGCTTGAAGTTGTTTGCATGTTGCGCCCTACAATTAAAAGAAAAGAGGTAACGTACGATAATTACCTGTAGGCAAACAGAACAAGACACTCTTTCTCCAGAATCATCTACATTGTTATCCTTACTGATTATGATTTTCGGTATCTTTTCAACTGAATCTCCAGGTAAACCCTTTGCACCACCGGTATCGAAAATGTTGGGCACCTCTTCAAAAGTTACTTCAACAGCTCCCATCTGAATATAATTCAACCATCAACCAATGGAGATGGACACGAAATGCTTTTAGATATCTAATTTGCAGGCTGTTTCCCTTACCTGACTTTGTACAGCACTTAGCATAGCAGGACCAATCCGCTCACGAACAAGCCTACCGCTCAATAAGCTAGCAATGACATCGATCTGAACCACACAGAAGAAATTAAGTCATTTCCAAGGACATAGTCGAGGGATGAAAATTTGCAATACAAAATGCTGGGCAACAAGGTCATATAATGTGTGCAAAAATTCATTACTCACCAAATAAAGGAGACAACCAATGCCAGATTCATCAGACTGCCATAAGAGAAGGGACGACTCAAACACCTCTATAGAGAAAACAGCTCCCGAGATCGCACCTACCGCAGCCCCTCTGACAAATCCACTCTCCGTTTCTTGACCTATTAAGGCTCCAGTCATTGCTCCCAATAAGGTCCCAACTGCAGAAGAAAAATAAATCCCCTCATGAATTCACAGATTATGGATTACTACTTGATCACGACCGATATTACATGCCAATTTAAATCTCCATGAGAAATAGGGCAGCTACTCTAAATCAGAGCTTGGACATATGGTGATCAAAAAACAGAACAGCAAATCAAAAGCTAATTAGATGTCCTTGGGAAATCTTTGCCAGCCAAGATTGTTGCTTTCTAGCAGATATGTCAAATCTCTAACAAAAGCTTTCGAGATTAGAGGATCAGATTAAGATCTTAGGAAAACAAGAAAGGGCCGCACGTTTCTTTTCTGGATGAAGAATGTGGGGATAATCAACAAGAAAATTAGGTGAAATCAATTCTTTGACGAGACCCAACAACCGAGATCATATAAATGCAAATCATATTTAAAAAACACAAAGAAAATCACAAATTAAAGACAATTTGACCAAAAAGTTATAAACTTGATGATGAACAATGAAGGGGCAGACAAAAAGAGCAAAAAAAGGGAAAAACAGAGGAAATATCAGCAAATAATCCAAAATCTAAAAGGAATTAAGATAAGAATACTTACTCAATGCAAAGAAAAAGGTGAAGATTGCAGAGAACACATTCCCAATAATAGCAGAAACAGCAAAGCTGAAGTATTGTTTGACTTTATCAACCAAATTCCCGACTGAAAATGAGAAAGACGACGAAGAGGGCAAAGAATGAGACGGATATGCATAGAACTCCATCGATTCCTTCACCAATTCAAGGAATTTTCAAAAGGGTTTCCCCAAAATCGAATCTTTTTTCTTTCTTCCAATCTTTGATGGATGTAGCAAGCTCTACAAAAATATCTTTCCGTATTGCAGCTATTATAATACAAAAACAAAGTACTATTAATTTATGCTTGTGCCTGTAGAATAATAATAAAAGGGCAGAGGTTAGATAAGAGGTGGAGATGGTGATTGGATTGGTATTGCCTTAGTCGTTAAGAGAAAGTTGTAAGAAACCACATAACCCAACTAGCATTTATAGCTTTTCTTCTCCTCCTCCTTCTGGCGTGGGAGGACTATACAAATTTCTTTTCTCCTGTTTTTTTTTTTTTTTTTTTTTCTCTTGGCTTTTTTCCCCTTTGTACAATATTTTTGCTTTAAAAATGGAAAAATATCTTTTTCTCCAACTACATTGGATATCAGCTCCGAAACAAAAACAGGTAGGAGGGTTATAAATACATTACACAAAATATAGAGGTCATAAGAGCAATTATACTCATAACATATGATCATTAATTAATTTTAATAAAATTGTTGGTCATCAAGTATGTATAGTACTTCCCAAAAGAGATTTCATTTTTAGTACAATTTGAACTAGAAATAAAAACTCAAATTGGACAATAATTATAGGACGGAGAGAGTACTTAAAATCATTGTTGACACGGGTTATCTTTATCAATAAAAATATAGGCTCATATTGATATTACATAACACTAAAAATAGAAAATAAATGCTTAGCAAAAAGTCTTGAATCTTTTTTTTTTTTTTTTGGGGGATCTAGATCTACGATGAGAGATTATTAGATTATCAATGTCATTATATGGACGTTGTCAAAATATAACAGCTCCTAATTTTATTTTTCGCCACGACTTTAAACTAAATTAATTGTTTTGGGATTTCATGTCAATTTTTGTGAGTCAGTTGGAGGAATTGGTCGGTCATAGGAGTTTGAAAGGGCACCGGAAGATTGCGAACCGTTTGACAAATAGACTGAGCTCATGGCTCCTTAACACGTCCGATCTCAAGCCACGCCACGTCCTCACTTTTCCAGCTCTGGTTCTCCTTCCTCCTCATCACAATAAAATATTCATCTGTTTAAAAAAAAAAAAAGTCAATTAAATTCTAACATTTGTAGTACTTATTTTTAATATAAATCTTCAATGTGATTTTGTTGCTTTTTAGACGAAATAGATGTATAAAAAAATGGATCAAATTTTAATATTTCTCTTGTACTAAAAAAAATTGATATTAAATTTTAAAATTTTAAATTTTTTTTAAGAAAATATTTAAAAACATATATTAGAACAGACCCAAAATCCCAAAAGAAAAAAGAAAACTAGCAGTGACGGAACCAGCTCCAAATATTTACGGGATCGAGTACAAAAATTTTTTTTCCAAAAATATTTTAAAAATTATAAGGTATTTTTAAAAAAAATTTGCCAATCGCAGGATCGGCCGACCACCCTCGCTCCCCTGGTTCCGTCCCTGGGAACTAGACTAGTGAGTCCTCTAGGTCTAGGATGTACTATTTGACAGTTATAGTGTATCTTTTGATCGGCCACGAGGAAATCCCAAAACATAACAGGATATATGTTTTTGCAAATTTTACAGTATAATTAAAACTACAAAGAAGATAGCTTGTTATTAAAATATCGTGGAGGACGTACTTGCATAACATCATTAAACAAATATTTATTGAGGATAAAAGAAAGGATGGATATGCTGAGCATGAGCAAATGAATAAGGGCTGACTAAGAAAGAAATCATGGTGAACAACTTTTGTTTAGATACTAATAGAAATCAGTTCAGAGAGTTTGATAATGATGTGCTAGACTTAAAGTATTAAGCTCAGATAACACAGATTGCAATTGCATCATTCTTAAACCACTTTGGTCCTTTCTTGCGTGTGGATTTTTCTTCTTGTCCATTTCCATATTTCAGTCATCCTAATCTTGGCCATTATTTTAGATCCCAAAAAATGCAGAATCTGAACCATGCACGTATGTTAGGTCAAACGTTCATCTTTTGTGATTCTCTTCAATTATCAGTATGTATCTCATTTTCTCTCGTTTTAAAATAAAAGTCACGTTAAATATTATAATAGCAAGAGAGTATTATTTATATGAGAAATGATAAGTATATCTAGTGACAAAATACAGTGAATTTGAGTAATGCTTAACGAAAATGCATTTACACCACACTCACTATACATATGTATTTACTAATTAAGGGTAAAAAAGATAATTTAACAAGAAACATAAAATTTCAACTGGAGAGTGGTAAAAGAAAATAAGGGACCATAATTACTCCACTATCAAATGACTATTTTTTGTCACTATTTTTTTTTTCATTATACATATTATTTTCCTATTTATATATGACCGGAAAAACCTTAATTATAGAAGGCACCTGCCAAATGTCTTGGTGACAAACTTCGAGCGGTTAATTTCATTAGAAGAAAAGAGAAAAACGTATTATAAATTGAATGAAGTTGACTATTGACGTCGAAACTTCAACACAGCTAATTACGCGTTTAACTGTGTAGCGGGGTAGGGATTACGTTCCGTTTCGTCTACAAACATTTTTATCTGTCTGTTTTCAAAGAAATCATTAATTAATTCAACTTCGATCTTCATCATTATATTGTTATTATGCTACTGTACACATGAGTTTGTGTTTATCATATTAAACCAGAATACTCGCTCCAATAGATTAATCTAATTAAAATTAGTTTAGAGCATTTAGCAACAAACAGAATAGCTCTAGCAAGCACAGCGATATAAGGGGCTGTAAATAATGAAATTTCGTTGAAGAGGAGCTGTAATTAATTAAGAGTATGAAGGTTGACTCTTGTTACTAGTACTGTTAGCAACGGAAAATGAAGAAAATGGGAACTACTACTGAGCTACTATGAATAAAGGAATCAATATATAATACCAAAACGCTGACCAACTAACTACCCTATAACACTTGTTTATACACATTAGTTTTCTCCCCATGGTTTTTTCTTTTTCATAGTCTTTCAAATTTTAATTTAACATTTTAAAATATCCCAATTGGTGTGACAAATTTCTTTTTCCTTTTTTTTTTTACTATAGAGTGAACCTCAAAACAAGTTATCAATCTTTAATATATTTTCACTCTAGATCATCAATTAAATTTATTTGTAGCACAGATTACCTTACTAAAGTTTTAATCCATTTCAGATCATTCTGTTAATTTTGGCTGTTAAATAGTGACGGAAATCCATTTTTCACATGCTTTTGGGTTCAGGGGTATTTTTGTCATTTTATTATTATTTTTTAAATTTTTTAAATTTTTTTTTTTTTTTTTTACAATTCTTCTTCTTATACTTCCTAACTTGTATACACTGGTAGTACAATTCTAAATTTTAAAAATTTATTTTCCTTTTGTATTTTAACTTTTAGATTATAAAAATCTTTTTTAAAAACAATTTAAGAAATGAAGAAGAAAAATTCGAGTTAAAGTAAATATGAAAATTAATAATTTAACATTTTAAACAAAAAGAAAAACTAAAAGAATTAACTAAGACAAGTTATTTCTTCTAGGTTATTTAATTTTTTTCAACTTGATTGACTTATTTAATTATTAATTTTCACGTTTCTTATTCCTTTTTTTTAATAATCTACAAGTTAATATACAAATAAAAAATTAATTTTCAAAAACGAATTTATTTTTCATTTGTATCTTAACTTCTAGATTACAAAAAAAGGAATAAGAAACGTGAAAATTAATAATTAAATAATTCAATCGAGTTAAAAAAAAATTAAATAACCTAGAAGAAATAACTTGTCTTAGCTAATTCTTTTAGTTTTTATTTTTGTTTAAAATGTTAAATTATTAATTTTCATATTTACTTTAACTCGAATTTTTCTTCTTCATTTCTTAAATTTTTTTTAAAAAAGATTTTTATAATCTAAAAGTTAAAATACAAAAGAAAAATAAATTTTTAAAATTTAGAATTGTACTACCAGTGTATACAAGTTAGGAAGTATAAGAAGAAGAATTGTAAAAAAAAAAATTTAAAGATTTAAAAAATTAAAAAATAATAATAAAATGACAAAAATACCCCTGAACCCAAAAGCATGTGAAAAATGGATTTCCGTCACTATTTAACGGCCAAAATTAACAGAATGATCTGAAATGGATTAAAACTTTAGTAAGGTAATCTGTGCTACAAATAAATTTAATTGATGATCTAGAGTGAAAATATATTAAAGATTGATGACTTGTTTTGAGGTTCACTCTTTACTATAACTCTTACTAAATTCAAGAAAAATCCATCAACAAAATTTCACTGCAAATAAGCGATTGAAATTAAAAATTTTCATCATTATTAGTAGTAACGTTTCTTTCTTCTTCTTCTTTTTTTTTTTTTAATTTTACTCTAACGGTATGTACGTACGTACGTAGTAGGAACTGCCTCACATTTTTTAAGGGTGTATATGCCGGTAAAGTATAAAAGAAAGGATGTTTTAGTGATACTTACAAGTTTTTGGGTATGAAAGATAAGAATTATAGACAGACATATACATATCACATTCAAATTAATTCTTAGTTTTACATGAAAAAAAAAATAAATTTAAAAATAAGAGGTGCATGGTTTAGAAACATAGGTGGAAACATACTAGTAGAGGAGAAAAGGGAGTGATTAGCATTGCCGGATGCGCAAAGTAAATGATGTCTGCCACATATAATTGGCTTTTAGTCCATTAATGAATTGATGAAACAGTTTACTCCTAATTGATTTTCACTTTTTCATTCACCCAATTCCTAATTTTTGGTACTAATTAATAATTAGCAGTTTAGTAATCTGGCCTGAGGCCGGACACATCCCATAAATTGTGTGACTATCATTTGATTTCGTTTTGATGTAAGAAACCAAATGTATATGCACATGTTGATAATGAGTATGAATGAGTTCATAGTTCGTCTTCTGGTCTCAAATTTTTTTAAAGCTAACTTAACAGAGTAGTAGTAGCTAAGACGGCAATACATACGTGCATAAATTAGTCACTTTACACCAAACATGCATGCATGCATGCCCACTGCACCTTTTGATATCTAAAAAAAGACTTAAGATTTCGTAATTACAATCTCTCACTATTATCTTAAAATCCAGGAAAAATACTCTTGCTACACTTGCTTCATGACCACATAAAACAAACTCTAAAATATCGGGGGGTTATTATTAATGTTTATGGATTCATCATTCAGATTATATATGGTTCCAGTATAATAACATAAGGATATACTGTCTCTGTTAAAATTGAACAATGATTTTGGGACGGAAGGAGTATATAGATCCTTTCTGTGGTG